CACCCTAACCCTAACCCTAACCCTAACCCTAACCCTAACCCTAACCCTAACCCTAACCTAACCCTAACCCTAACCCTAGCCCCGAGGCCGCGAAGAGGGACAGGTCCACCCGACATTCGTCTCGAAGTTCGAGGTTCGACGCCGTCGGCCCATAAAGGACGTGAGCAGGTTGCGCTCGAGATCTCGAAGCGTGACGAGAGCGTGCGACGCAATGTGTCGCCGAGAGCAGGCGTCGGCGACAGCGTGTCGAGGCGAGGGACGCTCGGCGCTCGACGCAGCGTCGAAGCCGACAGCAAGGCTGCCCGACTAAGTCGCTCGATATGACGGTGCACGAGGAGCTGAAATGTCGAGGTGGTCATGCGGGTGGAAGCCGTGCTGCCCTTGCTCGAGGCGAGCCGCCGCGCGAAGGAAGAGGACGAGGTCGGGAAGAGGAGGAAGAGCGCGATGTCGGAGTGTCGGCGTGCACCTGGCGGCTCCTGTGCTGTCAGGGGTAGACGTTCGAGTCAGTGTCGGCGGCAGGGAAGCCGGGGAGCCCGTGGCTCGCTCAGGTGGACCGAGTCGGGGAGGAGAGGAGGAGCGGAGAAGGGGCAAGCTACTTTTCGGGGCTGCTGCGGGCGCTGTGTCGGCGGCGGTGGGCTGTGTGTCGATGATTGTGCTGCTTCGCCGTTGCGCACCGCGGCTGGACGAGGGCGAGGTGCTGCTGAGGGAGGTGGTGGGACGAGGAGCGATGAGGACGAGAACGCGACGGCGGCACGTCGCAGGGCGTGGAGAGCCGGGTCGCAGGGTCCCGAAAGCGCATCAGTCGAGCAGCATGGGCTCGACTGGCTCAGCAGGTGAGCGTGAGATAGTGAGGAAGGAGAGTCGACGGACGACAGATCGCATTGGCTTCTCCCCGTCTCTCGTCGTGCGAGCACGGTTAGGCTTCACGAGGACTGTCTACTGAGTCTCGCTGTGCGCTTCGGCAGGGCAAAAAGTGCTGTGGGTGCGACCCGACCTCGAGTGCCCGCTCGACTTGGCGCCTCTCAGCTGGCGTTCTCGCGGCCTTGCGGGTCTTGCACGAGTTAGCCAGAGGCGCAGTGTCTATTGCAAAAGAGGTACAGGGACAACACAGACGAGACAGCGCAACCTGGGCCAGCCAGGTGTTCGCAGCGCTCACCGATACCCTCGTCCGAACGCTCCTCGCCCAGCAAACCCGCCGGCGCCGTTGCCCGATGGAGCGCGCTGCATCCCTCGACTCGGCGCGCGACGATAGGCGCCCTCGTCGTGAGCGCCGCAGCGGTCGGGCCGCTCTCCTCCACCGGCGTACCCTCCTCCGCCGTGGCCGCCCGACGGCCCTCGCCCGTGCCCAAAGTCCGAGCCCGCCATGCCGACCGCCGACACGCCGTCGAACGACTCGGCCGCGTTGTGGCGAGCCGCACGCTCAAACAGGAGCTGGCGCGGCGGCGCGCCGTACTCGACGCCGGCGCCGGTGCGCGACGAGCGCGACTCGTGAAGTGCCTGCCCGCCGCCGTAGCCGCCGTCGTGACCGCCCTGCGCAGCGCCGGCGTAGTACGCGCCCCCCAGCTTGTCGTCGTACGGCGGCTCGGGCGCGTGCCCGTCGCCGGCGAGGAGGTCGCGGCTGCTCGGGTTGGTGCGGTAGCTCGGCGCCCGGCTCATGTCGATGCCGCCGACGCCGGGATAGGGCAGCGTCGAGGTCGAGTCGGCGGGACCGTGGCTGTAGCCCATGGGCTGCGCACATGCCGCGAGGCCGTCGACCGAGGTGACGCTCTCGGCGTAGCCATGTGTCGTGCTGCCGAGGCCGACGATGCTGTCCGAGTCGCCGTAGCCGTGCTGGATGTACTGCTGATGATGCGGAAGAGGGTGCGACATGCCGTACGGGCCCGAGTTGGCGTACGGGAGGACGGGAGCGACGATGCTCGACGGCGGATACGAGTGCTTCTCGCCGCCGCCCGCGCCCTTGTTTTGGACCGAGGCGGTCTCGGGGTACAGGTCGCTCGCGTTGAGGCCGATCTTGGGCAGCGTCGGCTGAGGCCGCGGCGCGTTGACGAGCTTGCCCGACTTGTCCTTGAGGTGCCGAAAGTCGCCCGCCGCCTCGCGACGCGCGTACTCGGCCTCCTTGGCGAGCCGGCGACGGTTCTTGCGCTTCATGAGCTCGGCGATGCTGCGAGAGAGGTTGCAGAGGGAGGGGAGAGACCGCGGTAGGTGAGCATCTGCCTCCTCGAGGCGGACGAGGGCGAGGACGCACCGTTTGTCGACCTTGTGGCAGCAGTACTCCTTGAGGTTGCCCTGGATGTAGCACAGGAGGGCCGGGTAGATGGCCGCCGCGACAAGGAGCTGGACGGCCGAGATGATGAAGATGGCGACCGTGAAGAGCATGGTCGCAAGCGCGAGCTGCTTGACGAGCGAGCCCGAGAAGTAGACGCCAAAGTCGGTCGTCCACTTCTGCGACTTGCCGAACGACCAGAGCGTAATGGCGTTGATGACCTGGCGCGGCGCGTCGGCGAGGAGGAGCCGTTTCCAGCCTGCGGACACGGGGCGAGGCGAGGTGAGCGGCGGCGGCGGCGAACCGACAAGGGACGAGAGGGAGGAGGACTCGCCCTTGAACGTGAAGAAGGTGAAGAAGGCGAGGTTGTCCTTCTTCTTCTTAGACGAGTCGACCTGGGCGAAGAAACAAAAGTGGTTGTAGCTGCGACGAGAAGGGGCAGGTCAATGACGATGGCCTCTGGCAGAGGACAGTCCCTCGTGGCTGCTGTCGCCTCGAGCGGGGTTGAAGAGAAAGACTTGCTCACCTGCGCAAGGCGTACCACGAGTGCGCCATGAGGTTGGTGTGCGCGTACGAGATGTCGCGCGACTTGACAATGGCGCGAGCCTTGCGGGCCTCCCACAGAAGAAGCACGAATGACACGATGATGCACGCGAAGAAGATCCATTTGCCGATCTGCAGGACACAGGCGCGCCGTTAGTCGAGTGCGAGGGGACGAGACGAGCCAGTGGAGGAGAGAGACGCACCTTGAACGGGACCTCGAGGACGTTGCTCGACTTGGTGTCGGCCTGGGCGGCCTCGGACTGGAGGATCTGGCCGGACCAGCGGTTCGACGCGAGGAGGGCGATCAAGGTGTACGTGTCGGCGACGTAGACGGCGATCGAGATGAGGAACAACGTCCAGTACCACGCGTACGACAGGCGCGAGCCGAACGTCTTGCTGTAGAACTGGCCGACGTCGATAAAGTCGAACTAGTGGCGGGCGAGAGAGGAGGGAGGGAAGGCGGAGGGAGAAGGGGACGAAAGAGGCGAGGAAGGTCAGCAACCGCTTGATCGGCCTTCGAGGTGCTGCGTCACTCGACCTTGCTGCACCCTCAAGAGCTCGCCGAGGCACCCGCTCGTCGTACCGGCCCCCTTGTGCCGCTCCATGGCGGCGAGGCGGTCCACCTTGTCCTGCTCGTCGCCAAACCATGAGCGCGCACCCGCTTCGCCTGCTCCACGGCGTGACCCGCCTCGAAACCGCGGACCTTGCCCAGCTCTAGGTGTCCGAGCCGCCCAGCCTCGCTCGCCTGGACCAAGCTGCTAGCCCCTCGAGCGCCCGTGGGCGGACCCGAGCCAGCTCGACACGCACACGGGGGCTCCGCGAGAGCACGAAAGCGCACGGCCGCCCTCGACAGCCGCTCCGACACGTCGCCCGCCGGCCTGTCCCACGATCCGCCGCCTCTCCCACCCGTCTCGATCTCGTTGAGCGAGGCGACCTTTGTCCGGGGACGCGAGGGCAGGGGCAGGGAGGGAGGAAGGGCGGGGCGCACCTTGTGATCTGGCACGACCTCACGCTTCCACTTGGCAGACGAGCAGCACATGGCTCTCGCTGGCGAGGGGCGTGGGTGGGAGCGAGGGACGCGAGCGCGATGAGGACGAACGCGCTCGATGACGAGACGGCGAGGGCTGGTGGGCCCTGGGGAGGTGGGTGTGGCGGTCAAACGAGTGCTGCAGAGCTCTGTGCGCGTGTCGTCTGGCGAGCTGAGCGACGTGTGGTGCCGAGCGACGACCTCCCCCGCCGTCGTCCGTCTCCTCCTCGTCGAGCCCCGCTGGCCGCGACACCTGCACCGCCTCGTCGCGCTCTCTCCTCTCCTGCGGCATGGCCTCGACGGCGAAGACTCGGAAGATAGTTTCAGACGAGCGACACCGAGTACAACACGGCGAGGGAGAGAGCCGGCGAGGCGCGGCACAAGGGTGGGCAGGGAAGACAGACGACGGCGACGGCGGGAAAGTCGAAGAGAGAAAGGGAACGAGGCATCGTCGACAAGGGAGGGGAGCGCGTCTATGCGGCCGACTGGCGCGACTCGGGCCGACTGGCTTGGCGCTGCTGCTGCTGCTGCTGTTGCTGCCGGAGGACATCGTCGAGCTGTGTTCCGCGACGCTGAGCGTCCGACAGCTCGTGCTCGAGGCGCCTGTACGTGCAAAGAGTCGGTACAACCGCGCAGGAGAGGACCGAGGAAGAGAGAATCGGGGACGCACTGACTCTCGCCTCGAAGCTCCTGCATGCGCTCCTTTGCGCCCTGCCGCTCGCGCTTGACCTTCTCCTCGGCGGCCCGCACTCGCTGCTCGAGCTCGCGCACACGTGCCTCCCACTTGCCCTCAGCAACGCCGTACTTGCCGCGCTGCTCGCCGAGGCGCGACTCGGCGTCGCGCAGCTGCGCCTGCGTCGCCGTGAGCCGGCGCTCGAGCGTCGACACGGACGCCTGCGCCGCCGCCAGGCGAGACGACAGCGCTGCATCTCCTGCGCCGCCGGACGAAGAGCCGGGGCGCGGCGACGAGAGGCTCGGCGAGCCGTGCGAGCTCTTGCGCAGCTGCGCCTGGAGGGACGACACCTCGGCCTGCGAGCGTCGACGACACGGGCACAGAGTGAGCACCGACCCTGGCTCGGCCAAGAAGAAGCAGGGGAACATGGCGGCGCACCTTTGCCGCCTCGAGCTCGGTCGTCTTGCTCTGCACCCTCGCGCGCCACTGCCGCTGCGCCTCGGTCGCGCTCTTGAGGCCCGCCTCGAACCGGTCGAGCTGCTTGTGCCGCGAATCTTGCTGACGCTTGAGGGCCCTGTACGAGCGAGGCGTCGTCAGGGGCCGCGCGTGTCCGAGAGAGAGAGGGAGAGAGAGGGAGAGAGAGAGAGACTCGGAAGACGCACTCGAGCTGGTCGACAAACTTGCTCTCGAGCTCACGCGTGCGGCGCTCAAACGAGTGCTGCAGGCCGTTGACGGCACGTAGGCGGTCGAGGAGGCGGTCGTGAAAGACGGGGAAGTTGGAGAAGGGCTTGGCGGCGTCGAGAGCAGGTGACGAGGGCGGTTTGCGCTGCGGGCGAGGGTGGTGTCAGTCGGCTCGGGTTCTGAGAGCGACAGGGAGCGGTGGACGCACCTTTTCGGTGGCACCGAGGCGGTCGACGGCCTGGAAGACGGTGAGGAGGAGCGTGTTGCGCTCGGCGAGCTGGTCGCGGTACTGGTTCTCGGTCTTGCTGAGCGCCCGGTGGTCCGTGTTGAGCTGGCTCTCGACCGAGCGCAGGCGATCGCGAGCCGACGACAGCTCGTGCTGCGTATCGCGGAGGGTCTGTGTGCGGCAGAGGCGAGATGTCAAGCGGGCGCGCGTGCGAAAAATGAGGACGATGGCGGCGCACCTTCGTGGCAAGGTCGTGCTTGTCCGCGAGGGCGAGACGGTCTTGCGTTTCCGAGGCGAGCTGGGCCGCAAGGTCCTTCTTGTCCGACTCCTGCAAGGTGACGCCAGAGTCAGTCCGGGCTCGAGTCGAAGTTGCGGAAAAGGGACCAGTGAGAGGGGGACGCACGAGCTCGGCAATGCGCAGGTCTTTCTCCTTGACGAGGTTGGTGCGAGCGTCGATCTCGGCCTCGGCATCTGCCAGCTCGTGTTGAGCGCGAGACAGGTCGCGCTTGGCCCGCTCGAGCTCGACGCCGAGGGCCGAGCGGTCGTGGTTGGCGGCGTCGCCGGCGTGACGAGTGCTGCGCTCGAGGCCGTCGAGCGCTCGCTGGAGGTCGGCGACGTCGCGCTCACGGTCCTCGGCCCGCTCCTTTGCGCGGTGCGCCTCGGCTCGGGCCGCCGCGAGATCCGCTTCGACGATCTCGCGCTCGTCCTCCTCCTTGCGCAGGGCGCGCATGACCTCGTCCGCCTCGTCGCGCAGGCGTTGCGCATCGGCCTGGGCCGTGCGGGACGACTCCTCGAGCTTGGCGTGGCGCAGGGCGAGGTCCTCGACCTTGGAGCGGAGGAAGGTCGCCTCGGTCGTCGCCGTCTCGTGCTGAATGGCGAGGTCCGACAGACGGCCCTTTGACGACGCGAGTTTCTGTACAGGAGAACACGGCCATGTCAATGACGGTCGCTGGCAGGTGCGGGCAAGAGCCAGAGAACGGAAGGCGCACCTCCTTGAGGGCCGTGACGACCTCGGCGTGCACCGACTCCTTGTCCTTGGCGTCCTTGTCGACGGCGTCGAGCTCGTTCTGGAGCTCCTCGATGTGGCGGTCCTTGTCGTCGAGCTCCTCCTCGAGCTGGAACACTTGGGCGCCGAGCTGTGTGGGGAAACGAGAGGCGGCGAGGATCGTCAGGAGCGTTCGTGCGAGGGAATGGGAGAGCCGAGCGAGGCGAGAGAGCGGCGCAGGACGCACCTTCTGCAGGTCGTGTGTGAGCGCGTCGACCTCCTGCTGCTCGGCGTGCAGCTGCGCGTCCTTGTCGGCGACCTGCTGCACGAGCGCCTCGAACTTGTCGCTCAGCTCGTCCAGTTCGCCCTCCTTCTCCTCGAGCACCTGCGCGATGGGACGGGACAGAGGCGTCAGTACGACGAGCTTGAGGGAGAGGAAAAGGCGCAGGGTGAAACTCTCTCGACCCACCTGCCGCGCTTGAGCCTCGCGCTCCCTCGCACCCTCGACCTCCTCGCGCCACTCCTCTGCCACCTGCTCGAGGTCGCCGCGGTGCACGTCGTCGCGCTCGTCGATCTCGCGCAGCAGGTCCTCGATCTCGTGCTCTTTGGCGTCGAGCTGCGTCTTGACGTCCTCGAGCTCGAGCGCGAGCGATGTTGCCCGGTCGCGGTGCGTGTCCAGGTCCTGCGTGACAAGAGACAACGACGACGAAACAGTCAGTGACTGACTCGGCGCCCGCACGAGGCAGAGACAGAGAGAGCGACGGGGACGCACCTTCTCGAGCGCCTCGCGGTCGCCGTCGTCGTGCTCCTCGTCGGCGCGCTTGGCCACTCGTTGCGCGAGGTCGAGCTCGTTCTCGAGAGCAGCGAGGTCGGCCTTGAGGTCCTCGACTTGGCCTTTGAGCGAGTCGGCCTCCTCGTTGCGGGTCGCGAGCATGGTGAGCTGTGCCGCGAGCTGCGACCGGAGCGACGTGTTGTCCTGCGCACGTGGCGGCAAGTGTGTGGGCCGACATGTACGGAAGGAGAGGGGAGCACAGAGGGGAGCGCCGTCGAGAGCGGGCGGGACGCACCTGCTCGAGCCGATCGACTTGTCGCCGGATGGTGCCCCTGCTGCGGCCCTCGAGGCTGACGCCGCTCTCGTCGGCGTGATCGGCAAGGTCGTGGCGCATGTCGGCGGCCTCGTTGCGCAGGTCGTCGAGCTCGTCGTGCACGTCGGCGAGCTGGCGGCGAAGGTCGTCGCCCTCGTCGAGGGCGGCGTCGAGTTGGTCGCGCAGGTCCTGCGCGAAGTGGGGCAGGCAGGGTGAGTCCCAGTACACGACCGGAGAAAGGAAGGGGGCGAGGGAGGACGAGGAGGACGCACCTTGACGTCGCCGGCAGCCGCGCTGTCGGCGCGCAGCTGCTTGTTGTCGCGGTGCAGCTCGCGCGCCTTGCGCTCCCACTGGTCGCGCGCGTCCTCCTGCTCGCGGAGGCGCTTCTCGAGGTCGCGCTCGCGGGCGGTCGGACCGCCGACGGCGCCGGCGGCCGACGACCGGCGGCCAGAAGACCCGCGCGCGAGCTCGTCGCGCTCGGTCGTGAGGGCCTGGATGGCGCGGTCGCCCTCGAGGAGGAGCTTCTTGTAGCGCTTGAGCTCGGTGCGCAGGGTCTGGAACTCGACCTTGAGCTGGATGTTCTCGCGCAGGGCCTGCTCGACCGACGACGGGGCGAGCCTCTCGAGGCGCTGCTCGTAGAAGTGGAGCTTGAGCTTGAGCGAAAAATTGTCCTTCTTGAGCTCGTCGATGACCTGTCGAGTGGACCAGAGTCAGCGAGGTGGCCACGAGCGGGTGCGAGACAAAGAGAGAGAGACGAGAGAACCTGAGGGCGCACCTTTTCCTGCTCGCGGAGGGTCATGTTCTGCCCGGCGCCGTGCGCGTTGCCCTTGGGCGTGTCGCGCAGTTGGGCCTTGCCGGCGCGCGGGCGCCCGCCGAGGGCGCCTGGGCCGTAGACGTTGTTGGCGAGGCTCGAGTCGTCGGGGTGGGTCGACGACGAGAGGTCGACCGAGTCGGCCGCGAGGCGGGCCGACGAGAGGTGGGTCGTCTCGGTGCGGTCGTAGAGCTCTGTCGAGGCGGTCGAGAGGTCGGCCGAGGACGGGGTGGGTGCGGTCGACGCCGAGTCGTCGGGTCGCGACGAAGACGAGGTGGTCGGGGCGCCGCGCGAGGTGGGTGTGCGGCGGTCGGTCGACGGTCGGTGGTGGTGGTGGGCGGGCGGCGAGTCGCGGTCGTCGTCGTCGGCGCTGGCGGCCGAGGGCTGCTCATCCAACAGGGACGACGAGTCGTCCGGGTCGTCGGCGGCAGCATTCGACGAGGGGTTGGCGAGGCGGGCCCAGTCCGAGTGGGTGATGCCCGGCGGGGGTTGGTCGTAGTCTGCGCTGCGGAAGGTGGCGGCGAACGAGGGGAGGGTGACATCGGCGGGGCGATGAGGCTGGCGCGGGCGAGGTTGGGTCGACGCGGTCGACGACGCGAGCGACGAGTCCATCGTGCGCGGGGGCACGAGGCTCAGACGGAGCACGGCTTGCTCTGGCGGGGAGAGCAGGCGAGCGAGGGTGAGGCTTAGAGCGAGTGTTGCTCTCCGGACCTCGTCCTCGTCCTCCTCCTCGTCGTCGAACCTGGACCAGCTCTCGCTGTCTCTGCCTCTGTGGACCGCTGCTTGCACGCTGCACCGCTTGCTACACTCCCGCATGCGCCTGTGACCGGCCCAGCTCGCCGCCACACGGCCTTGCGAGTGCGCCATCTCGCCCCGCTCGCCGCCGACCCGCCATCTCGCCCTCCCTCAAGCCATCTCAACCTCCCTCAGCACCAGCGAGATGGCTCTCTTGCGCGACGGGCCATCTCTTGCTAGGTCGTGCAGCCACCCGCACCGACTACTTGAACCCGCTCGAGGCCGCCCTCTCTCTCTCTCTCTCCCTCTCCTCACACTCGCTCAACCTCGCCGCCCTCTCGAGCCCTCACCTCATCCACCACCTACCGCTACTCAACCACGATGCTCTACGCCTCGACCTCGTCCCTCACCGTCGCCCTGGTGGCCTCGGCCGCCGTCTTTGCCTCGCAGGCACAAGGTGCGCTCCTTCTCTCTCCTCTCCTCTCTCTCCCAGGCCCGCGCCTGACCCTCTTCGTCTCCTCTCGCGCAGCCCTCCCGACCAGCCGCTCGACGTCGACCGTTGCGCGCCGGGCCCACATTGCCTCGCACCACAGCCGCGCCGCACGCGCCGTGCCCGCCACCGCCGACTCGACCACCTCGCTCGGCGACCACTCGATCGTCGTCGACGCGTCCACCTCGGCCGACGCCGGCCAGGGCGGCATCCGCAACTCGACCGTCAACCTCACGTCCATCTCGAAGCGCACAAAGGCCGACCGCGAGGGCACCCTCTCGTCCTTCTCGCGCGTCGTGCGCTCCCTCTTTGGCCGCGCCGTCCCCGCCGCGCCCGCCGTCTTCAAGCCCCTGCCCCTCACCTACTCGCCGCCCGTCTCGGGCAATGCCGCACCCTCGGCCTCGTCGTCGTCGTCGCACAAGAAGCGCCGCAGCCACCACAAGAAGCGCCGCGTCGTCCGCCAGCCTCGCGCCAACGCCCCGCTCAAGGGCAACACGCGCACCCTGCCCAACGGCCTTATCCTCGAGCTCGCCGACACCCACACCCACCTCCACCTCGCCAACGTCAAGCGCCGCCAGAACCAGGCCGTCGCCGCCGCCCAGCTCGCCCACGAGCGCCGCCAGGCCAACTACACCCTCGCTGCGGCCCAGGCCTCGGCCTACTCGGTCGCCGTCGCCGCCCTTGGTGACGCCGAGCCGACCGCGAGCCCGGTCGTCGACGCCCAGGCCGCCGCGCCCACCTCGTTCGTAAACATGACGGGCCCGCCCCGCTCGTCGCTCAACGACACGGCCGGCGCCATCGCGGCCGCCCTCTCGCCCGTCACCCTCACCATCACGCTCGTCCCCTCGGGCATCGACGGCGCCCTCGTCGACGCCGCCTTCCTCCCGACCGCGACCGCCTCGCCCTCGCCCTCGCCGGCCAAGTCGAGCGCCGCCGCCGTCGTGCGCTCGTCGTCGCCGAGCATCTCGAACCCCAAGGCGTCGAGCACGCGCGAGTCGAGCCCGGACCCGACCTGGACCGCCATCCTCGCCGCCTTCTCGGCCTACACCCCTCCCTTGGCCGCCACCGCCTCGCCCGCACCTGCGCCCGCCTCGGCGGCGCTGAGCGCCGTCAAGCGCGGCATGGAGCGCCGTGTCGTCGCGCGTGTGCCCGGTGCGCACCCGCGTCGCGCCCCGGTCGTGCATGCGGCGCCGGTCGTCAAGTACTACCCGGCGCCGGCCTAGATGGCCCCGCCCCCCTCCCCGCCGCCGAGGCTAGCCCTCGAGCAGGCCCTTCTGTTCCTCTTCTCGACCTCGAGACGACCGGCTCTTGACGACGCCTCCTTCTCCCGTTCACGACTGGCTCGGACCCTTCTCGCGCTGTGCGCGACGCATCCCTTTGTGTAGCTCCTTCCCGAGTTGCTGTGCAACCTTCTGCGAGTCCTCTCCTCTCTGCGTCTGTCGAGAGAGACCGAGAGCGGGTCTGCAGCTTTCTGTGAGGTCCAGCTTCTCCTCTCGGCGCACGAGCCTCTCGTGGACGGAATGTAAAGAAGACTCAGATTTGGCATCGGGAGCTTCTGTATGTACATGCTGCGTCTACGAGCATATCGTGGCTCAGCCCTTGCGCGCCTCCCACCCGGCCTCGCCCTCCTCGACCGCCTGCGCGACGACCTCCTTGACCCACTCGCCTCGCGGCTCGATGCGGCAATCGAACGGGAGTGGGTGCGAGCTGAACCCCTCGCTGAACGCGTGGACGCTCGGCGGCTTCTCGGCGCCGGTCGCCGGGTCGAGCGCGGGGCGGAGCGAGCACGACCACAGGAGGCGGGTAAAGACGATGAAGAGGGACCGCTGTTCAGACATGCAAAGGCTCGTCAGGTCCGTCACAGAGAGCCAGAGAAGGAGAGAAAGGAGAGACGCACGTCGGCGATGTGCTTGCCCGGGCAGATGCGGCGGCCAAAGCCGTACGCGTGGTGGCCGGCGTCAGAGAACTTGGTCCCGACGAGCTTGCCCTCGGGCGAGATGAATCGTTCGGGCTTGAACGACGTCGGGTCCGGGTAGAGCTCCTGCATAACGTCGACGCGGCGGTCAGCAACTTTCGCGACGGGACCTCGCGGCGGCGGAAGTGGCAGCATCACGAGGAGGGGGAGAGGAGAGAGGGAGACGCACAGGGTCAAGGTGGATCGACCAGTGATTCGCGAGCACGATCGTGCCCTTGGGGATGAAGAAGCCTGCGAGCAAAGGCGTGGTCTCGGTCAGGAACGGCGACAAAAGGAGCGACGACGCCGACTTGAGAAGGTCGAGACGCACCGTTGTACCAGTCGTCCTCGGTCGTCGCGTGCGCCAAACCGCCCGCAATGACGGTCCTCCACCTCAAGATCTCGCGCACGACGGCCCCACAGTAGACGAGGTCGGGCTGGTCCGCAAAGCTCGGCAGGCGGCCGCGGCCGACGACCGAGTCGAGCTCGGCTTGCGCCTTGGCCTGCACCTCGGGATGCGTGACCATCGACATGATGAAAGTGTTGATGCCGTCGGCGGTCGTGTCGGACCCGGCACCGTACAGCGCTCCGCTGCGAGAGGAAGGCGTCGCTCCCGAAAAGTCAACGACCGCGCAAGGGCGCCGAGAGAGAGAAAAAGTGACGAGGCGGGACGCACGCAAGGAAGTAGGCCTCGTTGTCGCTGAGCTTGTACGACTGCTGCGACTCGAGGATGTACTTGGCGAAGCAGTGCGCGTCGCGACCCTCCTCGACGTTCTTCTTGACATCGAGCACGTGCGAGCGAAAGAGCGACAGGGTCTCGTCGAAGATGGTGCTAGCCTCGCGCTTGAAGGGTGCGAGGACGGTCGGGACGTAGTTGAGGATCGGGAGCGAGTCGACTGCGCGCTCGAGGGGTCAGTCGAGGGTAGGCGGCTCGAGCGCAGGGACGGGGCAAAGAGGCGGGCGACGCACCGAGGTACCGGCCGGCGACGGCAGTCTTTGTCATCATCTCGTTGATGTTGCGCATCTAATGGCGGGAAGAGAGGTCAGGGACGGGTGGTACAAGGCTAGAGAGAGGGAGAGCGGCAGCAGGCGCACCCTCGTGATGGCCGGGTCCTGCGGCGTGGGCGCGCGCTTGTTGAAGCCAATCTGCATGATTGTCGAGCCCGCATAGCGCTGCGACAGGTCGAGAAGCGCGTCAGTAGCGCGCCTGAAGATCGAGACGACGACCGAGAGTGAGACGACGCGGGAAAGGGAATGCGGCGAGGGGGAGAGGAGGAGGGCGGCGCACCTGGCAATGGCCCCAGAACTCCTTGGGCTTGTCGAGCATGTCGCGAACGAGTTGAGCGCTCTCCATCTCCTGGATCTCCTCGTACGACGCCGCGCTCGCCGGGCTCGTGAGCTGGTGCAGGAGCCGCCGCTCGCGCCTCCACAGGTCGCCGTACGGCATGAAGGTCATGCGCAGGCCTCGCGAGACGAGCTCGGACGTCATGATGAGGCGGGCGCGAGACGAGTAGATGTTGGACCGTTTGTCGAGGAGGTCGATGGCGGGTTGAGCGCGACCGAGGACGATCATCGTGTTGCGGCCCATCTTGAGCGTGAACATGGGGCCTGTCGTCGCACGCAACCGAGTCAGCTTATCGCCGTCGAGGACACGAGGCGAGCGAAACCGAGGCGCACCGTACTGGTCGGTCCACTCGGCGAACCGGACCCAGGGTTTCGACTTGGGCACGTCGAGGATGTTGCCGAGGATGGGCAGACCGGGCGGGCCTGGCGGCAGCGGCCCTTTGGCGGGCTTGCTCCGGGCGAACAGGAAGACGGCGGCCGCGACGAGGACGGCGAGGAAAGTGGTCGGGCTGGTGCCGAAGGCGGCGAGGGTGAGGCCGGCCGAGAGCGGCGGCGCGACGGCAGCGAGGGGCAGGGTCGAGTTCATGCTGCTCGGCCGCACAAGTTGATGAAGAGAGGGAAGCAGCACGGCGACTGGAGCGCCGGCGCGGTCGAGAGAGGCGTCGCTGTCGGAGGGTGAGTGGTTCTTCCGAACGCCGGCCGAGGTGGGGAGAGAGGGGAACGGCGCTTCGCTCGGGCCGGCGGCAGCTGGCGGCCGCCCACAGCGTTCTCCCTGCACGTGCTGCGTCGCCGCGTCCAGGCTGAACCGATGCGGCGGAGCCGACTGCGAGGAATTGCCGCCCGGGCCGCCGACACTCGCTCGCTCGCTCGCACGCTCTTAGGCAAAGCTGACGCTGTTCTCTCGCTGCAAGGCTCTCGAGGCGCACGATGAGGAGACTCGAGAAGGCTCATTGCAGCGAAAGAGAGGGGTACGAGGGCATGTCGGTCGACTTTGAAGAGGTGGCAGGCGTCGATTTGGTCCCGCAAAGGGGTGCGCCCGCCACACGGCAAAATAGAAGAGCGCCCCCTCCTCGCAAAAGGAGAGAGTCGGTTCTGCCCCCTCGTTAAAATCCGCGTGCGTATACGCTCCCGAGGGAGAGGCACGAAGAGAGTCATCGAGGGGGGGGGGGGGAAGGGAGGGAAGGGACGGGTGCGGGTTGCGGCGAGAGGCGGATCGACGACCGTGACGGGCTGAAGGAGACGGGCGTGTTGCCGAGAGCAGGGCGGGCCTCACAGCCGCGAGCAGGAAGTGCGAAGGCGAGGACGGGGAGCAAGGCGAGGCCGAGCAGAAACAGGGGAGGCTGCGCAGGGGCAAGATGGGTCAGCTCCGGGCGCAGGCCGAGTGTAGAGAGACGAAAAGGGGAGAGGAGGGGCGCACCTGTAGCGAGGAAAAGCACGAGGGGTGCAAAGCTTCGAGTCGACGACGATGAGGACGCGGCAGCGTGGCTGGTCGCTGGACCCGCTCGTGCTCAGTCGGCCGGCCCCGCAAGAGAAAGAGCGGGCATTGTCGGCTGAGCCAGTGCGCTCGCTCAGGCGAGAGAGCGAGGTCGAGAGTGAGGAGAGAGAAGGAGAGGGGGAGGGCGGCACGGTGGAGGAGCTGCTGGTCGACCGCCGCCAGCGTCCTCGCCTCGACTCGTGCTGGTCTGGCGGCTAGCGGAACCGCACTGCCCGTACTGCTTCGCTCAGCTGCATCTATACGCGAACCCGCCGCGGCCGATGCGCACTCGCTCGCCTGGGCTCATCTCCTCGCCAAGTGTGCCGCTCTCTCGGCCCTCGCACCGGCTCGCGGTGCACCTGTGTGCCGCGCTACATCTCGCGAGCACCTCTATCGACGCGACCCGCTCAGCTTAACCTCGGCTCGAGAGGTACCGACGACGCTGCTTCCTGCCGCCTCGAGCCAGCCAACCTCGACCCTATGCTGCTCGGCGCGCTCTGCAACGAGGCGGCCTGCGCGCGGCCCATCCGCTCGACGAGTGCTCTGGCTGCTTTTTCTGAGCAGCAGCTGGCAGTTTCCGAGTTCCTGGCCCTTGCCAGGTGCTCGAGGCCGAACCTCCCACCTGGCCTCGGACAGTCGTCTCACCCCTCCTGACCGTGCGCGATCCCTTTTGCCGACGCGCATCAAAAACACATGTACAGCATCTCCTGTCGTGATCGCGGCGGGCGCCCTGCCGGTTTGTCAGGCGAGAGGTCGGACATGCTCGTGCTTTTCCGCCGCCTCGCAGAGGCGTGCTTTTTCCGCATCGCTCGTGCTCGCCTGCTAGTCTTTCGCTGCACGCCAGGTCCAGCTGGTCGACAAAGCTACCGCGAGCTGCAGGGCCCGGCCTCGCCGCTACAGCTACGATGCCGTCAAGTCGAGAGTTTCGGCCGGCTCGCTTTTCTCAGCGTCGCCCATTCTCGCTCTGTGAGCCTCGCAGAAGCTCGCAACCCTGCTGCTCGGACCCCTCGAGGCTCGAGCCGTTGAATCGACCTTGAGCGCACAGAGTCGACGGCCTGCCGCTCCAGGCGCGACCGCACAGGACCTTCCCAACCCGGCCTTTCGACCAAGCGATCCTCGCTTTGCAGGCCGCTCGCGAGGGTTCGTCTGCTTCGGCAGGAGGACGTGATCGCGTGTGGACGACGGAGCGATCCCTGCAGCCGGAACCATAGTCGCGGCCGTTCGGAAAGAGCTTAGCGCGAAGAGGACGTGCGCCTGCTGGCAAACTCTCGAAGCGCGCGAGGCCATCATTGCTGTTGCCGACCGAGCAGCCTGCGACACGCACAGAGAGAGGGTGGACAGCAGTGCCATCACGACTCGAAGCGGGAAGCTGGGCGACAAACTCGAGGCTCGTGCGCTCCGAGGAAACGACGCTCTGGAGCTCGAGCGCGAGCTTTTCGCCGCGCCTGCGCCGGTGCCGCTTTCTCTGCAGCTCGTATACAGTGTCGCGAATGAAGAGACGATGGCCTTGAGCCTACTCGAGTCGTGCGGGACAGGTTCCGCTCCTCGAGCCGTCGCGCCTTCTTCCCGTCGTCGACGGCTCATTTTCTCGCTCTTCTCGCGTCTAAAGGTCGCAGTCAAGTACTCGAGCGTCGGAGAAGTGTATCGAGCTCGCATCGCACGACGATGGCGGGTCGAAGGGTGACCCAGTCGGAAGCGGTTCGTGCGCGGCCCGTTCGTCGCTCTCGCGGGACCGGCTGCAGCACAACGACGCCTCGAGCTTCAACGCCCATGTTCTCCCGCACGTCGGTCTGCACGAAGAGCTCGTCGCGGAGCCGAGTGCGGTTGCTCGAGGGCAGGAACGGGCTGCGCACGAGGAGCGAGAGCGCTTTCTCGAACCTCGGGTGCAGTGCTCGCCGAAGCACGGGGCGGCTGCCTGTGATCGCGCTCGCTCGAGGGGATGGCCGAGTCGACAGTGAGAGCTCGAGAGACTTTGAGCGCGTCCTGCCGCCAGGATGGTTCCGGCTCTCGTCGACGAGCCGAGCCTCTGAGCGTCGACCGCCGAGCGGCGAGTGCGTCGAACGAGCCAGCGGGACGAGGCTTCGACGATGCGGGCGTCTCTCCGACGAGGAAAGCGGCGTCGATGAGTGCAGAGAAGCCCTCAATGAAAGAGGCGTCAGATGCTCGGGGCGACCGGCGCACAGCAAGCGGCGCGAGACAGCCTGTAGCCGGAACGAGCGCAAGGCGGTCGGGCTGAAGCCGCCAGGGCTGGCGGATTCAATCAAGGCGTCCGACAAGCGGGGAGACAGCAACGCTGGCAGAAGCCCTGCCCGACTCGACGCTCGACTCGCTCGAGACGCCGAAGTCGGAAGGTCGCCCGTCCGGTTGCGGCAGCCAGCTAGGTCGGCCTGACGCTCGCTCGCTATCGAGCTGGCGGTCGAAGGCCTGCGACCGTCGACGAACGAGGAAATCGCAGGCACAGCGAGCGTGGGCATCGAGGGACGAGGTCGACGGGCTCGACGACGACGGGGAGAACCCAAGACCGCTTTGTCCGGCCCTCTGCCTCGGCGCAGACAGCGTTGTCGACCCTCTCCCTCCTTCCTTGTACCTCCTGCGACCCGCACGAAGCGCCCCTGCCCGTCAAGCGCGCGCCCCAGCTCCGCCTCGTCAGCTCGAACGCCAACTCAGTCGACCCGCCGCCCCGCGTCACTCGCTCCGCCCCGATCGACGTCAAGCAGTCGAGCGCACGAGGTGAGCACCTTCTGGTCCTTGGTGTGCAGCAGCAGGAGCAGCAGAGGAGCGAGCAGGAGCGTGCGCCGGGTGTCGGGCGGCGAGAGAAGTGAACGCGTCGCTGATCGCGCCCGCGATTGTCCAACGGCTCCCTCCCCTCCTCCTCCTCGTCGTCCTCCTTCGTCTGCCTCGTTCCTGCTGCAGACCTACTCGTCGAGCCTCTCGAGCACCGACAGCCACGCGCACGCCGCCTCACCAAGCCGCGCCAACGCCCTCTGCGCGCCCCCGCCCGCCGCGCGCGACCCGCCTTCTCGCCTCTCTCGGGTGCGCGCCATCTCGTCCTCTCGACGCGCCATCCCAACCGAGCCTGACCCTCTGCGCGCCTTGTTGCAGCACTCCGGCCATCTCGTGCATCAAGCCAACTCGAGCCGCCCCTCGCTACGACCTCGCTCTCGCCGGCTCTCTCTCTCTCTCCTCCTCCCTCGTCACCTCAACCCGCTCTCGCGTCCTCTCCCCTCGTCGCCCTCTCGCCCTCACTCCTCCTCTCCTCGACCTTCTTCACTCGCTTCGCCATGTCCGCCTACCACTCCAACGGTCGCCGGCACCCGGCCTCGCTCCTACCCAAGTCGTGGCACGACCCGGCCCTCCTCGAGTTCGTTCGCGCGCCCGTCACCCAGGACATGATCGGTGCGTCCCCTCACCTCGAGCCCGTCTCGCGCCTCGTCTGCGCCCCCGTCCTGACCTCGGTCTTGCCCCCGTCGTGCAGCCTACCTCGCCGAGAAGGCCATCGAGGTCATCCAGTGCAGCTCGCCGCCGCCTGCCGTCCTTCCCTCGCCCCCGGCGACGCCCACCAAGCAGGGCTTCCAGCAGCAGGCCGTCGACGCTCAAGCCTCGGCCATCCCCTCGCTCGAGACGTTCATCACGGTCCTCGTTCAGAAGTCCAACGTCCAGGTCCCGACCCTCATGTGCACCCTCGTCTACCTCGAGCGCCTCAAGACCCGCCTGCCCAAGGTCGCCAAGGGCATGCACTGCACCCGCCACCGCGTCTTCCTCGCCGTCCTCATCACGGCCGCCAAATACCTCAACGACTCGTCGCCCAAGAACAAGCACTGGACGCGCTACGCCGCCCTCTTCTCGCCCGCCGAGGTCAACCTCATGGAGCGCCAGCTCCTCTTCCTCCTCGACTACGACCTCCGCATGGACGAGGCCGAGCTCGTCCACCACTTTGCGCCCTTCCTTCGCCGCGCCGGTCCGGTCGCGTCCACCTCGCGCGCCCAGTACGCCGCGCCCCTCCCGGCGACGCACTACGCCCAGCAGCAGCAGCAGCAGCCGCAGCAGCAGCAGCGCGCCGCAGTACCGGCGACGCCGCAGCGCAAGGTCGAGCACCTCCAGGCGTCGGGCTACCTCACCCCGCCGCCCTCGGCCCGTCGCCCGACGCCCCACGCCGCGCCCTCGCAGCCTCGCGAGCGGCAGCAGGCTGCGTCTCGGCAACGCGACTCGCCGGCCGAGTCGCCGTCGTCGGGCGGCACGCTCTCGGACGTCGAGTCCGACTTTTCGGACCGCGAGATGGAGTACGAGCAGGCAGCGCCCGCCGCCGTCCGCACGACGCGCATGTCGTCGCGCCCCGTCCGCTCGTCGTCGGCCAAGCCGGTCACGCCGCCTCGGCTCGCGTCGGCGCACAAGTCGTCGTCGTCGCTCCCCGTCACCCCGACCGACGACGTCCCGCCTTACGCCTCGGCGGTCCACCCCGGCGAGCAGCACCAGCGTCGCCCGTCGTTCGAGCAGCTCCTGCGCGCACAGCGCAGCGGCTCGTTCCTCTCGCGGGCCTACGAGCAGGGGCAGCGCATGCTCCTTCGCGGCGGCAACGGCGTCAAGCCCGGCGTCGCGCCTCCTCAGTCGCTCGACTACGACGCCGACCAGGCCTACGTCCTCTAGGCGGTGTCGTCGTCGTCTACGCCTCTCCTCGCCTTTCTTCCCTTCCACCTCTCGGTTTCTCGGGCAGTGCCCGCGCGTTTTTCCTGGTCTCGTCGGCCGGCAGTGCCGCCTCGCTTCTCCCACATCTTGCACATAGTCCCGCCCTCCATCATCTGTATCGTCCATACCCCCTCCGTCTATCGGCAGGGCCGCAGTTCCGCCTTTCCTTGTCGTACCCCTCTTTTTCGTTCCTCGTCTCGGCGCATCTCGCCTCTTTAGCATTCATTCGCAACTCGAGATCTCTCTATAGCCCTCTCTCCCTCTTGCCTGCGTCCCCGTCTCGAGAGCACGAGACGAGAAAGCCTGAGCGAGCCGCTCGAGCGAGTTCTGCGACTTGCGAAAGTCCAGGGGGTCCGAGCGAGCTGCGCAGCGAGGGCGGCCCCTTCCTCGCTCGGGGCACCCGACTCGCTCCACATCCACAGCAGCGAGCGCTTTGTCGTGACGGCGCTCGGCCAGCCGATGCGGAAGAGGCGACGCGACAAAGGAGACAAAGGCTCGAGCGGCTCTTTGTTCTCTCGAACTCTCACCTGTGCAGTAAGGCGCATGGCGTGGCGACAAGCTCTCGGCGATACGGACGAGGCTGAGATGACAACAAAGAGATGAGAGCGCGTCGGCGCAGGCACGCACTTGGCCGCGCCGCGAGCGCGAGAGCCAAACGCTGTGACCCCGGGCCACTGCTCGGCGATCCTGCTACAGCTCCTCCGGCCCGTGCCCGCTCGACTCGGCCCCCTCAGAGCGCACCGCTGCTGCACTCTGTCCCGGCGAGACGAGCTCTCCGTGCGCCTCGAGACGCTGCACGTCCCGCTCCTCGTCGTCCTCCTCCCTGAACGCCTCGACGAGGATACCCGCCCCGCACTTGGCGCCGGCGCGAGCAGGCTTCTTGAGCTTGATCGTGTTGTGCCCGAGGCGGCGAGAAGGGGTCGAGGACGAGCTCGAGGGGCGAGTCGGCGCCGCAAGCGAGGCTGGCGACATCGAGCGAGTGCTGGACGAGGCAGGGCTCGAGGTCGACGCCTGAACACGTGGCTGCCCGTCGAAGGATGGAGAGGAGGAGGAAGTTGAGGAGGTCGGGCGGGGAGGTGTGGCAGGACGGTGCTGGGCGGGCTCGAGGCCGGCGTGTCGGGAAGGAGGAAAGAGGTCGCTGTAGCTGGGGGAGAGAAGAAGAGTCAGTACATCACGTGCCACCTGCAGCGTCGTGACCTGCAGGCCCTCTGAACAAGACTGTGCGAGAGAGTGAGGCTCGACGAACCGCTCGATCATGACCTTGAGGACGCCGCCAACCGTGTTCCCTCGCCCGCTCACCGTCCCCTCGACGCCCCTGATCGTCGCCATGCCGTTGGCGCCAGGCACCCTGCACATCTCGATCTCCTCCATCGTCGGCACCTCGCCGAGGCCGCCGATGAGCGCCGGGCACAGACAGACGACGAGGTTGGACGCCGTCATGAGGTTGTCCTTCGAGTTGGCCGCGATGAGGGCGAGGACGCCGAGGACGTGTCGAAGGAGGGTACGGGTCGGCGAGGACAGGAGGGGGACGAGCTCGACCTCGACGTGGGCGAGAGCGGCATCGTCGTCGCCGACAGGGCAGGTACGCGCGACGTCCCAGACGTCGCCTCCCGGGAGGAGCGGCACCGGCAGCTCTCGGAGATAGAGCTTGAGGAGCGAGGCGGCGAGGTACGGGGCGTCTGGAAGGGTCGAGAGCGAGACAGGGTGGCCGCGCTCGTACGCCCCTCGAAGGTGCATGACGTGTGCAGCCGAGGGCGAGCGGCGGAAGATGCCGACAGAAGCACGACCTGCACGAACGCCGACGAGAACAGTCAGTTCTGCTTACGGTGGACCGAGTGAGAGGGGCGCACCTTGATCCAGAAGGACGTCGACGCAGTCGCGCACGATCGTCGGTAGTCGTGGGTCGTTCTCGTTCTCGCTCATCGTCTGCAGGCGCCGGGTTGTCAGTCAACGATCCGCGACACTACTGGTCGTTTCCTAGAGCAAAAGTTGAGGGGAAGGCGAGCGCACCTGCTCGAGAGGCCGGCCGAAAGTCGCCTTGAGCGACTCGTCCTGGTTGACCGGCACGACGATCTCGTCCTCGGTCGCAGCGTTGGCTCTGCGAGCATGCTGGGTCAGTGACACTCTCATGAGAAGGGACAGAGGGTGGAAGGGCGACGCACACATAGACCTCGAGCGGGAACTCAATCTGCTTGAACGCCTCGGGCCCGACTGCTTGCGCAAGGCCGGACAAGGTGGCGCACTGGACGAGTTTCTCGGCTGACTTGACGGACAGCAAGGTCGACGAGAAGATACCGAGGATAGCCTGCCCGAGTAGACCATGTTCGAGGCGGCGCGAGGGAAGGGAAGGAGGACAGAAGGGGAGAGCGAGGGTCAGTCTCGGCCCACGCAGACAGGGACCCAGAGGACTCGGGCGCACACGAGTCCACCACCCACCGCCGACGATGTAGATGTGGCGGACGTTCTTGCGGACGACGCGGGCGACCGACAGGTACGACGATACGAGGTGGGCGGTTGTTGGAGCGTGAGGGGTCGGGTTGACGAGCAGTACCTGCGCACGCTTTCTGTCAGGTTCCGCCGGGCGAGTATGCAGAGGAGGGAAGAAGAGAGAAAATAGGGGACGCACGACGGTGTAGGGACCGGACTGGGCGAAACGCTCGAGGCGTCGGCGCAGGTTGGCGAGCAAGTTGGCGTGCGAGACCTCGCTCGGGGGCGGTATGCGCGAGCCTGCGAAGACGAGGAGCGGCCCTGGAGGTTCGACGCCGTCGTTCCCAGCCTGTTGCGCAACTCGACGAGAGGGTCAGTCGATTGGACCAGCGTGAGGGCGTGTCGGCCGCACGAACGAGTCCTCCCGCGCCTCTCGCCCGTCACCGCCTCCAAGTCGACACAGAAGGAATGCGAGGGACGCACCTGCCACACGATAGTCTCGGCGAGCGAGTCGAGCTCGTTGTCCTCGTCCTCCTCGAGCACCGCCGGCTCGTCGCCCGCCGCGCCGGCGTCGACGAGGTGCACCTCGGGCACCGTGGTCCATGCCGGTATGCGGCCCCGCTCGCGTGTGCGCGCGCGCTGCCCGCCTGCGCCAAAGGTGGCCGAGCTGAGGGCCTCGGCGGCTGGAGCTGGCGAGGAGGAGGCGGAGGGTGCGGGGCGGTAGCCGAACGCCGACGATATGGTCGCGCCCCAGCCTGCTCGTGTTGGCGGTGTACGGGCTGGCGGTGCTGTCGTGGCCTTGGCCGAGCGGGAGGACGGCGAGGGCGTGCGACAGCGAGATGCGGACGAGTTGATCGAGCCGGCGGCACGCGGCGGCGAGCGAGGTGCAGGGCGGGCGAGCAGCTGCTGCAGCGACGACACGGTCGCACTGTCGCTCATGATCGACGTTCGCTCGGCGAGAGAGCGCGCACTCGACGAGCAAGAGGCGCGCGACCACTGAGAGACTCTAGAGGGGCGCCGCACTTGCTCGCTCTCATCCTCCTCGCTCTCGAGAGACTCTCGCGCGCACTCGAAAGCTTCAGAAGTTGGTTGCAGTGATGTACTAGACAGAGGCGAGAGAGGGGACAGGTCTACGAGCGGCGGTCGAGCCGCTCGACGGCGAAAGACGAAGAGTGTCCGTCAAAATGAGGGGGTCACGGCCAGAGGGTGCGCCAAATCGTCCATGTGCGACAGCCCACGCACTCCTCGCCGAGAGGGGACGACAAGATGCGGCCGACGGGTAGGGCCACGGCGCGCGAGCGCCGAACCTGCTCGGACAGGCCGTCGTTCACCGCGCTCGAGCGGTCCCTCAGCTCGTCGTCGGCCTCGCCCAGCCTGCAGGAGGAGTCGGACACGTCGGTGAGCGTGGTTCTCCGAGACTCGAGGCGAGAAAAACAGGGGAAAGGGAGAAGGGACGCACAGTCTGACATTCTCGCCTCGCCGCTCAGTACTCGTCCTCGGCCTCGTTCTCGTCCCAGCTCAGCCACTCGCCGTACATGTTGGGCCGCTCGCCTCGGACGAACGCCTCGAACGTGCGCTTGAGGACGGCCGCCCAGCTCAGGTCGCGCTCGTCGTCGTCGACGCGCTCGTCCGACCAATCGAGCTCGGCAAAGTCGCGCTCGTCGTCGCCCCACTTGTACCCGTCCCGCCGCGAGGGCGGCGTCACGACAGGTCGTGCGGCGGCGGCCGCCGTCTCGCCCGGAGCGGTCGGCGATGGCCCGTTGTCGCCGTCCTTGCCGCCGGTCGACGACGACGCCGCCTGCGGGTTGGCCGCGAGCTTGGCGGCGAGCAGGCGCCCTCGAACCACGCGCTCGCCGGCGTGGAACCGAGGACCGAGGTCGGGGAAGTTGCGCGCCGCGTCGAACGGGATCCACCTGCAAAAAGGGGAAAGAGCGGCGCTCGAGGTCAGGTCTTTTGCGCCTCGACACGGCGGCGACGTCGGGAGGACAGGGACGGACCAGAAGTTGTGGAAGTGGTAGCTGAACGCGCCCTTGAAGAACCCGTCGAAGCCGGCCGCGACTGGCGCCGCGTTGATCTCCTTGGGCGTGTCGAAAAAGTCCTCGAACCGCTTGAAGTAGGGCTGCGGCGGACGGTCGCGCTGGTAGTACTCGCTGCGGGAGTGAAAGGGCAGAACGTCAGGCGCCTGTCGAGCTCGAGGGAGGCCACGAGAAGAGAGAGGGGAGAGGCGGGACGCACGTGTTGAGCCACGCCGGGTCGAAGAGGGCGTCGGGCAGGCGAAGGAGCAGGCCCTCGACGTTGGCGTCCTTGGTGTACCGACTGACCGTCATCGGGTGAAAGTCGAGGCCGTTGGCGACGGCCGAGCGGAAGACGAGGTGGCCGATGGCGCTGCCGCGCTGCATCTTGAGGACGGCCGTGTTGTACTTCTCGAGGCGCGACCACCGATACGCGAACGCGCCGTGCCAGTTCCACAGCTCGGTCCAGTCGCGGAGCAGGATCGTGTCGGCGTCGAGGTACACGCCGCCGAACCGGTGCGTGAGGACGAAGCGCGCCATGTCGCTCAGGACGACCGACAGGCGGTCGTAGTCGTTGTTGCCGCTCGACCCGACGCGCTCAAACAGGGCGTCCTTGGCCTTGGACGGGAGCGGTGCGGCGACCTGCGACACGTTGACGGCGCGAGTCGCGTTCGCGTTGAGCTCGCGCGCGCGCGAGAGGGCCGCCTCGGCCGTCATGGCGAGGTCGCCGCCGTCGCTCGCTCGCTCGGCGCGCTCGGCGTCGGCCACCTTGGCGTCGTGCGCGCCGACGTCCTCGACCTCGTCGACGTCGTCGTCGCCGCTCGACTCGTCGGCGCGACGGGCGAGGTTCTCGGCCTGCTGGGCCATGCCCGCCGAACCGTACTTGACGCCGCCCGAGTTGAACAGGCGCATGTCGCGCCAGCCCTTCATCTCGGCGACGCCGTCGAGCTGCTCGGTCGTGTTCCACAGGCGGAACTTGACCGTGTCGCGGAACCGAGGGTGGAGGAACGGCGCCGACCACGGGTTGCGCGCGAGGTCGTCGCGCATGCGTCGCTCGGCGCGAGGGTCGGGGATGGACGACGCCGGGCCCGGGTTGATCCAGATCCAGAGCTGCGGGCGGCACAGCGAGTGGTCGGCGCGAGTCGGGTCCGAGTTGATGGGCGTGTCGAGCGCGAGGCGCTGGGTGAACAGGAACGACAGGGTCGCCGTGTACGGCTTGTCGGTGAACGGGCCGGCCCAGAAGATGTGGAACAGGCGAGGGTAGTCGGGGTCGCAGGCCGGGTCGGCGGTCGGGTGCGACGGGTGCGGCGAGTAGACCGGGTGCCCTCGGAGAGAGGCCGACGGCGCGCCCTGGCTCGAGAGCGTGAGCTGCTGCCGGGCGGCGACGAGCGACGAGAAGGCCGACGCCGACGAGTTGAGGACCTGGCTCATGTCGCCGCGGTACTGCTCGAGCTGCTCGCGGGTGCGCTCGCTCGGTGCGCCGCCAGCGGCGCCGTCGAGGGCGGGCACGAACGTCGTCTTCCACGAGTCGTGCACGCCGCGCCGCAAGGGCGTGTCGAGGCCGGCGTTGACGCGCAGGACCTCGAGGCAGTCGCGCACGTACTTGCCCTCGGCAAAGTCGCAGTGGTCCATGACGGCGTCGAGGTCGAGGCCGGCACGAGCGGCAGGGCGCGGCGGGTGCGGCTGAGCTTGCCGGCCGCCCTTGAGCGGCAGGTCGACGTAGGTGCGGCCCGGCCCGACGGGGACGACGTCGAGGCCCGCCTCGTCCCGCGGCGACGCGAGCGTGCCGCGCACGCCGGCCTGGTCGCGCAACCGCCGCTCGACCTCGGCCTTGACCTGGCGCTCGCGGCGCAAGTCCTCCTCGGTGCGCCGAGGCAGGCCCGGGTTCTCGACCTTGATGGCGCCGTTGACCGGTGCGGCGTGACCCGACGCGGACCCGCCGCCGTTGGGCACGTCGAACGAGATGCCCGGGGTCGAGCGCCTCGACGGGTAGTGGCCCGACGCGATCTCCCACCGCCACACGCGCTCAACCTCGGCGGGCGACAGGACGAGGGTCGACGGGTCGGTGAAGGGCAAGTTTATGTTGGGGTGTCGGTGGAGGAACGAGCTGACCATGCGCGCGGTCGAGAAGATGCACAGGAACAGGAAGGCGACGGTGCCGACGATGGCGACGAGGACGCGACCGAACGACTGGCCGGCGCGCGTGTCGTACCTCGACATGGCCGGGGACTGCTTGAGCTTTTGCCGCGACGACAGGAAGGGTAAAGGGCGAGACGGGTGGAGGAACTTGAGGACGGGGAAGCTGAGCTCTCGTCGACTGCCACCGGCCGCCGGCCCGCCGCCGCCGCGACTGAGCGGTATCCGCACCGCCATGAACAGGTCGCCGCATCTCCGAGCGGGGCCTTTGCTCGCGACACGAGCGCGCTGGTAGCTGAGGGCGACCTTCTCGGCGACGGCGCCCGACGGCGGCGAGCCGAACAGGTTGGGCGAGTGCGACCGTGGCGGCGTGTGCGAGGGCGAGTTGTGGAAGGACGGGAGGGGAGAGTGAGTTGGCATGGCGGGAGGTGCCGACTACTGGAGGAGGGGGAGGGCAGGCGCAGGGGCGGTGCAGGCCCGGGGCGACAGCTGCGGCGAGGGGGCGAGGCAAAGGGTCAGCGCTCGTGGTCTCGCTGTGCTCGACGTACATGCGCCGTCGCAAGGTGCATCATGTACGAGCGCTCCAAGATGAGGCCGATCACGACTTGAAATGAAGAGCTGGGGAGGCGAGGTGCGAGAGAATGAGGAAGGCGAGGCGCGCAGGCTCACACTGGCTGGACCGAGGACGACGCAGCTCGACAGGGACCGTGTTGACGGCCTCGCAGGCGGTAGTCGAAGGCGCAGGCGGGCTCGAGACGAGGCGAGGTCGACTGGGCGGTGCGGCCTTAGGGCAAAGGCGCTTGCGGGCGGACGGGCGCAGCGACGGCGAGACGAAGCCTGTGTGACATTGAGCGAAAGGGTCAGTTGGTTGTGCGGGTGCAAGTGGCTGCTGTGCGCTCGTGGCCCTGGTAGCTGCTCGAGGTCGCGGACCAGGGCTGATCAAGGTCGAGGACCCTCGATCCTCCTGCCCTGCCCGACGCCGCCTCGCCCTGCTGTGCCGGTTGGCGTGCGCACGCCAGGCCATGGTTGAAGGCTGCCGAACGCAAGGGACGGCGCACCCAGGCGGCGAGGCGAGTGTGGGCGGTGCGGCCGGCTCGAGGTGATCGAATCGAGGTGCGGGAAGAGTGTGCGTCTCGCTTGGGCGCAAGGGAGGGGAGGGGAGGGGCAAGCGAGCAAGCGGGCTCACCTGAGCAGGTACTGTGCGGGCTTTGCGGTCGACTGGTGGCCAGGATAGAGACGGAGCGAGGCGAGGGCGTCGTCGCTTCGTCTTCTCGTCGTCGCCCTCTCCAAGCCTCTGCCCAGCTCGCAGCACCCGCCCTACGGCCCTTTGCCCTGCTGCCTGTGCCCTACACCTACTCAGCTGCCTTCTCTCACGGCGATCCCGCTCCAACCGCCCCCTTTACGCCCTCACTCGCCAGCCTTGCCTCGTCCTTCTCCGACCTGGCGCGTCATCAATCTTCCTCGAGCCACTCTCGCCCTCTGTGCGCTCGGTGCGCCTCTCAAAGTGCTCTCGATCGACTCTGGGCCTGAGCCACGAGCAGCTTGGCCGCTCTTGCGGGGCTGTGGCCGTGGCCGCTGGCGGCTTTCTCCCGCGGCCCAGCTTGCACTCTCTCTCGACGAGCGCCTCTGTCTCGCGCTCTCCCTTGCCCTCGCTCGCGCACTCGCTGCGCGAGGCTCGACTGCGAGATCCGCTTGCGCGCGCGGCGGTCGAGCAGGGTCGCCCGAGAGACGCTCGTCGCGACCTGCTCGGCGACGCTTGCCTCGGGGCGAGCAGCACACGCTCTGGTCCCCGCTCAAGCACGATCGACGTACGGCAAAAAGCTGGCACTGTTGCTGCGGTCGATCTCGCGCCGCACGAGCTCGCTCTGCTCCGCTCGCTCGTGCAAAGTACCGGACGTTCGCCGCGCTCGACTCGCTCTCGGGTGGATCCACGACCAGTCACGCTTCGAGAGAGGCTCTGAGAAGAAAGCGTGCGGTAATGATGGCAACAAGACACGGACTGGACCCTGCGCCCCCTCCTCGCGGTCCCGATTCCTCCCCCTCGTCCCGCTCGTCCTCCCTTGGCTCCGTCCCTGCACGCTGCGCCAGGCTAGTTCTCGCGCCACTGATAGTTGCAGTGCATGTTGGTGCACCTGCGCGGGGGCGGGAACACGCGTGAGAGTGCGTCATGTGCGCCGAGGCGAGGCGAGACGAGGGAAAACGAGCGAGGAGACGCACTTGTAGAAGGTCGTGCTCGGCTCGTCGGCCGAGCGGATCTGAATCTGCATGTAGAAGGCGCGGTCCGACCCGCACTCCTTCGGGCAGTCGACTGCGCGCGAGAAACGGAGGTAGGACAGGGTCAGCAAGGGTGGTCGGCCCAGCTGAGGCGAGAGGAAGGAGAGGGAGCTCACCTGCGGTCGAGTCGACGTTCTTCCAGCTGTCAGCGCCGCCCATGACGTCGTCGATCTGCTTGCGCTTGAGGTACGTGCGCTCCATGTACTGCTCGCGGCGGCAAGGAGAGAGAGGACGCAGGAAGGAGGGGGAGGGGTGGGAGGGAAGACGAGGTCAGCTCACTCGGTCGCGCAAGAGGAGTGGACGAGGAAGACGCACGCGCTTGTTGAGCGGGTACTCGTACGGGCAGGTCGCGCAGCCGAACTTGTTGCCCGACGCGCCTTCGACCAAGGTGAGCTGGTTGGCGCAGTACGGGCAGCTGCGAGGCGGGCACGGGCGGGTGAGCGAGGGCACTGGACGGGCGGCTGTGGGTACAGGCAGCAGTTGGGGACTCACAAGATCATGGCTCGAGGGTGTGCGCGAGCGGGCTGGGGGGCAAAGGTTCGAGTCGCTGATGAGCTCAGTGTTGGCGCTCTCCGACTCGCTCAGCTCTCGCGCACTCGCCTGGGCGAGCTCGTGCGCCCAACCAGCCGACTCAGCGGCCTGCTATCTCGGCGCGTATGCTGGTCACGCGAGGATCCGAGGTCGAAACGCTGCGCCCCTCCTGCTCGGAGCGTTGTCGTCGCCAAGGTGCTCGCTGTCCCGCTTCTCTCTGCCTCGGCGAGAAAGAGAGACGGCGAGAAAGTGCAACAAGCGTTACGTCGCCGAGTCATCGCGTCCAACCGTCGCGCGCTACTCGACCTGCCCCGCTCCCTGCTGCCCAGCGTCCGTCCCGCTCCCGCCCGGTTGCGGCTGTTGGTAGTACGCCTGCAGATCGGGGACCTGGAGGAAGGCGAGCGTCAGTTCGAGATCCTGTGTGGCTGGGGCCCGCAGAGCGGGGCGAGCCGCCGACGAGAGCAAGGGTTGGGAACGAGGGGAGGGACGGGACGGACCGTGCGAGCGGCCGGGAAGCCGAACGAGGGCGGCCATGGCAGGTCTCCCTCGGCGCTGAAAGCAGGCTGCGGACACATGCGAGAGATGTAGATCAGTACGCGAGCGCGTGCAGCGCAGGACCGGCCGAGAGAGAGGGAAAGTCGAGGACGACGCACCGTGCCGTCCGGCTGCATGTAGAACGTGGCCGCGTCGGCCTGCGCCTGGGCGGTCGCCACGTCGACCGGCATCGAGTACACGCCCTGCCCGTGCCCAGCACCCTGCTGCTGCGGGTCCACCATGCCCTCGCCCTCGAAGAACCGCATGCGCTTGCCGCCCGGCTCGCCGATGTCGTCCTCGCCGCCCGACCCTGCTCCTCCGTCGAGCCCCTCGGTACCGACAGCGAGTCCTGCGCCGTTGCCGTCCAGGGGAGGCGAGCGCTGCGACGGCTTGCGGGCGCGGCGCTTTGTACCGCTGCCCGACGCGACGGCGTCCAAGGTCGAGGCGGCAGCGCGTTGCTCGTTGCGAGGCACGATATCCTGCAGGGACGAGACGAGGAACAGGTGAGCATCGGTGCCACGTTGGCGAGGGATAGAGACGAGCAGAAGGGTGCGCACGATCAAAAAGTCGAACATGTCGCTCCTCGAGACGGCCTGGGCAACGTCGGCGCGCGACAGGGTGCGGCGGCGTGCGGCGAGCGAGACCAGGTGGGCACGAGCGGTGACCTCCTGGATGAAGACTGCGACGGGCGGGCGAGAGCGAGGGTCAGTTGGGCTGTCGAGGACCATGGACGGGCGCAACGGACGCACCCTGGCACGCCTTCTCGAACAGGACCGTGACCTCGCTCGAGATCATCTGTTGCTGTGGGTCGTTGCACAGGTCGGCAGTCAGCGCTCCGGCATGGCCAGCACGAGGGGGAGGGTTCGAGTGGGAGGGGTCGGGGACGCACCTGCACCTCGGGATCCATCTTGGCGACCTTCTTGATCCTCGCGAGCGGTAGCGCCTGGTGCTTGAAGTCGTCCTCGTGGTGCTCGGCGACGTTCATGGCGTGCTGCCAGAACCTGCGGGCGAGCGAGTCGGTGAGCCGAGTCGCGAGATCGGAGGAGGGAAGAGGGAGCGGACGGACTCGTTGACGCTGCGAGGGGATGGGCGCACAGAGGCGAGTCAGCGTCGTACTGGGGCAAGCTCTGGGCGCTTGCGGCCCCCGTACGCGAGCGTGGCTGGTGCCGCGCTCCTCAGAGATGAGGACGAGTCCCGCCTCGCCGTCGCCCGGCCGGGCACCGCTCCTGCTTGGATGCGGTTGATACCGGGCACAGAGTGGAAGGGAGCGGGACGCACAAGTCCTCCATCGAGGTTTCGGCGTGCGAGCGGTACGGTGGGGGCGAGTTCTGGCGGCCCTTGCTGTTGGTCGACGATCGCACGGGCTTGGGGTTCGGGGCGTCGGCCATGATGATGGTCGGGCTGGTGCTGGCGTGCGCTGCTGCTCGGGCTCTGCAGCGGTGACGAGTCGGGAGCGACGACAAGCCTCGAGCACCTCGTCCACCGACGTCGTCTCACCGTCTCCCCGTCGCATCGAAGCTCTGCTTGGCGTATGCTGCCTGCCATTGCGCCCGCTCAGACCGCTTCGGCGCATCGCTCAGCGGCATTCGGCCGCGCGTCGCCGCCCTCGCCCGCTCGCTCGCCGAGGTGGCTGTGCACCCGTCTCGCGGTTGTTGCGGGCCCGCGCACGCTGCGATCAAGCGCACGAGCACGTCGGCATCCGCGTTCTTGCTGCAAGGACCCGCTGTGCGAGCGCGAGGGCCAGGCGGGCCGACACCGGGCCTCCTCGACCTCTCCGACCTCGTCGCCAACCACCACCACCCCTCGACTCGCACGCTCCCGCCCCGACGGGCCTCCCCTCCCCCTCCTTGACATACTCGACGTCTCGAAGGCGCGCTTGCAGAGCTGAACGGGCTTCGTGCGGCAGCAGCGCCCGTCGGGCGGGCCCGATCCTCGACATTTCCCGACCTGCCGCCGTGGTCGGCCGCTCCCGTGTCGCACGCCCAAGCCCTTGCTCTCGCCTAGCAGGTCCAGGACGGGCTCAGAGAAGGTGCGCGCGCTGCAGATTGCAGCAGGACCGGCGTCTCTGCGTTCCTCGCTCGGCCGACGACCGCCACCCGCCCTCGCTTCGTCTTTCACGGTCGCGCAGCGTCGCCGGGACGACGATGCGCTGTCGGCGTCTCTACCGCTCGCGCGCACGCACTGTATCGGTGCGACAAGATGCGGCGTGAGACGATCCGGCACGAGGGCGAGGCGCGGGGACGCGACTGGACGCGTCGGCTTGTTTGGCATTCCGGGGACGAGGGCTCCACTTCTGCCACTTGCTTGGCTCGTCACGGCAGCAGGACACACGGGACTGATCCCTCGACATTGCGACAGCACCCCTCGGCCCTTCCCCGTACCCTCGACGACCGACCTCGCGCCGCGCAACCCAACATGCGCACCTCGACCCTCGTCCCCTCGCTCGTCGCCCTCATCGCGACGGCCCCTTCCGCCCTCGCCTCGCTCGCCACCCTGCGCGGCACCATCCCCGGCTCGCTCCACCAGTGCGAGTCGACGAACGTCTTCTTCTTCGACAGCGCCGCCGCCCGTCCCCTCACGCTCGTCCTCCTCCCGGCCGCCGTCGACCCGGCCGCCGCCACCATCACGCTCGCCGAGGTCCTCGCCCTTGGCCCGCTGCAAGTGGTCGACGGCATCACGACGCCCGATGCCCAGCAGACCAACTTTGTCCTCGCCGTCGCTGAGGAGCAGTCGTTCGTCGTGCGTCCTCACGCTCTCTCTAGTCTGTTCGACTCTCCCTACTCGCGAGCTGACACGCTTCTTCCCTCACAGACGTACGGCTTCCTCCCTGATGGTACGGGCAAGAACCTGAACCTGCCTCGTGTCGTCAAGGCGCCGCTTCCCGGCGCCGCCGCCTGCAACCCGGCGACCGCGGCGAGCGCCGCGGCGGCGATCGCTCCTGCGGCCCCAGTGTGCGTCCTCGATCCTCCTTCCCTCTCTGGTTCTCAACAGGGCCGTCGAGCTGACGCCGAGACCCCCCTCGCAGCGCGACCACGCCCGAGCCCGTCACGACGACCAAGAAGGCCCGCACGACTACCACAGCGTGCGTCCCTCTCCCTCGAGGTGTCTCTATCGTGCGGCAAAGGCGACTGTCTGTCTGCTGCGGCGCCCTGACCTCTCGCTCGGGCCGACTCGCAGCGCCAGCACGCCCGACGTTGTCGCCGCCGCCATCACGACCACGTCTGCTGGCCCGGCCCGCTCCTCAGCCGCCGAGGCGTCGTCCTCGTCCACCGAGGACACGTCGTCGTCGTTGTCGACCGAAGCCTCGGCGTCGGCCGCCGCCGCCAACTCGGGCTCGACCTCGGGTGCTGCGGCTCGCGTTGGCGGCGTCGCGGGTCTCGTCGTCGGCGCCGTCGCAGCTTTCACCGCCGCGATCGTTGTCTGAGCATCGCCTGGAGCTCTACGAGCCGGGTATCGTGACGAGGAGCCGCCGGCCGGCGACAGAAGGGAGGCCCGCCCGAGGCGGGCGCGACTCGGGCCACTTTTCGACTTTCCCAGATCATGCGATCTCTGTCTTTCACTTCATTTAGCGTGTCACTTGCGTAGCTTGCGAGGCCTGCATCGTCTGTGCTTTTTTGTCGTACAGTGTCAGAGAGGGCCGTGCACGCGACCTTCTCAAGTTGCTGGCTCTCCTCCTTCGCTGCGTCCCTCGCTCCCGCCGATTCGTGGCGCCCCGCAGAGTCGCTCAACCGCTCGCCTCGCTCTCCCGCTCCTGCCGTGCTCGTTCTCTGCGGACGTCGGAGCCTCCGACGCTTCGTCTCGTTCGTTCGTCCGCAGCTTTCGTCGCTCGACCACCGAGTCCCGCGCGCCGGCCGCGGCCCCCGAGCCTCCTGTCCGTCTTTCGCGGACGCAAGAGAGAGACGACCGCAGCCCAACGAGTCCCGGCCGAGTCTCAACCGCACGGCCCGCAGCGAGCGCCAACTTGAACCGCTCGCCGAGCTCCGAGCCTCTCTCGCCCTCACTCGAGATCTCGTCCCGCCATGACCGCCCCGCCTTCCTCGACCAGCTCTCAGCAAAGCTACAACCCGCACGAGCCTATCGCCCGCTCACTCGACACCATCCACGGCTGCCCACAGGCCGGCTTCGCTGCCGGCGCTTTGCGGCGCGTCGTGCGCCCACTCGCCCACTACGAAACCGCCGTCCGCAAGCCTGCGGTCGAGCGCCTGAACACCGTCCGGGCGCGACTCGACCTCGAGGTGCGAGAACAAGCACGGCGACGCCGGCTCGCCGAGGACGAGAGGCAGCGGTGGTGGGACGGTTTGTTGCCTGAGGAGCGACGGCGTCTGTCGGTGCGGCGGCGACGGGCAAATTGGCAAGAGGAGATCGAGCGCGAGCACTCGGCGTGGCAGGAAGGGCTCGAGCGGCGGTACGAGGAGGCTCTGACGCGTGAGCAGGAGGCGGACGTGTTCGAGCGCACCTTGGCAAGCTTGTCGGCGGAAGTGCGTCCCCACCTCAGCCTCTCAAAGAAGGTCCTCTCGAAGAAGGCGAGACTGACCCGCCAATGCGCACCCAGGATCACTCGCTCAGCAAGGTCGGCGCCTTTCCCGAGGTCAAGCGGTCCGTGCGACGGGACGGTTACTGACACCCTGCCACCCGCTGCAGCTTTGCGTCGGCAATGGTTCTCGGGCCACGTTCGGGTGCAGCGTTCGACCGCAGGGCCGGCTCGTGGGCGCACAACCCGGTACCTGGTGACGGCAGCGGGAGGTGGGGGTGGGCGGACGGGACTCTCGTCGGGGCTGCATCGCGCATTCATTGAGATTCCTTCCTTCGCGAGCGCGAACAGTGCTCTAGACATAAGTACGCTGCCGCGCCGAGGTTACAGAAGCTGGGAAGGCGACCTTCCCAAGTTGACTTGCTCCACCTTCTTCTCGCTGGCGGCATTCGAGCGAGGCCGAGAGCTGCGGAAGCGTTCGAGAGCGTCGCAGACGATAGGCCGAGCGAGACTCGGGGCACGAACCGGTCGAGAATCGTGCTCGAGGCGAACGGAAAGGAAGTGCTCGCTGAAGTGGACGAGCCCGCGAGCGCAGTGAATGAAATGCAATGCAAGGAATACAAACAGCATAGACAAGGATGTAAGGGAGGATGCGAGAGGAGAGTGAAGGCTCGCTCAGAGCCCGTCGTCGTCGTCGTCGTCGTCCTCGGCGAGCGACTCGTCCCACGAGAGCCGCCTCTTCCACCTGCGCCGCAACGCCTCGACGCCGTCATCGTCCTCGTCCTCGTCGTCGTCCTGCTCGACGGTCGTGCTCGACATGTTGACACCCTGAAGCAGGTCGGTCCACACGAGCCGGACCCACTCGTCGTACACCTCGCCGCGAAAGTGGACCGCGTCGGGCCCGTGCCGCCCGGCCTTCATCCACCCGTCGCTGTCGACGATGCCGCGCGTGAGCGCCTCGACGTCGATGACGCGCCCCTCGCCGCCGAGCGCCGGGTGCCGCGCCGCGAACGCGTTCTTGGCCTCGACGAGCGCGTTGTTGCGCACGAGGTCCTGGTGCGGGAACCGGGCGAGCGGGATGTACCGCGCGTCGACGAGCGTCGTCGTGAACAGGCGCAGGTTGGCGCGGTCTCGGGCGGCGCGAGACAACCCGCTCGACTCGGCAAAGAGGGCGTCGAGCGAGCTCGACACGCCGGCGAGCGACAGCTGCTCGCCGTGCGAGCCGAGCGACAGGTAGGTGCGGTGCGGGCGGACCATCTTGGCGACGGCCTTGAGCGCCGGCGAGTGCTTGAGGGCCGACGCGAGGCGCGACTTGCGCAGGAACGACGCGAGGTCCGTGTCGACGAGCGAGACGAGGTCGTCGCGGTTGACGGCGACGGCGGTGGCGAACGCGTCGTTCTTGGCGCCCTCGTCCTCGCGCTCGTGCTGCGCCGACTCGACGGCGACGACGGGCGCCGCCTCGTACCACCACTGCCACGTGACGACGACGTCCGGGAGCGCCTTGCCGTCCTCGACAGGCGGCGCGCCGTCGCGGTACCGGAACGCGACGCTCGCGTGCGTCCCGTTGTGCGTCGGCGAGTCGAGCACCTTGCTCGCCGACACCTTGCGGCCCTCGCCGAGCGACGCGGCGAGGTGCGTAAACATGTTGCGCGCGTTCGAGTCGCCGACGACGTGCAGCCACAGCGGCTTGGTCGGACGGGCCTCGGCATCGACGAGGAAAGGAAGAGGGAGCGTCGGCGTCGCGAGGGTGCAGGGTGGCGAGGTAGGAAAGAAGGCGAGGTTCGACCAGTGGCCGGCGAGGGACGACAGGTCGGTGCAGAGGGCGAGGTCGGCGACGGCTTCTGCGCACGAGCACCAGGGTCAGCGAGTCGGGGAGAGAGAGAGCGCGAATAAAGAAAGGTAGGGCGCACCTTGAACGAGATGGACGACTTGGCCGCTCAGGACCTCGACCCGCTCGCCGACGTACCGCAGCTGGTCGCCCGCCGCCGCACCGAGCTCGCCTTCGACACAGGTCTCGGCCTCGTCGCCGCACGGCACACCGTCGAGCGCGCCCGGGAAGAAGCCGAACGCGAGGTGGACGTCGAGCTGGTACGGCCCGAGCGGGACGGCGACGTCGGACGGGACCGAGACGAAGTACGACAACTGGTCGACCGAGCGACGTGGACGGTCGAGGGCGACGAGCGTCTGCGTGTCGACGTTGTCGAGCGTGTCGTCGCCCGACACCGAGACGAGGCGGGCCGAAAAGACGGCCTGCGAGAGGCAGCTCGAGGGAACGGCGTCGTCGAGCGGCTCGCGCGGCGCGACGAGGTACTGCAACCGGGACGTCTCTGCGAGGGTCGAGGCGTAGGATGCAAGACGCGAGAGAGTGACCGAAAGAGGGTGGGGACGGACCGGTGACTGCCCAAAAGCCCGCTTGGCCGACTTGCGCCTGAGCGCTCGCCGGGCACTCGACCTCGTCCGACGACGGCTCGCGCCAGTCCGGGTCGACTGCGCCCTGCGCCGAGCCGCTCGGGGCGTCGACAACGTCGTCGACGGGCAGCTCGAGGTCGGCGAGGTGGTCCTCGCCCGTCAACTCGTCGGCGAGCTCCTGCGCCTCGTTGGCCGTGCTCGCCGCGTCCCACCGCCACGTCGCGGCGGCCGCGTCGACGACTCCCTGCTTGGCGGTCGTGACGGCGGACGGGAGGTGCTTGTCGGGGACGATGGCGGCGCGAGACGCAACCAGGAAGAGGGTGGACGCCGCGGTCGCGACGAGGACGAGGCGGCGACGGGTTCGAAGCGCGTGGCCGGCCCTCGTCGCTGCTCCGGGTAGCGGCAAGGTTGACGAGGGCGAGGGTGAGGCGGGCAAGGGCGTGTAGTCGGCGGCGGTGGACGAGGACGACGACGAGGTGGTCGCGTTGCGGACGAGGGCGGTCCAGGGCGGCATCGTCGGTCGTGCGGCTCGCGCTCGCCGTCACTCACTCGAGTGCTTGCAGGTCGAGTTCGAGGCGGGCGGTCTGGAGTTGCGGCGGGTGTGCGCTCTCGAGGCGCAGGCGGAGGTGAAGGTCGATGGAGGGCGAGCGCGCGACGAGGAGGGTACGCTCGGCAGATAGCTGTGCTTGTCGTCGAGCCGTCGAGCTGCAGCAAGCAGCCGTGCGTGCAGAGAGGGAGTGAGGGAAGCGACTGAAGGTCCCGCTGTCTTGGGTCCAGACGCTTGCTCTCCGCGCCTCGTCCGCGTATCGGCGCGTGAAAACTGTGCGACGCACACTTCGCTCGACACGCTCTCGTCCTCTCGAGTTGCTTTCCTTCGTCGAGTCGGTACTCGCTGCATCTCTCTCGACGACACGACTTGGGCTCGTCTCGAGAGGAAAGCCGGACCATAGCAAGGTCCGCTAATCGACATTACCGCCACGTCGAATACCAACTCGCGGCCGGCTTCGCTCGTGCTGCGAGCGCGGTCGCACGCTCGCTAAGAAGACGCAAGCTGCTACCTGTCGAGCAGATTGAGCGAGCGCAGCGCGGGCCTGGGTTCTCCGCACAAAAGTGGGTCCGTGCGTTGTCGGGTTTGAGAAGGCCCGGTCGTCGAGGTCGTTCGCTTTCCCGACTGCTTTCCTCATGTCTCTGTCGACGCTCTCTCGTCGCCGTACGCACGGGTCGCCAGCGGCAGACCTTGCGATCCGTTACGCGCCTCTCGATTCCTGACTTCCGAGCGCGAGGTGAAAGCGCGGGGACGAGCTCTACGTGTCGCGAAGGATCAGCGCCCCAGCTGGAGAACTTGCGCCGGCCTGCAGCTGCGCATCAGAGTTTGCCTTCGCGCACATGAGCAGTCCGGAGCAGAGAGCGCTCGAGAGCGACACGAACAAAGAGCAAAGAGCGGCGGCGGCCTTCCCAAACTCAGACTTGCGCTCGAACCGTGGAACGACGGGCCTCGGGCTCGATCGATTCCTGCCCGAGCTTCGCCGCAGGGAGAACCGAGAAGATGTGTGGCCGTGCCTGACGTCGGCTCCGTCGCGAGAAGCCTGCCGTCCGTTGACGGAGCTCTTGCGACACCGCGAACAAAGGGAAACCGAGAGAAGAAGGAGTTGCCGGCCGAGGGCTGAGGAAACGCTCTGCCGCAGCGTTCCTCGATCGTACCTCGGCTAAAGACGATCTCCTCGTCCAATCCGTGAGCGGAGAATGCGCGCCCGGACTGAGCGTGCGCCCCTTGCACCCGCTGCCTCTGGCTCTCTACTGTACCTTGGCCCGGCCTGATTTTCGCAGCTCCCCTTGCAAAGTCCCGGCTGGCGCTCCATTCAGTCTGTGCCATGCTCCCTGCCACCGCTGGCGGATCGCCGCCGAAATGCCGCCGGTCGCACCTCGCACCTTGAACGCGACACCTCGCTGTCCAAGGCGCTCTCTTTCCCCCCTCGCCGCCTGTCTTTCACTCTCCGTCGACCAGCATGAGCTGCCCGCTGCCTGGATGCGGCCCGTGGTCCACAAGACGCTGTCGCCCGTGCAGCTGCGCCTCGGTCCCGTCGTCCTTCGAACCGCCACGTCAAAGTCACCTCGCGACCTGCGCCGTCCCGCCTAGCTGCGGCACCAAGGCAGCTCGACGTCGACGTTCGCCAACGACAAGCGCTCTCGACGACGCAGGACTCGCGGGCATTCCGCCAGTCTTCCTGCGCGACTCGCTCCTTCTTCTCGGTGCGTCTCTCTCCTCCTCTCGCTCGCGGACGGCAGCCGGGAGAGCTCGACGGACACGACCTGACGTGTTGCCCCTCCGTCATTGTGCTACAGCTCCTCGCCTCCTCGCAGGAGCAGACAGCGTCACGCCCATCCTCCCTCCTTCCTCCTCGGCGCACGCCTCCGTCGACCTCCTCCCACCCATCCTCGACTGCCTCCTGGAACCCCTGCCCATCGACATCCCTGCGGGGTATGGCCTCGTGCCAGACCACGTCCTCGCCGCGACGATCCCGTCGCCCGCCGGCCCCGGCGCCATCGAGCGCGTCCTCGTCCCGATCCACTCGCTCCCCTGGTCCCTCGCGTCGCCGACGCTCGGCGCGCATCTCGCCGAGTGCGCTGCCGCTGCCGCCACCTCGGAGCTCGACGCCGACCTGCGTATCGCGGACGTCGCTGCGCCGCCGACACATCCAGCCTCGCCGCCCTCCTTCTCGTCGACCGCTCGGACCCGACCGTCGAGCTTGACGCCGTCGTCGCCGCCGACGCGCACCTCGCACCTCGCCCTCCCCGTCGTTCCCCTCCTCGTTCCCTCCCTTGCCGGCTTGACAGCCCTGCACGCCTTCATCTACACGCGCACGCTCGGCGCCCTGCCGCTCGACGCCGACGGCCTCACCGACGTCGGCCGCTGCGCACGTGCCCTCGGCGTCGAAGGCGAGGTCGCGCGTGAACTCGACGACGTGCTGTGCGAGGCGTGGGCGAGGTCGGGGTGGAAGGTGGAGGACTGCGAGGGCGATGCGGACGACGAGGAGTGGAGGAGCGAGGAGGGAGAGCTCGACGCGACGTCGGGTTGCGGATCGGGGAACGAGGAGTCGGAAGGATAGACGACGGCAGGGTGGGAGGTGGCTCGAGAAGGGCGTCCTTGCAGGGCGGGCGTGAGACGGTGAGTCGGCGGGCGAGGAGCGGGCGGGCGGGTCGTGCTCGTCGAGCCGGACATGTAGCACTATGGTATCGAGAATAAAGTCAGTACCGGTACATGAACGTCCTCGCACGAGCGAAAGTGTCGCGCGAGGCCCGCACCCGCTCGCCGCCGCACGCTCCTTCTCTCTCCGGCCCTCTCCTCGTGTCGAGCGGCAACGACCTCGCGTTGCTCGTCTCGAGCAGACCTCGCGCTCGCCTGCTACACACCCCATGTGTCCCTTGCCCTCCTCCATCTCGCCTCCTCCTTCTCGAGCACGCGCCGCACGCCGTCCCGCTCGCCCTCGTCGAGGAACAGCACGGCCGCGTCCCACCTCGCCGTCGCCGACAAACCCTCGAGCAGGCGCGGAACCCACTCGGTGTCGCGCTCGAGTTGCTCGACGCCGGCGGGCGCGAGCGCGAGTGGGAGCACCTCGGCGAGGATGGCGCTGAGGAGGTCGGGTTGGACGCCGGCGGCGCCGAAGAAGGCGCGCAGCGAAGACGGGCGAGGGTCGAGGGCGCGCAGGAGCGCGAGGCGGGTCGATGCGCCGGGAGGTGTGAGGAGGAAGTGCGTCTCGAGGGCGGTGGCGGATGGCGGAGGGGGAGCTGAGGAACTCGTCGGGCGGAGGAAGGCCGAGGGGATGAGCGACGCCGGCGCCGCGTCGTCGGTCGAGGACGAAGGAGCAGAAGCTGAGCTTGTCGAGGCTGCCGGCGGTGGCGGCGTGGCGCCGGCGGGTTGGGCGAGAGGCGCGGCGTCTTGCGGCGAGCTCGAGGTCGGCGGCGCCGGGTTCGACGAGTCCGGGCTCGCGAGAGGCGCATGCGGTGCCGGAACGTCTCGTGCCCGAGGGTCCGAGGCTTGACGAGGCGGCTGCGCCTGTTTCGCCGTGCGCGCCTGCTTCTTGGCCGCGAACGAGCTCGCCGGCCGAGACCCGGGTTCGGGCGAGGCCGCCGAGGCTGCGGGTGCAGGAGCTGAGGGTGGGGTGGCGGGTGCTGACGAGGTAAGGCGACGCGACGAAACGGCCGTCATGAAGCCGTCGTTGGCGGGCTTGGCGGACGACGATTTGGAGGGAGAAGAGGAGGGAACGGGCCGTGCGAGAGCGGCGCGCAGACGCTCCGTCGAGGGCGATGTCGCTTTTCGTGGCGGCTCGGGCGGCGAGACAGGGTTCGACTGTGTGCATGCGGTAGAGTGAGCACGCGAACGAGGCCGAGGAGAGGGCGAGGCGGCGGCGGACCTTGTTCGACGCAGTGGCTTTTGGCGGCGCCGGCTTGTCGACCTTGGCGTTGTCGAGCTGTGTCGCAAGCAGGGCGAGCTCGTTGTTGACATCGTCTCCTGCACCTTGCCGCTTGGCCTCCTCGAAGTCTGCGTGTCGGGTGCGACAGAGGTCAGGGACCGAGGAGAGCGAGGAGAGGGAGGGGGGGCGGACGGACCGGCTCGCGCGAGTTCGAGTTTGCCGAGTTGCTTGCGGGCAGTCGCTCGACGGAACAGGGCTTTTGGCGAGTGGCCACCTTGGAGGGCGAGTGCGGTCGAGGCGTCCTTGTCGGCGTCGCGAGGGTTGTCGAGGCGGAGGTGGACGGCGGCGCGATTGAGCGGGTACGTGGCGACCGAGGGGTCGAGCTGGATGGCGGTCGAGTAGTGGGCGAGGGCGAGCTCCCACTGGCCCGCCTTGAACGCGGCGTTGCCCTGGCGAGACGAGGTTCAGCTGAGGTTCAACGAGGAGGGCGACGAGGTCGACACGGGACGGCGATGGATTAGGATTGACTGCGAGTTTGGCTTGTTCAGCCTTTGGCGTCATGGCGCACTGCCCAGCCGAGTCGCTGGTCGAGCGACGAGCGTGGCTGGCGACTTCATCTCCGAGCGGACGAAGCTGTTTGGCTCGTCCCTCTCTCACTCGCAGCCACGCTAGGCACGTCGAGCATGGCCTCGAGGTCTGCGCAGGGCGACCACTCGCAGCACGGCGAGTACCGGCAACCGCACTCGGCCGCCGCTCGAGGCGCACCTCATCCCTCGCCCTCCTTGTCCCCGTCTATCACGTCGCTCCTCAACGACTCGGCTGAGCTCGCAACGCCCTTCTCCGGCGAGGACTACTTCGCCCACGACTCTGCCACCGCCCCCGCCGACAACCCCGACCACCTCGCACCCACCACCTCGCCGACGCCGACCACCACCCCGAGCCCTTCCCCTTCCTCCGTCGGCCTCCTTCTCGCACAAGAACCGCCGCCACACCCGCCCCACAGCAACGTCGACCCGCCCGCTCAAACTGTCGCCCGCCCGAGGAGCTCGCACAAGCGCCCGCGCCCGACCAGCTCGTCTGGCTCGCTCGGCACCGCCCCGCTCACCCCGTCGGCCGCCGTCCGCGCCGCCGACCTCGAGGCCGAGGGCGCCATGGAGCCGCCGTCGACCCGCATGCGCCGCTCGAGCTCCATCTCGTCCAACCCGCCCGCACCACCACCACCGGCCCCTCCCCTCCCTTCCGCCGCATCCGCACCCTCACCTGCACCTGCGCCCGCGCCCGCACCCGCACATGCCGCGCGACCCGCACCTCCCCCTCCTCCGTCGTCTACTGCCGCTCCCGTCGCCACCGTCCCGGGCCAACCTCGCCTCGAGCCCAGCATCTTCAACGTCGAGCCCATCGACGAGTTCACGCGCGAGGTCGCCGACTGGCTGTGGGGCTTCTGCGCCCAGCTCGACTGGGACAAGGTCGAGGTGCGTCCTCGGTCCTCTTTCGTCGAGCGAGAGGGAGCGCAGACTGATCAAGCTGTACGGGCCACGCAGATCGAGGCCAAGGTCGGGCTCCTCACCGACTCGCGAGCGGGCGGCTCGCGCGTCCACCTCCCGGTGCCCATAGAGACCAGTGCGTCCCGTCGTCTCTCTTTCCCGGATGCGCACTCGACCCACGTCCTGACCGTCTGCTCGTCCCCCCCTCCACGCAGTTTTGACCGACGACACGGGCTTGCGGTTCGAGAGCAACATGACGGTCGTGCGTCGCCGGGATCTCTCTCGGTCAACTCTTGTGGCACAGTCACTGACTTCCCTCGACTTCCCTGCACTCGACCTCGTTCTCCTCGCGCCCCTTGACTTCGAACCTCCTTCCTCGCGCTTCGCCCTTCCTCGCGTGCCCAATCAACCCGACCTCGCGCACCGACAGAACCAGCACAAAGCGTTCAACATGCTCCTCAACTCGCGCGTCGAGGAGGCGGCCCAGCCGTCGTACGCCTCGGCCCGCGTCCGGTACGCCCACACGCGCGAGCTCGACACGTTCCACGACGTGCCGGCGCACCAGGGCCAGCCGCGGCGCAAGGTGCGCGTCACGCGCGACCAGAAGGACAAGAGCAAGGTGCACGCCGTCGAGAAGGTCCGCGTCGCCGACATGAACGTGTTCAGCCCCAAGAGGAGGTTCGACTGGAGGGTCAGCGTCAGCCTCGAGATGCCCGGTCCGTCCGCTCTCGCTCTCTCGTCGTCCTCCCCGTCGTCGCCCGCGTAACTGACTCGTCTTGCCCGTACCCTCTCTCGCCCCCTCGACCTCGCCTTCCTGCTGCCGCACAGCTCCCATCCCCGACTCGGCCCCGACCCACTCTCGGCACAAGGACCGCATCTCGTACTCGCACCAGCTCTTCCAGGTCGACCTCACCCAGGTCTCGATGCCCCAGGCGCCGCTCGCCCCGCCGACGCACGAGCTCGAGGTCGAGTTCAGGGCGGCGCGGCCGCTCCTCGAGGAGGCGGCAAAGGAGCAGCGCGGCGAGGAGAACCGGTACCTCGACATGGTCCAAGGGCTGCTCAACAACGTTCGTGAGTCCTGCCGCTCTCTCCCTCGTTGTCTTGGCGCAGAGCGAGCCTCGCTCGCGCCCTGAGTCAAACCACCGTCGACGAAAGAGTCTGACCTCGGACTTCCTCGTGCCGCAGGCATGCTCATTCGCAACGCGAGCGATCCATGAACGTCGAGCGTGTCGGCTGCACGCTGGGCGTGCGGCTCCCGATCTCGTGGCCCCTCCCTCGCGGCCTCCCTCCCTCCTCTCCTCCCTCGCTCTTTGCCGTACCCCTCCCTCTCTATTCTTCGCCGGGCGCACAATAGCTGCACTGCACAGACAATCCCCCGCTTTCTCTCTCTCTCCCTCTTTCTTCTTTCTTGTTTCTCGCGGGAGAGCTTCTCGGGGAACGTGCACGCGAGCGGGAGAAAGGGCTGCAGCGCCGACGAGCCGGCGCGCAAAGGCCGATCACATTACGAGTGTCTGTAGCTGGCTAGTCTGTGCAAAGGGGGGGGGGGGGGGAGAGAGCGGTCTGATAAAGAGGGGGCGGGGCGGACGAGGGCAAGGGGAAGGAGAGGTGCGAGTTGGTGACAAAGATGGTGCGAGAGCTGAGTGCGAGGCGGGGCGAGGGGTAGACACGGTCGAGCGGTGCTGTAAACGGCGAACGACAATCCTGGAGAGAAGATGGGCGAGACAGAAAGGCGCGAGAGGCGAAGCGAGTACGACGAGAGGAATGAGGGGAGGTCGGGCTCGGGGAGGGGCGAGGTCGATGATGTGGCGGGTCGGTGAACGAGGCGGCGCTCGACGATGACAGGAGGGCGAGGCGACGTCTATCCCGTCCGGCCCCAGCGACGACCGCCGCCCTCGACGCTGCGCATGCTCTTGCCCTCGCTGCGCAGCTCCTCTTCCATGATGCCCCTCCCGACGCCGTTCCCCTCGCCGCTCCCGCCGCTCCCGCTCGAGTCGGTCCCCTCGGGCGCGCCCGTCGGGCTCGGTCCGGCGCCTGGGCCCGCACTCGCGCCGCTGCCGACGCTGCTCGCGAGCGGTGGCGCGACGGCCGGCACCGCCGGCGCGTACTCGGGCTTGCGCAGTGCGGCGCGGAACGCCTCGGCCATGCGCGCCGCGTCCGACTGCGACAACGTGTTGTCGTCGTCCTTCTCGAGGTCCTTGCCGCCCGCCGCCGCCGCCGCCGCTGCTCCACCTGCTGCCGCGCCGCCGAGCGCGCCGGCTCCGAGGATGCCCGCAGGCGGCGCCGCCCTGCTGCTCGCCCGACTCTCGCGTGTGCCCGCACTCGCGGTGGCGCCTGCTCCCGCCGCGCCGCCGAGCATGGGCTCGGTGCTGCCGAGGTCGGTCAAGTCGCCCGAGCTCGCGCCGCGCCGACCTGCGCCCGCCGCGGCTGCGGCTGCTGCCGCCGCCTCGTCCTGCCGGCGTCGCCGACGTCCACGGCCGAGGCAGCAGTAGACGGCGATGGCGCCTGCGAGGAGCGCGAGGAACCCGAGGACGGCGATGAGGGCGATCGCGTAGTTGGGGATCGAGGGCCCGCCCGACGACGACTCGTTCTGGAGCGAGCCGGGTCCCGAGCGCGACGTGCTGCGCGACGAACCAGACCCCGACTCGCCCGAGGCCGAGGCGGAAGATGCCGATGCCGCCGAGAGGGACGAGATTGACGAAACCGAGGCGAGCGAGGCGGACGAGACGGAGGGAGAGGACGAGAGGGACGAGGTGGTGAGTGCCGCAAGGGCAGAGGAGAGGGATGTCGGCGCGGCCGTCTCTGCACGGCGGGCAAGCGAGGATAAGGTCAGGGAGGGGGCACGCTGGAGGAGACAAAAGAGCGCGGACGCACGGATCGCCGTGAACGTCGCGCCGTGGACCTCGCCGCCGGTTAAGGTGTCGCCCGCCGGCACGACGACGAAGAAGTAGGGCGTCGAGCGGTTGCGCGCGCTGTCGCCGAACCACTGCTGCGCCGTCTGGCCCGCCGGCCACCAAGGATCGTCGGGCACGATGCCGATCATGCCCTGCGCGTTCGACTCGTTGCGCCAGGACGTCGCGATGTTCTGCGTGTCGGCGTTGTACAGGTAGACGTCGACGCGGCCGCGGCTGATGAAGGACGGCTGCGCCGAGTTCCAGATGGCGAGCGAGTAGTCGTCCTGGACGAGGGTCGTGTTCGACTCGGGGTAACACGTAAAGACGCTCAGGTCGACGTAGTAGCACGACGGGTCTGTTTCGGGATCGGGCCGGACGAGGCGGTCAGTGGACGCTCGGGACGACGAGGCGACGGGGACGAGAGGGAGAAGATGGCTCACAGCCCTCGGCCTGCGGGATCTGCCACTGCCTCCGGTCCAGCGACACGCCTGCTCCTGCACCGTCTGCGACCGCACGGCGCCGCTCGCTCGTGCGCGACCGCCTTTCGAGGCCCTTGGGGAGGCGCCGCGCGCCGAGCGACCGGCCGCGGTCGTCGTCGCCGCGAGCGAGTCGTACTGCGCGGCTCAGCGACTGGTCGAGTGCGTCGGCGACGGGTGGGACGCGGCGATCATCGCTCTGGCGGCTTGGAGAAGGGCGAGGCGAGGTCGAGATGAGGGGGGCAGGGTCGGCGAGACAGGTGCCGTGGCCCTCGGGCGGGACCGCCGTTTGGACGGGCAGTTGGGTGTGGTGCTGTGCGAGTGCTGGGGTGGCGGCCGGCGTCTCGCTGGCGGGGTAGAGAGGGCGGGAGGGTGCTGGAGCGAGGCGCGAGGTGGGGAGGAGCGACGGGCGGGATGCACGCGCCGCAAAGGCGGGCTGTGGGCCCATGGCGAGCTCTGCGTGGGCGGTGCTCGTCGCCTCGGGTACAGCAAGCAACGTCTGAGCGGTGGATGGGCGACAGAACCCGGGGACTTGCTCCTCGATCTTCCTGCGCTTGCCTCGCGTCGTCGTTGCTGTCGCTGCGCACGAGCGGTCTGCCTTGCGCGCACAGCTCGTTCCAGCCCACCCTCGCTACAGCGTCCCACTGCTCTCGAACCGCCCCGCGCCGTTCGCCTCCTCCTCCCGCCCGCTTCCTCCTCGGTCGTCCAGCCCGCGTCTCCCTCCTGCTCTCGCACTCCTGCTGCGACCTGCGCGACGCCGAGCTCATACCGAGTGCGGGGAGAAAGGTGGCTGCCACTCGGAGCGGCGGGCGAGAGGGGAGCAGCGCGCTGCCTCTTCGGCTTGCACCGCTCGCGGCCTCTTGTGCGCACGGTTGCTCGCTTGACTTGCGGCCGCGCCCTTTGCGCCCGCTGGCCCCTGTACGGACGTGTGCGCGGACCCTCCTCGGATCGGCGGCGGTCCACGGAGATCCCGACTCGAGCTTCGACTTCTCCTTCGAGGCCAGCGCTCAGCTTCCCTGCTGGCCGTCGCTGCGGCTTTTTCCCGCTCGTCCCTCTCCGCCATGGCGCACAACGGTCACGGCTCGAACCCGTACCAGCCCGGCTCGCGCCAGAACGCTCGCCGCCCTGCCCCGGAGCGACCCGACGGCGAGCCCGAGTCGCAGCGGCCGCGTCAGGACGCCTCGAGCTCGCGACCCGGCCACAGCGCTGTCACCTACAACAGCAACGTCGACAACGCCTACGGCTACGACCCTCGGGGGCCGCAGGCGGGAGCCGGGCGGCGCGCCTCGCGAGACGACAGGTTCTTGCCCGACAACGAGTGCGTCTGGCCTCGCTTTTTCCCCTCTCGAGACCCTCAACCTGACTCTCTCTGTGTTGCCAGACACTCAATGTTCGACGGCTGGCGCATGACGTTCGGGCAGGATCCTTATCACCGGCCAGAGGTCGACGGGCACTTTGACAACAGTGCGTTCTTTTGCGTCCAGCTCGCAGCGCAGGAGCACGCCCTGACACCCTTCTTACCCCCACAGATGGCAAGCCGCTCCCTTCTGACTGGTCCAACTCGTCCCGGTCGTCAATCGCCGTGAGCGCGAACGGCGGCGAGTACGGGTTCGGCGGTGGAGCGGCTGCGTCGGTGCGTCCTCCCTTTCCCTTCCTCTCGGCAACCTGCGACCTGCGACACGTCTCGAACTCGACGCGACGAGCGCTGACCACCTTGTCCGTTCGCAGAACGGGCCAGCATCGCGTCGTCCCTCGCAGCACGGTCACTCGCGCCAGTCGTCCGGCAACGGCGACGGCGACGTGACGATGGGCGGGCAGTGGTCGACGCCGCCGAGTCCCGAGCGCAACCGCAGTGCTCGCGGCAGCGTCTCGAACCCGAGCAACGCCGCTCTGCAGCGCGGCCGCGGTCGGCCTTCCTTGGGCTACTTCTCGGCGAACGGCTCGCAGGGCGCGCCGCCGTCGGACGGAGCGAGTCGTCGTTGAGGGTGCTGCCCGACCTGAGCGGGTTCTCGGGGCCGTGCACGGCGGCGGGCCGAATGGAGCGGCGAGAAGAGAAGGACGCACGGCCTGAGCGCTCGAGCGGTCACGATGGAACGCGCTTTCTCCTCTCGCACGACCTCCTTGTCCGTCCCTCCTGTCCTCTTCTCTGCGAGACGAGCACGAGAGCGGGCAATACTCTGCAAGCTGCGCCGCAAAGGAGGAGCGCGAGCCGGACGACAGCGAGCCGGCCGACGTCGCGCCCACGCTCGGCCACAGCCCGCGTCGACCTCTTCGACCTTCTGCCACCTCTCGCTCGCACTCAAGTCGCTCCGCTCGACCTGCTGCGCCGTGCAGACGCCTCTCTGCGGCACCTACGACCGGCCTGGACAGCTCTCCGCCCTCCTACCTCTTCCCCCTCCTCCACACCTCTGGTCCCCCACTCGCCGTCGTCTTTTCATCCGCTCGCCGTCCTCACCGCGCGAGGACGCTCGCCCGGGAGCACTAAAGCCTCGACACACACCGTGCGCCCCCTCTCTCGGTTACCTTGGACTCTCTCGAGCGACGCTGACCTTCGAAACCTTCTGCAGGCCCCACGACGCGGCCCCGTCTTCCCGCCTTTCCGCTCCTCCTCCTCGCCCGCACCCATTCGAGCTCCCCTTTCCGCGACACTGCCTTCGACTCTCGAGGCGGTGGCGCGCCGACGCTGGCTTGACGGCCATGTCGACTCGGCGCCGCTCGACCTCGACCTCGCAACCGACTGCGGCCGCCTCCCACCTCCCGCGACGCCCGACTCGGCCGCAGCCCGTCGTCACCAGCACGGCAATACTCCTGCAGCAGCTGCAGACGCTTGCGAGCCCACGGCTGAACGACTGTTGTTGGCGTCGCACAGCAAAATCCCCTCGTCCGCTCGCCGCGGCTCGGTTCTTCCCTCACGTGGGCCAGACCGCGGCGACGCTCGAGATCGTGCGACTCGCCTCGCTCATGCATGCACCCCCACGGCGACGACGAGCGCGAGGCGGGCCCGTCGGCGGGCTCCATGCGGGAGGGAACGGTCGGGGGACATCGATGCTCCGCTCGTCGCGCTCGCTGGCTCCGGTCTGCCCGGTTCGCCGCGCACCGCGCTCGCGCAGCGCTTGCGGCGCACACGCTCGAGCGCGTCCATGCTCGGCGCGTTACGGCGTCTCGCTGTCGCTCGAGGTCGTCGACGGCTCGAAGCCCCGCCCCGAGAGCGGACGGTCCTCGTCTGACGGATGGGCGCCGACCTGCTCCTCGGTGACAAACGCGTACACACGGCGCAATCGAGCCCGTGCTGGCCCTCGCATCGGGCAAACTCGCTCGCCGCTAGCCACTTGAGCTCCACCTGGTTCTCCGCTTCCGGCATCGAGCTTTGACCTTCTCAAGTTGGTTCCGCACCGCCTCGAGCGCGTTCTGCGACCCCTTTCGACGCCTGGCCGTCTCGACTCGACGTCTCGAGCCCACAACTGGGCCGACGAGCGTCCAAGAGTCGTCGCTGCAGCTCGGCAAGGGTGGGTGGAGGTGTCTCACCCGCAGGTGCCCCTCCTCTCGGCGCCGTTGGAGTGCGGCACCATCTCCCCACCATCAAGTCCCGCCTTTCTCTCTCCGAGTCGGACCCGCGCTTCGAAAACCTCTCTCTCCCTCTTTCTCCAACCTCCTCCCCACGGCCAGCCATGGAGAACGAGCCTTCTGCGCCTGCGTCCAAGACGACCACCCTCGCCGGCTCTGCCGCACCGTCGCGCGCCACCTCGCTCAAGAAGACGGCACCCGAGTCCGCCCCGACGTCGCGTGCGCCGTCGACGTTCCACCCGCAGGACGAGGTCGACGAGGTCCCGACCAAGGAGCGCGCGCCCGTCTTCGTCGTTGCCCTCTGCCTCTTCCAGTCGCTCGCCGGTCTCCTCTTTGGGTGCGTCCTGCCTTCTCTTCCTCGTCGTGCGCGAGCTCGAGTGGCGGTCGACCGTACCGTCGCTCGCGCGAGTCGGGCACGCATCCTCCTGCGCGTGCACGCTGACCCTTTCCCTTCCCTTTCCTCCCGGCGCCTCGCAGATGGGAGCAGGGTGTCATCTCGGGCCTCGTCCAGAACGACGTCTACCAGCGCCGCTTCGGCGAGCCTGATGCGGCGTCGCCGTCGGGCTACTCGATCCCGTCGACCCGGCAGTCGCTCATCACCTCGTTCATGAGCCTCGGCGCCCTGTTCGGCGCCCTCATCATCGGCCCCGTCGCTCGTCGCACCGGCATCAAGAAGTCGTTCATGTTCTCCCTCTTCATCTACATGGTCGGCCTCGCCATCGAGACGTCGGGCCAGGACCAGTGGGGCCAGGAGGTCGCCGGTCGCTTCGTCACGGGTTTCGGCGTCGGCTCGCTGTCGCTCCTCGCCCCGCTGTACCAGGCCGAGTGCTCGCCGAAGCACCTGCGCGGCCTCATCACCGGCACGTACCAGCTCATGGCGACCGTCGGCATGTGCGTCCCCCTTTCTCTCTCGCCTCCTCTTGTCGGCGCCCTCGAGCGCTCTTCCTTCCTCCGTCAGACCCTGACTAGGCACCTCCCACAGCTTCCTGTCGAACGCCGTCAACTACTCGCTCCACGACGCCGGCAACGACTTCTCGTGGCGCTTCCCGATCGCGGTCCAGTTCATTTTCGGCGCCGGCGTCTTTATCGGCACCGTCTTTGCGCCCGAGTCGCCCCGCTACTTCGTCCAGCGCGGCAACATCACCCAGGCTCGCGCCAACCTCGCCAAGCTGCGCGGTCTCGAGCAGGAGGACCCTGCGCTCCTTGCCGAGCTCGACCAGATCGTCGCCGGCGTCGAGGACGAGAAGCTCGCCGCCGACTCGACCTACCTCGACTGCTTCCGCGCCAAGGACAAGATGCTCCTGCGCACCATGAACGGCATCCTCATCCAGATGGGCCAGCAGTGGACCGGCGTCAACTTCTTCTTCAGGTGCGTCCCCGTCGACCTTCTCAAACTCGATCTGCAGCGCTAACTCGCCTCCTTTTGCCTCTCTCGTGCAGCTACGGCACCAAGGTGACTACCTGCAGTATCTCGGCCCGCTCGGCGAGCGGTGACAAAGACCCTGACCTCGTTTCCCCCCTGTCCTCGTCCCGCAGTTCTTCGCCGCCTCGGGCATCAAGGACTCGTTCATGACGCAGCTCATCCTCTCGGGTACGCTCACTGTCTTCTAACGGACTGTGCTCGGACGAGGAACCGTCACTCACGCTTGTGTTCCCCTCTCGCAGGCGTCAACGTTATCGCCACCTTCCCGGGCCTCCTCGCTGTCGACCACCTCGGTCGCCGCACCGTCCTCTTCATCGGCTCTTTCATGATGTTCTCGGGCCAGGTCATCGCCGGCGCTGTCTCGACGGCGAAGCCCAACGACCCGGCCGCCGGCAAGGCTCTCAGTGCGTCTGCCTCTCCTCCCTTTTCTTCTCTCTTTTCCCGTACTGACCATCTCGTCTCGACAGTCTTTGCGAGCTGCTGGTTCATCGCCGGCTTTGCGTCGTCCTGGGGCCCGCTCGGTACGTCCACGCCTCCTCGAGTCCAAGAGGTTCGAGCGGGAGCAAGGCGGGCTCTCTCGCCGCCGCGCTCTCCTCGGCCTCCTCTCCTTCAACGGACCGGTACTGACAGTCTTCATCGTCCTGCGCAGGCTGGGTCGTCGCCGCCGAGCAGTTCCCGCTCAAGATTGCCCCCCTCTGCGTCTCGCTCGCGACGGCCTCGAACTGGCTCAACAGTACGCCCTCTTCTCGCCCTGCCTCCTCGTCGAGCCTCACTGACCCTCAGCACAGACTTCATCATTGCCATGATCGTCCCGTACATCACCGACGCCGAGTACGCCAACCTCCAGAGCAAGATCACCGTGCGTCGCCTTCTCAAATCGCCTCTTTGTCGACCTCAGGTCGTCCGAACTGACTCTTTCTTCGGCCGCTCTTCGTCTGCAGTTCATCTGGGCCGGCGCCATTGCCTGTACGTCGAGGCTTCATCCCTTTCTCCTGAGCCCGAAGAGGAGGAGGTCGGGCGCGCCGGCTCGACTCGCTCGGCCCCCTCTGCTCTCGGTCGGCGATTGCGCATGCCCTGACTCGCTCTACTCCCACAGTGTTCACCATTTACGTCTTCTTTTTCCTTCCCGAGACCGGCGGGCTTTCGCTCGTCCAGGTCGACGAGCTTTACCTCACGTACGTCGCTCAGGCCTTTTCTCATCCGCCTCGAAAGTCGCAGCCCCTGACATTCTTGCCCTGTCCTCGTCCGTGTGCAGCGGTGTCCCGGCGTGGCGCAGCAGCTCGTGGACCCCGTACGGCGGCGCGACCAAGCGCAACCGCGAGGACCGCACCGACGAGGCCAAGCGCCTCAAGCTCGGAACCGAGGAGTCGCGCCTCGAGAACGTCCCGGCCAAGCGCAACCTCGACGACGAGGAGGAGACGACCGCCAAGGCGGCTTGAGCTTCCCTTTCTCTGTTGGTCGTCTCCCCTTCCGCAGCTCGCCTGCCCCTCGCTCTCGCACTCTCTTTCCCTCGTTCGCACTTCCTCCTGTCCCCTTTGGCTAGATTCCCTCGTCCTAGATTCTCAGATTACCTAGATTAGACCCTCATCGACGTACAGCAGCTGTCGTTCTGCATTGCATCGCATCCTCCCCTCTCGCTCGCGCCCGCACGGACCGCCGCAGCCGACTCGTCGCCTCTAGCTTGCTCGTCTCTCTCTCCCTGCGGCTCGTCGTCGATCGCCCGCACTGCGACACTCCTTGCGCCCTCGTGAGAGCCTGCGCTGCATCTGGCGGCAGCGGACGCGCCGCTGCTGCTTGCTGTTGCGCTTCGTCGACTCGCGCTTTCTCGAGCGCTCTCTCGGACAACAACGCGCAGAGGAAAAGGTGAACGGCACAAAGTCGACATTAGACAGCTAGAGAGTGGGACTAAAGACGATAGAGGGACTAGCTATGTACAGGAAGGAGAGCACAAACAGGCGACGAGGAAGGACAGAGGGCGGGAGGAGCTGATTCTGGGCGAGGGCTCTACACGTGCGCAGGGGCAGGGGGGTACATCTGCGACTGCGACTGCTGGGCGCCCATCTGCCGAAAGGAAGGAAGTCGTCAGTCCGACAAAGCTCGCGCCCGAGGCGAGGAAAGGGGAGAGAGGAAGAGGGAGCGCACCTGGGGTACTGCGCCCCACTGCTGCACCTCCTCGATGGCGAGCTCGCGGTGGTGCTGGCGCTGTGTGCACGGCATGCAGCAGCACGCGGTGCAGCAGTCGCCGAGCGCGCCGCCCTTGATGCCGTACCGGTTGCGGATGTCGCCGCGCGCCATGAAGTCGAGGACGAAGCCGAAGCCGGTGAGGCAGTGGACGACGAGGTAGAGGACGCCCGGGGTGCCGCAGCTCTCTGTGGGAGGCTCGACGTTAGCCAGACTTGCGCTCGCGCGCCGGTTTCACGTGCCGCGGGGAGGGAAGGTCGAGAGAGAGAGAGAGAGTGGACGGACCGACTTGTTCCTTGGGCTTGGGGCGGCCGGTTTGGGCGAGGTGGTCGTAGCGCTCCTTGTACTCTGTAGACTCGGGCGAGGTGGGCGAGGAGGCAATCGAGGAGGAGGGAAGGTGGGGGGAGGGGAGACGAGGTCAGCACGCGCTCGTCGGCCACATGGGACGAGGACAAGGGGGGGTAGGACTGACGACCGTAGGCCATGCAGGGGCACCAGCACGAGAGGCAGAAGCCCGGCACGTCGTTGCCGCACTCGCACAGCCCGGTCGACCAAGGGCGCTCGTGGCCAGGCTGAGCCGCGTTGTGCGCAGGCGGCGCACCGTGCACCGCCATGGGGGCTGCGCCGTGCGGCTGCTCGTAGACCGGGGCTTGCGGCTGCTGGTACTGCTGCTGGGCGAGCGCCGGCTTCTCCGGGGCGGGGTTGTTCATGGTGGGGGCGAGGAAGGCGACGACGCCAGGTGCGAGGGTCGAGGTGGTTCGAGTGGTGCGAGTGGGGCTCGAGGAGCTAGGTCTGTAGCAGAGCGCACAGCGAGGTACGGCGCGGAGCGAGCGAGAGAGAGAGAGAGACGAGCCGAGTCGTTCCCTCCTGCCTCTGAGTCGCTGCACCGCCTTGTCCCCACTCTCCCTTCGAGGAGCTCTCGCCTGTCAAAGGGGCCAAGTTCCGCACCCTTGGGCTTGGCCCTGTCACTCTTCTCGGCCGCATGCTCGGGACCGAGCCAACTGAGAATCGCCCGTGACGCTCGCGTTCTCGCGCCTCTCTCGCGCCCCACGTGCGCAACGAGAGAGGGACACACACAGCGTTGCACAGAAGAGAGACGAGAGAGAGAAAGGGGCAGCAAAGTGTAGGGGGACGCGAGGCGGACATGGTGCGAGTCGAGGGTCGGATTCGAGGGGGGCGAGCGACGACGAGAGACTGACAGCGAATGCGATTTACTCGGGGCGCTTGAGCTGGCTGCCGACGCTCGCCTTGCGCGAGTAGAACTGTGCGGCGCGAGAGACGAGGGGGCTGTCAGGATCTGCGAGCGACGAGTCGAGGAATTCGAGTGAGAGAGGGACGCACCTCGTCGAGCACCTTCTTCGGGATGCGGTTCAGTTGCTGCGTGCGCGGGCCCAAGAGCGTCAGTCTCATCGTGAGGGAGGACCGAGAGGCAGAACAGGGTCGGGACGCACCTCGCGCGGGAAGAGCCTGAGGAGCGACCACGCCAAGTCGAGCGACTCGAAGATGGTCCGGTTCTCGCTGATGCCCTGCTTGACAAACTCGTTCTCGAACCGACCGAGGAACTCGAGCGCGAGCTGTGGAGGGACAAGGGTCAGGCGGCGTTTCGGGAGAACGAGGAGGACGAAGAAGAGGGAGAAACCGGCGGACGGACCTTCTCCTCGGTGCTGAGCGCCTCCTCGCCGACGACAGCCTTCATTGCCGCTGCGTCCTTGCCGATGGCATACTGCGGGAGCGTATCGAAGCCGTTAGTCGTGCTCGCGCTCATGGAGAGGGCGAGGGCGGGCGAGTCGCACCATCGAGTACCTGCGGGATGCGGGACGAGGTCAGGCGGGCGCAAAGGGAGGACGACGGGAGGAACGAGAGACGCACATCTGGTTGGACACGTCGCCGTGGTCCTTCCTCGTGAGCTTCTCGCCGATCGCCGACTTCATCAACCGCGAGAGCGACGGCAGGACGCTGCGGGAGGTGGGGCGCGTGGGTGAGGACGGGGCCGGGAACAGAGAGAGAAGCGAGACGAGGGCGCACTTGATCGGCGGGTAGATCTGCTTGTTGTGCAGCTGGCGGTCGACAAAGATCTGGCCCTCGGTGATGTAGCCCGTCAAGTCGGGAATCGGGTGCGTGATGTCTGGGTTCGAGGGTGCGACGGGGTCAGGCACGGCGCGAGGGGAGCAGGAGAGAGTGGGGCGCACCGTCGTTGGGCATGGTGAGGATGGGGATCTGGGTGATCGAGCCGTTGCGGCCCTCGACGCGACCGGCGCGCTCGTAGATGGTCGACAAGTCGGTGTACATGTAGCCCGGGTATCCGCGACGACCGGGCACCTCCTCACGGGCAGCAGACACCTCGCGCAGGGCGTCGGCGTACGACGACATGTCGGTGAGGATGACGAGGACGTGCTTCTCGAGCTGGTACGCAAAGTACTCGGCGGTCGTGAGCGCGAGACGGGGCGTGATGATGCGCTCGATGCTGTCGACGGCGAGGCGAGAGTGCGTCAGGCCCGGTGCTCGACGGACGGACGAGAGAGAGAGAGAGAAGGAGGGGGCGCACGTCGGGTCGTTGGCCAAGTTGAGGAAGAGCGAGACGCGGTCGAGCGAGCCGTTCTCCTCGAAATCCTGGCGGAAGAAGCGCGCCGTCTCCATGTTGACGCCCATGGCCGCAAACACGATCGAGAAGTTGTCCTCGTGGCCGTCGTGGACGCCCTTGGTCGGCGCCGCCTCCGGGTTGCGCTCGGTCGACTGCTTGTTGACGAGGCCGGCTTGCCGACAGATCTGGGCAGCGATCTGCGACGGCGACGAGGTGCGAGTGAGTCAGTGACTGAGGACGAGGACGAGAGGGCGGGACCGGGCGCCGACAGAGGGGGCAGGAACGAGGGACGCACCTCGTTGTGAGGAAGACCCGACGCCGAGAAGATGGGGATCTTTTGGCCGCGAGCGATCGAGTTCATCGTGTCGATGGTCGAGATGCCGGTCTGGATCATCTCCTCGGGATAGATGCGCGAGTACGGGTTGATGGGCGAGCCGTTGATGTCGAGGTACTCCTCGGCAAAGACCTTGGGGCCCTTGTCGATGGGGTTGCCCGAGCCGTTGAAGATGCGGCCGAGCATGTCCTCCGAGACAGGGAGCTTCATGCTGCTGCCGGTGAACTCGACGTGGGTCGCGTTGACGTCGATGCCCGACGTGCCCTCGAAGACCTGGACGATGGCCTTGCGGCCCGACACCTCGAGGACCTGGCCGCCGCGGACCGTGCCGTCCGGGAGCGTGAGCTGGACAATCTGTGGCGAGGGAGGGAGGGGGAGCCGTCAGGACGGGTCCGCTGATGGTTGACGACCCGGGCGGCCCGCAACCTCGCGAGAGGTGCACGCAGGCGGGACGAGCGGCGGTGCTGAGACGGACCTCGTTGTAGGCGGGGAACTTGACGTTGTCGAGCACGACGAGAGGACCTGTCGGGACCGGAACGTCGTCAGGACGAGTGACCCGACATTGCGCGGGAAAGGCGAGGAGAGGAGAGAGAGGGCGGCGCACCATTGACGGCCGAGACGGTGCGGTAGTCGAGGCGCGGGTTGACCTCGTACTTGCGGACGGCTGCGGCAGCGTTGAGGCTGGGTCACGCGAAAGGTCGCGTAGGACGTGCAGGTGGCAGAGAGAGGTGCGAGAGAGGGAGCGTGGGTCGAGAGGAGAGGCGGGGAGGTGGGGGAGGAAGAGGTGCGAGTCGCGGTCGAGCGGTGGCCAGGCGCAGGGAGGGGGGCGAGTTGAGGGGGCAAGTAGAGTCAGCTCGGGTGCTCTGCACGGTACGCTGGCCCTCGTGTGCGGTTGCCGCGGGGGCCGCCCACAGGACGAGGACTGGGCACCATGACGCCGCCGTCGCTCCCTCGCCCTCGTGCGGTGCCGGTGGCGGCCTCTGGGGACCTTTGGGCAGCCACCAAGTCGGCCCAGCCCTTTAGGCGGACCGACCGGAGCGTGTGCGAGGGTGGAGCGGGCTCATCTCGATGAGGAGGGACGACGAGGCCCCCTCGAGGCTGACGACGAGGGAGGTGGACGCACGCAAAGGCCTCCTTGTCCGAGATGCGCGGGTCGTGTGGAGCCATGGTCGCAGGCGGTCGAGCGCACGAGCGAGTGGTGGGGGAGGCGATGTCGAGGTCGAGCTGCTCCTCGCCCTCGTCGTCGCTTGCACTCGCCGCAGCTACCTCGCCTTGGGTGTGCGACCGCTTGGCACCACCGGACCGCTCCTCCCGCTCTCTTGCTGTGGCCGAGCCGCGCGCACCCCGTTGCCGTCGCCCTCGCTCGCCTCTCCTCCCCCCTCCCCCTCCTGATCGTCGTGCCCGCTGCCAGGACGGTTTGCGCTCGTGCGCCCGACCGAGCGTGCTCAGCGCGCACGCTAGACGTCGCCCTGAGCGGCCCTCGGCCTGGCGTCGAGTGCACTGCTCCCTCGCGCCGGCGACAGCGCGATTCCTGCCACCAGCCCTCCCTCGGCGCCCTTTTCAGCCCCGCCAGAGGGTGACAAGGGCCGCGCTCAACCTGCTTGGCGACCCTGGTCGCAGGCTGGAGCATCAGCTGCAGCTGTCGCTCGACGGCCGCGAGCTCCGCTCCAACCTCCTCGCTTCCCTGCTCGTCGTGTTCAAGCTCCCTGGACAAGAACGGGTGCCTCTCGTCGCTCTCGAGCCCTCTCTACTAGGTTCGCAATCCTTGCTGTCGAACGCTCTCCTGTCGAGGCGCGAGGGTCGCTGCTCGCGATCGTTGTGCCGGCGACAGGCTGCTCGAGGACCAGTTCGGCCTCCTACCGCCCCTCGTTCGGCCAGGGGCACAGCCTCGACCGACGAGTGGTCGACGGCAGCAGGACCGGCCGTGCGACCGCGCTCGCACGAGGCAAGCCGGCCGCGAGTTGGTATTCGACGCGGCGGTAATGTCGATTGGCGAATCTTGCTATGCGCAGTCCGGCTTGCCTCTCGAGACATCGTCGAGAGAGAGTACCAGCTACACGAAGGAAAGCAACTCGAGAGGGACGGGAGTGTCGAGCGAGGTGTTGTCGCACAGTTTTCACGCGCCGACACGCGGACGAGGCGCGGAGAGCGGACCCGGGACAGCGGAACCTCGAGACGCTTCCCTCGCTCCCCTCGCTCTCTCTCTGCAGGCACGGCTGCTTGCTGCAGCTGGACGGCTCGACGACAAGCATAGTCACCTGCCGAGCGCACCCTCCTCGTCGCGCGCTCACCCTCCATCGACCTTCACCTCCGAGTCCGCCCCGCCTCGAGGCGCACACCCGCCGCAACTCGATAGACCGCCCGCCTCGATCTCGACTTGCAAGCACTCGTGTGAGTGACGGCGAGCGCGAGCCGCACGACCGACGATGCCGCCCTGGACCGCCCTCGTCCGCAACGCGACCACCTCGTCGTCCTCGTCCACCGCCGCCGACTACACGCCCTTGCCCGCCTCACCCTCGCCCTCTTCGACCTTGCCGCTCCCCGCAGCAGCGACGAGGGCCGGCCACGCGCTTCGAGCCCGTCGTCGCCTCGTCCTCGTCGCGACCGCGGCGTCCACCCTCTTCCTGTTTGTGTCCCTCGCCGCCGTCGTCCCCGACAAGCACCTCCCGTCCGCCGTCACGACGGCCAAGCAGGGCGTCGTCGAGGCGGCCGCCGCGACGTGGCGGTGGGACGCGGCGAGCACGGCCAACGAGGCGCAGGAGCTCGCCGACGAGTTGACGGGCGAGGACCACCTCGCCGACCTCGAGCTGCCCGTCGACGACGTTGTCGACGCCTCGAGCGGCTCGGCGCAGGACGCAGTCGACCCGGACTGGCGCGAGCCGTCGTCGGACGAGGTCGAGTGCCCGGCGAGCGCTCAGGCGCAAGTCGGCGAGGCGGGCTTTTGGGCCGTCACCGGTGCGTCCCCATCCTCTTTCGTGCACTCTCTCTCGGATCGCGCATCTGACGCCTCGGACCTCGCAGCGACGTCTCGGTTGCAGTACCTCGTTGCGCCGCGCGAGCCGCTCGACGACGCCGTTCCCTCGAGCTGCCTCTCGCAGGCCGTCTTTTCGGCCCGCCTCGTCTCGGTGTCGGGCGACGACACGCTCGACAACGTCGACACGCAGACGCTCGTCGCCCTCGACCGTCCACGTCGCTCGGTCGACCAGTCGTCGTACCTCGTCTCGGTCCCGTCCGACCTCGCCGTCCCGCTCGGGCGGTACCAGCTCGACGTCCACCTCGCGTTCGGCTTCTTCCCGGGCGCGCTCGACGGCGTACCGTGCGGCGACGAGGCCAAAACCTGTGTCGAAGGCGAGCTCGGTGCGGCGGCGGGCGAGCAGCTGCGGTACGTCGGCGAGCGGGTCGAGGTCCTGAGCGGCCAAGTCGTCCATCTCGGTCAAGGTGCGCCCTACCCTTCCTTCGTTCGCTCTCTCTCTCTCTCTCGTCGACTCATTAACTCTGGTGCTCGTGCGCAGAAGCTGTCGCCGACCTCGCCCTCTGCACCGACCTGTCGTCCCTCGCCGGCCACTGGTCGAACCTCGCCTTCTTTCCTACCTCGCCACCCTGCACCCTCGCGACGCCGACGCTCCCTCTTCCTTTCCTCGTCGATGCCGAGGCCCGTCCGACCAAGCCGCTGTGGCTGCACGTCGTCGGCGACTCGAACGCGCGCAACATGTTTACGCACCTCGCCGCGTCGCTCGGCGAGGGCCGCAAGGTGTCGGCGAGCAAGGTGCTCGACTCGCCGACGCACAACGGGACGCACGCGAGCGTCGCGTTCCGGTACCGCGACGGCGCGCCGCCTGTCGAGGACGGCAAGGCGCTCCCGGACGTCGTCGTCACGTGGCAGTGGTGGTACGAGGCGTCGCCCGTCGTCGCCGTCGAGTCGGCGCAGCACGAGCGCGAGGACGAGGGCGCCGAGAACGACGCGTTCGCCACCGCCGTCGCCGTCAACCGCGACGACCTCGTCTCGCTCGTCGACACGGACCTCGCGTCGTTCCTGCGCAAGTCGCGCCTCGCGTCGGCCCTCAAGCACTCGCCGGCGCTCAAGGCCGTCGCCAGGATGGTCCGCCCGCACCGCACCTACCTGTCGCTCGGCTCGCACGGCGAGCAGCTGTCGCTCGCCGGCGTGTCGAGCTCGCTCGACGCCCTCTTTGCCGAGTCGAGCGGGTTGTCTCGCGCCGCCCGAGACCGCGCCAACCTGCGCCTGTTCATGACGACGCTCGTCGACGCGCGGTACATCCCGCTCGCCCGGTTCCCGCACCAGGACCTCGTGCGCAACAACGCGCTCGTCGAGGCCAAAAACGCGTTCGCGGCGCGGCACCCTGCGCTCGGCGGCGAGTGGCGCGTCATCGACGTCGAGGCGCTCACGCGCGGCATCGTCGACAGCGACGGGTGGATGAAGGCCGGGCGGCACGGGCCCGACGCGGTCCACTTTCGCGGCGAGGTCTACGACGAGTGGGTCCGTCTCGTGTGGACCGACCTGCTGCAGGGTGTCGATATGTCGAGCACGACCGTCGAGCAGGACGACGACGAGGACGACGACGAGGACGGCGTGGAGGCGATGCGGCGCAGGTGGAAGAGGCGGCTCTCGTGGGACGAGTCGCTCGCCGAGGACGACGACGACGACGACGACGGGCTCTGAGCGAGCCTTCACTCTCCTCTCGCATCCTCCCTTACATCTTTGTCTATGCTGTTTGTATTCCTTGCATTGCATTTCATTCACTGCGCTCGCGGGCTCGTCCACGTCAGCGAGCACTTCCTTCTCGTTTGCCTCGTTCGCTTCGAGCACGAGTCTCGACCGATTTGTGCCCGAGTCTCGTTCGGGCCGTCGCCTGCGACGCTTTCGAAAGCTTTCTGCAGCTCTTGACCTCGCTCGAATGCCGCCAGCGAGGAGAAAGTCGAGCGAGTCAACTTGAGAAGGTCGATGCGCTCGCTCCAAGAAATGCTGGCGACGAGTAACGACGGCGTTCGCTCTCGGCTCTCCTCGCTCTGTGCGCAAGACTAGAAAGAGGCGAGATCCTGGCGCATTGCAAGGCTCTCGCGCTTCCGAACGAGAGAGGCGCTCGACGAGGCAATCTGGTACAGGATGCTGACGAAGCTGATGGGAAGGACCGTCAGTATTTCGTGACGGGCGACACAGACGCAGAAGCGAAGAGAGAGGAGAGCGCACCTCGTCTGTCGCGTCGCGAGCCGCCCTCTTCAGCTGCTGCCCGTCGGCTCACCCGCCTCGACCCGCCGGATCTGCTCCTGCTGCTCCTCGGGCGTCAACCCGGCCAACCATTCCTCGATCTGCTCCTCCATCTCGCGCTGTTCTCGTGACAGGCCCGCGACACGCTGCGCCTCCTCGTTCCGCAAGCGGACGAGCGCACTCGCCGCCTCGGCGCGCACCCGCTCGGCATCTGCACCGCGCCGGATGAGGTTGAGCGTCGCCTGCCGACGGCGGTCGTACGCTGCGCGTTCGAGGACGAAGCGCTGGGCGGCGGCGGCGAATCCTGCGCCGGGTTGGCCAGGCCGGAACGCGCGCGCAACGGGTTGGTAAGGGTCGTCGGGTCGAGGTCGGCGGTCGCGCAAAGTCGAGGCACGGGAAGGCATGGCTGTCGAGGTGGCTGATCGAAGCGACGCGGGCAAGCTGAGAAAGCTGTCGAGAGAGAAAGCTGAGCCGAGCGTGCGAGCCGTCGCCTCGGTCGAGCCGGCCGAGGAACGTCGGCCGGCGACACGAGTCGTTGCCGGCAGACCCGGGGCAGCGGTACGACCCGAATCTGCCTGCTTCGGCGGGTGCAGCGGGTAGCCGAAGCGAGCCGCAGGAATGCAGAGGGGGCGAGCGGTGCCTCGAGCAGGAAGAGGAGGCCGACGAGCGCAGCGGGGCCTGGCGGGCAGGCCGCGTCGACAACGGCGAGCGAGAAGGGGAGAAGGGGCGGCAGAGCGTGTTAGGCGTGTGGCCTGAAAGCTGCGCAAGGAGAGGGAGAGTCAGTTGTGGACGAGGAGCCGAGCGAGGCTGCTCTCGAGGCCGGCGGGCGACGAGGAGGGACGCGGACAGGAGGAGAGAGATGTCGACGCACCATCTAGGCAGGCTGTCCCCGTCGGCGCTCTTGCCGTGGCCGTGTTTGCGGAGCGGGCGAGTCGACGAGGTGGTCGGGCCGAGGAGCGAGACGAGGCGAGGCCGGGGCGGCAGGGCGGTGGGGCGTGCAGTTCTTGAGGAGGATATGGCAGTGCAGTGGAGCTACTGCGAGTGGCCCTGAGCTGCTGTACCCGCGACGATGAGAGCGGTTCACATCTTGCGGGGAAGGTCCGACGGAGGTTACCCGCCTCGCTCAACGTCGACCACTGCAGCCCTGCTCTGCACAGCCACTGGCACCCGACCACCATGGCCACCGGCCCCCGCACCGGCGACCGCCCCTCGTCCTCCTCCTCCAAGCACTCGCGCTCGTCCACCCGCCCTCACGACGACACCGACCGCTCGTCGAAACGGCACCGCTCGGCCCGCAACGACGACGACGACAAGTCCCGCCACCACAAGCACTCGTCGTCGTCCACCAGGCGCGACCGCTCTACCAGCCGCGACCGATCCCACAAGTCGCACTCGTCCCGCCGTGACGTCGACCACAAGCACCGTTCCCGCTCCGCCAAGCACCCCGCGCACGCCCAGGACAACGACGACGACGACGACTGGGTCGAGAAGGACGCTCCCGCTCCAGCGGCGCCGTCCGCCCCATTCGACTCGGTCGGCACCTTCTCGGTCGGCTCGATGCCGACCGCTCAGGGCCTGCGCCGCCTCGAGGGCCACGACCTCACCGACGGCTACGGCGAGGGCGGCGTCGGCGGCAGCTCGGAGCGCGGCGGCGGCCTCTTTGGCGAGATCCCCAAGGGCGAGGGCGCCGGCGGCGAGATGGACTTCTTCGGCTCGTTCGGCACCGAGAAGCGGCGCAAGGAGCCCAAGGACAAGCCCGACCCTTCTGTGCGTCCTCTCTCTCTGCACTGCGTCGTACCGGAATTACCCTTCTGACCCTTGACTCGCCCCACCCGCAGCAAACGATGGGCCAGTCGTCGCGCGAGTTGAACAAGGCCTACTGGCAGGGCACGCCCGACGCCGCCTCGACCTCGTCCGCCGCCGCCGCCTCGTCCACCGCACCTCCCGCGACGGGTTCGCCCGCACCGGGCTCGTCCGGCTCGGCGTGGCGCATGAGCAAGCTCAAGCGCACGTACGAGGCGGCCGAAGACGAGGGCCGCCCGATCGAGGACGTCGCGATCGAGCGCTACGGCTCGCTCGACGCCTTCAACGAGGCGCGCGAGGAGCGTCGCGTCCTCGACGAGCGCCAAGGGCGCAGAACGTCGCGCCGCGAGAGCGGGTACGGCGCCGGCGGCGGCCAGAACCACCACCCGGGCATGCGCACGCCGACGGGCATGGCGGCCGACGGCGGCGGGCGCCGCTTCGTCTTCACCGAGACGGGCGCAGCGGGCGAGGGCGGTGCAGACGGGCCCGGCTCGCGCCCGTCGTCGCGCCAGGGCTTCCGTCGTCCGGGCGAGGCGCCGCCTCAGCCGGGCCAGCTCGCGCGCTCGAGCTCGACCTCGTCGGTCGCCGGTTCGGGCTCGAGGCCGTCGACGCCGATCCCGACCGTCTTCACGCCGCCCGTCGCACGCCGCATGCCGTCGCAGCTCGCCCAGTCGACCGTCATCAACCCGGACCCGACCTCGACCGGCCCGACCACCGCCTCGTCGGCCTCGTCCGGCTCGACTCGGCCCGTCCTGAGCCAGTCGGAGCTGAACAAGCTCCAGGCCGAGGTCCTCAAGGCCAAGCTCATGGACTCGGACGACGCGGCGGCTCTCGAGCGCGAGTACGACGCCGAGCTGCGCCGGTCCCAGGCGGCGGGCCCGGCGCTCGCCGACAAGGAGGGCATGGAGCAGACGCTCGGCGGGAGTGCGGCGCAGGGCCAGGACGTCCAGGTGCTGCCGACGCTCGACAGCCGAGGACGCCTGTACGACGTCGGCGTCGGGACCGAGACGGCCGACAAGTGGGAGGAGGAGCGCAAGAACCGGGGCAAGCACGTTCGCAAGGAGATGGTCCGTCCTCGTCTCTCCTCCTTCTCTCCTCGTCGAGCCCTTCTCCCTCGTTGACGCACGTCAAACTCATCGAAATTCCCGGTCGACGCTCGCAGCTGTTCGAGTCGCACGACCCCAAGACGGGCGACCTCATTCGGCACCAGGCCGACGACGACTCGCTCACGGTCGGCGACCTCGTTCGGCAAGAGCGGTTTGGCGGCGGGTCGGGCGACGCGCGCGCCATGGACGCCGAGTTCGCCAACCGCATCGCGACCGACGCCCGCTTCACCAACAACCTCGACTACTACGACGAGAACGCCGAGAAGCTCGCGCGCAAGAAGATGAAGAGCGAGGCGATGAAGCGCGCGTTCGCCGTCAACGACTTTGCGCGCACCAAGAAGGCGCTCGACTCGTGCGTCCTCCTCCCTCCCGCCTCTCTCGCATCTCTTCTTCCGGACCCAGTCCCTGACATTCCCGACCCTTCTTGCAGGTGCACGATGTGCTACTCGGACGAGGGCGACCCGCCCAAGGCGCCTGTCGTCGCGATGGGCACCCGGACCTACCTCGCCCTCATGGACACGGAGGAGCTCGTCCCGGGTCACTGCCGCATCGTGCCGGGCCAGCATTACCTCAGCTGTCTCGAGATCGACGAGGAGGAAGGGTGGGACGAGATCAAGGTGCGTCGAGCCGAGTCCACGCCTCTCGTCGTCGCGCTCGAGAGGGACCCGGCCCTGACCTTGAGCTCCGTGCCACAGAACTTTATGAAGACGCTCATGCAGATGCACGCCGCCGAGGACAAGGGCGTCGTCTTCTTCGAGACGATCATCTCGCACAAGCGCCAGCAGCACAGCTACATCGAGTGCATCCCGGTCCCGTTCGACCTGTTCGACCAACTGCCCATCTACTTCTCGGTGCGTCCCCTCGCCTCCTGCCTGCCTCCTTCCTCGAGCGACGTCCATTCCTGACAGCCTGCCTCGTCGTACCCGTCTGCAGGAGGCGATCAATACGTCCGAGACCGAGTGGTCGCAGCACAAGCGCCTCATCAAGTTTACGCCGCAGCGCCCATTCCGGCGGTCGCTCGTGCCCAACCTGCCCTACTTTGCCGTCCAGTTTGACTACAAGGGCGAGCACGGGTTCGGCCACGTCATCGAGGGCGTCGACGATGCGCCCGACCGGGACCTCGACGGCGAGGAGAGGAGGGGCGAGATGGGTGACAAGGGCGGCGGCGAGTTCCCGAGGTGCGTCGGCTCGTCTCTCTCCCTCTCGTGGCTCTTCGACGAGTGCGACGGCGCGTGTCGAGGAGCGTCGGCCGCGTCGGAAGGCGCTCACCTTGCTCGCCTCGCCTCCTCGCAGGTACTTTGCGCAGGAGATCATCGGCAACCTCCTCTCGCTCGAGCCGCGCAAGTGGCGCAAGCCTCGGCGCGTCGACCGGCGCGAGACGGCGGGCCGCATCGCCGCGTTCCGCAAGAAGTACGACGCGTTCGACTGGACCAAGATGCTCGCAGGAGCGAGTGCGGGTGCGGGTGCGGCGTAGCGCAGCGGTGGAGCCGTCCCCCTTTCTTGTGCACCCCTTTTCCCTCTACCTCTCGAGCCACGTGCAACAAGCAGGACGTCGCAGCTGCGCGAGCAGGGAGAGATGTCGAGGTGGTCGAGTGCGTCCGAGAGGTACGTCGTCGCTCTCCCTTCCTCTCCTTTCGCGCCACCGAGCCCTCTCAGGACTGTGTCACTGACCTGACTTGCAATCCTCGCAGCTGATGTCGAGCCAACGAGCCGAGAGCAAGTGAGCCTGGAGGAGGAGGAGCAGGGTCCGCGGACTTTTGCCTTGTCGCGCCGATTCCTCGCCTCTCGTCGCTCGCTCAGCCGCGGCAGCCAGCTCACTCGCTCCGGAACGAGCTCGAGCACGCGCCACGGTGCATGCCCGTGCGGCTCAAGCGCGCTCTCGACACCGACTCGCCCTCGCCCGTTGTCATCAGCGACCGCTCGTCTCGCCGCTCGCCTCGCTTCTTCCCCCCACTCGACCTCGCCCTCGACCCGGCCTCTGCCCTCCACCGCCGCATCAGCACCCTCTCGGCCATGCAGCAGGACGCCCTCAGAGCCGCGCGCGCCCACGACCCGGCCTCGGCGAGCTCGGCGGCGAGGAGCGTGCAGAACCCGGACCGCCGCGAGAACGGCGTCGGCGGCGCAGCAGGAGACTGGTGGACGCCCGAGGCGCTCGAGGCGGTGCGCAGGCAGGCGGCGGGCGGGCAGGCGGCAGCGACGAGCGCGGCGGGACCCATCGGCTCAGGGAGGCCAAGCGGTGCGTCCTCGTCCTCTCTCTTGGGCCTCGACAGCCTCCCTGACAGTCCGACTGACCCTCTCGATCCCCTCTCGCAGTCCCCGCCTCGGTCATGCCCGCCTTTGGGCACTTCCCGCACGCGACGCCCTTCGCCTTTGACGGCACGTCGTCGAACGGCGCCGGCGGGGCCGCACCAGGGCAGTCGCCGCCCGCTTCCTTCAGCTCCAGCTCGCCCGCAAGGTCCAGCACACACCTGTACGCCCCCTCGGCCGCCCTGTCCACCACCCGCACCCCGCTCTTCCAGCCCCTCAACCCTCTCTCGCTCCCCGGCCCGTTCGCCTTCAACAGCCAGCGCGGCTTCTACAGCAACGGCAGCACCTACGGCACCCAGTCGCACACGCCGGTGCCCGTCGTGCCGCCTGGCCCGAGCTTCTTCGCGCCGCCGTCGGCCCTCCAGCACGACGTCGTCATGCCCTGGGACGGCTCGAGCGCGGCGAGCGGGCCCGGCGATGCACCCGGCATGGAGCGCCTCAGCCAGGAGGAGAAGGAGCGCATCCAGATGGTGGCGGGCAGGGCTCGCCGCGTCAGTCGCGCCGTCGAGATCAAGAAGCCGCCGGCCAAGGAGGCTCGCCTCGGCTCGCAGAGCAGCTCGCCCAGCCTCGCGTCGCCGCCGGGCCTCGTGGCTCCGGGCTCGAAGAGCGAGCGCTCCCTGTCGCCCGAGGTGGCCCCCTTTGCGCCGCGCCCGGCCTCGGCACGTCTGACGGCGCCCGACAGCAAGGCGCCCGACGACGCTCACGCCCCGCCTGCCCCGACGGCGCCTTCCTCTCCTGTCGAGCCCCTCTCCTCACCGCCAACCATCTCGACAACTTCTCTCTCCTCGTCCTCGTCCACCAGTCCTGCCGACGCCGCCACGCCGCCCCTCGCCGAGCCCGCCATTGCCTCGCCGCCACCCTCCTCTCGTTCGCCCTCGACAGCCCCCTCGGCCTGCTCGACGACGGGTGCGCGCTCGGCCCTCGCCCAACTCGACATGTACGGCTCGTCCGACTCGGAGGACGAGTCGTCAAGCGCCGAGTCGTCCGGGTCGTACCGCACGACGCGGGACCCGACCTCGTCGGACTCGCGCCGAGGCAGTACGCCCGACGCGACGGTCGCGCCGGCTACGCCGGCGTCCCCGGCGAGCGAGCGCGACGGCACGCGCACGCCGCTCAACACGCCGGCGTCGGCGCCGCCCGGCGAGGCCGAGACGGCGGTCAAGCTCGAGGAGCAGGTCGAGGCGGACGAGGAGCGCGCTCGCCGAGGGCCTCTCGCCGACGACATGCTGGTCGATGTCGAGCGTGACGAGACGACCCAGGTCGAGGAGCAGGGCAGAGTCGAGGAGCGGGGCAAGGTCGAGGAGCGGGGCGAGGTCGACGAGCGGGGCAGGGTCGAGAAGGACAAGGTCGAGGAGTCGGGCGAGGCCGAGGAGCAGGCCACGGGCGACGCCGCGCACAACGAGCCCGTCGTCGACGTCGACGAGTCGGCGTCCGAGTCGCCGAGAACGGTCGCCGATGCGTCGGCGCCGAGCTCGCCCGACGGTCCTCCGCCGGCCAAGAAGGTGCGCCGCAAGGAGAGCTCGCCCGAGGTGGTGGGCCTGGAGGGCGAGGGCGACGAGGGGATCCCGGAGATTGACCGAGCCGAGGTGCGTCGCTATCTTTCTCTCCCTCTCCACGAGTCGGTCCTAACTTTGGTTTCCTGACAGTACAAGACCTTCCTGCAGCACGCCCTCACGTCGACGTCCTCGACGACCAACCCGAACGCCCTCGTCCCGACGTCCTCGTCGTCGCGCCTGTCCCTCCCGAGCGCCAACTCGCCGTGGCCCGTCTTCTTCCCCAACTCGAGCTTCAGCGCCGTCGCCTCGGGTCCAGCGTCGGGCTCGTTCTCGGGCCCGAGCTTCCCGCTGCAAGACGGCGCCATCCCCTCGTTCAACCCGGCCGCGAGGCCATTCGTCCCCACCTCGTCGCCCTCGGGCTACCTCGTCCCCGTCGCCGCCGCCTCGCAGCGCACCTACGAGCCGACGCCGTCTTTGCCTCGCGACCCGGCGTTCCAGACGGTGCGCTCGCTCCTCGAGGACGCGCTCGGCGCACGTGGCGTCCTCGAGCGCAAGCTCGACAAGTTCGGCGAGATCCACGCGGCCGACCGCAAGCGCGTCAAGGAGCTCGAGGCCGAGGTCGCGCAGCTCGACATGCGCAACCGTCGCGAGGGCCACGCCGCCGACGACCTGAGCAAAACGCTGTCCGCCCGCGTCGCCGAGCTGCGGGCGGCCGAGGCGGCGCGCGACAAGTTCCGCGCCGAACGCGACTCGATGCGCCAGGAGCTGGCGAGCACATCGTCGTACCAGGCGCAGCGCAACGCGCGCACGGAGCAGGCGCTCAAGGACGAGGCTGCGCGCTCAAAGAAGCTCGGCGAGCAGGTGCGCAGCCTCGAGGGCCGGCTCTCGGCGGCCGACAAGGCGCGCGACGCGGCGGTCAAGAACCTCGAGAAGCACGAGACGGCGCAGGCGGTGGCGACGCACGCGCTCAAGGACAAGGTCGAGGCCGAGCTCGGCCGGGCGCGTGAGGAGGCGGCGCAGTCGCGCTTGTCGGAGCAGGCGGCCAAGAAGGACGTCAAGCTCGCCGAGGCGCACCTCAAGGAGGCGCTCAGGAAGTGCGACGAGCTCAACGCGGCCAAGAGTGCGTCCTCCTGCCCTCGCTCAGGCCCCGTCGTACCTGCTCACCCTGTCCTCCCCGCCCGCAGGCGCTCTCGCCTACCAGCTCGCCCAGGCCGTCGTCGGCATCAAGAAGCGCGATGAGGCGGTCCGCAAGAACGAGGACGAGCATGCGCCGCTCGTTGCCCTTGTCGACATCCGCGAGAAGAAGATCGCCCAGCTCGAGGCCGACTTGGGCCGCAACGAGCAAGACCAGGGTGCGTGCGCACCACTCCCCTGTTTGTCGTCATCTACGAGCGTGTCCTGACCGTACCACGTCCACAGCGATGATCGCGCTGCAACTCGAGAACGCCGTCACGCTCCTCGTCGACCAGGAGGACCTGAGCCGCATCCTCCAGACCCAGCTCGACGAGGCGCGCAGCCAGTGCGACGACCTCCTCACGCTCGGCCTCGATCTCGTACACGCCGCTCAACACGGCATCAGCAACCTGCGCTCGTCGCTGCTCGCCGAGACGGCGCGCGCCGACCAGGCCAAGACCAAGCACGCCGATCTCGTCGCGCAGGCCGTGCCCAAGATCAAGGCGTTCCAGGTCGAGCTTGCGCAGGTCCGCGCGCAGCAGGGTGTGCGCGCGAGCCAGGAGCTCCAGGACGCGCAGATCGCGCTTTCGCGTGCGGCCAAGCAGCTCGACGAGGTCAAGCTCGCGCGCGACACGGTCGACGGCGAGCACGCGGCGACGCGCAGGGCGCTCGAGCTCGAGAAGCGCGGCGTCGAGGTCGTGCAGGCCAAGCTTGACGAGGCGAACAAGGTGCTCGAGCACGAGAAGCTCGCGCGCACCGGCGTCGAGGGCCTGTTCGCCAACAAGGTCAAGGCCAAGGACGCCGAGGTCGCCGAGCTCAAGACGCAGCTCGACGCTGCCAGGGTCTCGTCCGACAAGGTGCGTCCCGTCGTCCGCTCCCTCGTGCCCCCTACAGCTCGACCACGCGCTCGCTCTTTCGGACCCAGCAGGTGCGCGAGCTCGAGCAGGTCATCGTCAAGCTCGACGGCGAGTCGAAGAAAGTCCAGCAGGGGCACGCGACTACGCTCGCCGACCTCGGCGAGGCGGCCAAGCTCCTCGACTCGACGCTGAGCGAGCTGGACAAGCTCAAGAAGGACAAGGAGGCGCTCGAGAAGGAGCTGTTGGACCTCAAGTCGAGTGCGTCCCGCTTTCGCTCCTCTCGAATCGTGTACGGTCAGCCACTGACCTCTTGCTCGTCACGGCCGCAGAGCGAGGGACGGCTGCGCTCGGTGGGAGGACGTTCACGTCTCGACTGGCGAGGCCGCCGGCGCAGGTCTGAGCGCGAGAAGGGTGGGGTCGGTCCGCTTGTTCTTTGTCGGCGCGAGCCCTAGTCTGTGGATTCCACTCGCGTTGCGTCCCTGCCCGTGCCCGCCTCTTGAGAGGAGGAGGAGCGAAAGCGAGGTGGTCGGGCCCTGCCCCACCTCGAGATTCCCCGCGGCTTTCGGTCGCACTCACACTCTCGCTCCTCACAGCCACGCCACGATGCCGCTCTCTGCTGCCGCACGTGCGCTGTGCGCCCACTTTCGCTGCTCGCTGCCTCTCCTGTGCCCGCCCATGGCCGGCGTCGCGGGAGGAGAGCTCGCCGCCGCCGTGCACAAGGCCGGCGGAATCGGCTTCATCGGCGGGGTGCGTCCACCTCTCTCAGGGCGTAGCGGGCCATGCGGGACTGACAGACGCCTCCACACAGGGCCACACGCCTCTCAACAGCCTTAAGGCCGAGGTCGACAAGGCGAGGTCAAGCATCGGGCTCGCCGCCGACGACGACTTGCCGTGCGTCCCCTCTCCCCTGTCAGCGGGCCCTGCCTCGCACGACCCAGCTGACATTGTTGCTCACGCTCGCAGAGCTAGCCTCGGCGTTGGCCTCATCCTGTGGCGCCTCGAACCGCCCTTCCTCTCGCCCGAAGCCGCCGCGACTGAGCCCGACCGCTGGCTACGCTACGTCCTCCACACGGCGCGCGCCTCGTCCTTGTGGCTCGCATTTCCCAATGGCGGCGACTGGGAGGGCTGGATCGCTCGCGCGAGGAGGATCGAAGCCGAGCGGGAGAGGAGCGACAAGGTGCGGCTGGTCGTCATGGTCCAGAGGGTCGAGACGGCCAAGGAGGCGCTCGAGTGGGACGGTGTCGACGCCATCGTACTACAAGGTGCGTCCTATCTCTCTCTCCCCCCACCCTTCTGCCCTGTCGCCCTCGTGTTCGCCGACAACTCGCTCACTCGCCGTTCCTCCTTTTCGCTCTCTTCTTTCTTCGCGCGTTACAGGGACAGAGTCGGGCGGTCACGGGCCCGCTCACGAGTTCGGCGCACCTCTCGCCTCTCTCACGTCTCACCTCGCCTCTCACGTTCCCAACCCGGCCTCGCCGCCTTTCGTCCTCGGCGCCGGCGGCCTCTCGTCCGCGTCGTCAATCGCCGCCGCCCTGGCACCCGGTGTCCTCGCCGGCGTCGTACCCGGTACGGCCCTGTGCGTCGCCGACGAGGCGCTCCTGCCGCGCGCTCAGAAGGAGCTGCTCGTGCACTCGTCGACGAGCGAGTCGGTGCGCGGCATGAGCTGGGACGAGGCAAGGGGCACGCTCGGCTGGCCTGAGGGTGTCGACGGGCGAGGGATCAGGAACAAGACGAGCGAGGAGCCGCCAAAGGTCGCAGGGAGCGAGGAGGGGCGCGAGCGGTACTCGAGGGCGGTCAAAGAGGGCGACGTCGAGCGGGTCGTCACTTGGGCAGGTGCGTCGACCTCTACCTCTACACCTCTTCTTCTTCCTCCCACACCACCCGGGACTGAAGCTGCTCTCTCGCCGCAGGTACCGGCGTCGGCGACGTCAAGCGGATCGCTCCGGCGGAGGAGATCGTCCGAGAGCTCATGGCCGAGGTGGTCGGCTCGCCTCAGTTATAGTTGCGCTCCCACTCTGCATCGTCGAAACGTCGAAACATCATCAGTGTCGGGCGTCAAGACCTCTTTGAGAGCGAGAGCGTGCGCGAGCCTAGGGCTCGACGGCCGAGAGCGCTCGGTCCTCAGAGCCGTCCAGCGGCTTCCTGGACGCTCGCCCGGACAGGAGCTCTCGCTCGTCGATCTGTTGAGCCCTGCTGCAAAGCCTGCATGTCACCCTCTCGAGCAGAGAGCGGCTCTCGCGCTCCGACCAGGTGGCCTTCTCAAACCGAGAGCTGGCTTTTGCAGCTCGAGTCGGCGCTCTTTGCTTCCCGGGATCGAGCTACGTCTCATTCAGAACTTCAAGGTCGTGTCGAGCGACTCTACGGCGGGCTGCGCGCTGCTGTGCTGCGCACGAACCCGTTCCTCGTCTCGTCCTCCTCCTCGTCACGTTCGCCTTCTCAACTTGCTCGTTCCCCTGTTCCTCGCGCTCGTCTCTGGCTCTGACTCGCTCGATACCCTCGACTCGGTCTATCGAAACACGTCTCGACTGTGCCACTGCTCATACTGCTGCTGTCTGCGCTCGTTCCTCTTCCTCGCTTCGACCTCTTTCTCGCTCCTCGTGCGTCGCTCTCAAGCTGCGCCCTGCTTCGACCGGCGCCAAGGATGCTCCAGAGTACTCTGGACCTCTTGATTACGACGCTACAGCTCGCCAACCTCGACCCGAGCGCGAGAAAGGACCGACCTTGCGCCAGGGCGAGGTCACGGCCGGAAGCACCCCGCATTTTGGTTTGGTCCGCTCGAGTCGACGTCTCTTGGCCGGCTTTGCGGTGCTTGTGCTGACAGTCTCGAGGTCGAGACAGAGTGAAGGAACGTCGGCAGCGTCACGGGCCGTCTCCTCGGCGTCCCTGCACCTCGTCCGCCTCGTCTCCCTCCTCCCCCTCTTGAGCGCAAGGTCGTGCGGGTGTCACTCTGAGGCCGTGTTCGCGACGGCTCTATTCTCGAGGACACGTCTCGACACGACGATCGAGAGGTATGGTCCAGGAGAAGCAGTACCGCGAGCTCGAGAGCGACCCGTTCCTTCCCTCCCTCCTCCTCAGCGCAGGTTCGTGCGGCGCATCACCTGCTCCGGGTCCAGCGGTGGGCTCATCATCGAGTATACGTGTCGACACGTCAATCTACAGCCGCTCAGGCTCAGAAGAGATGGGCGCACGTCGTGAGGAACGCGAAGAGTCGAACGGCGTCCTCTTCCTTCAGCTACGCTCAACGCCGTCCAGCGGCTTCCTGGACGCTCGCCCGGACAGGAGCTCTCGCTCGTCGATCTATTGAGCCCTGCTGCAAAGCCTGCATGTCACCCTCTCGAGCAGAGAGCGGCTCTCGCGCTCCGACCAGGTGGCCTTCTCAAACCGAGAGCTGGCTTTTGCAGCTCGAGTCGGCGCTCTTTGCTTCCCGGGATCGAGCTACGTCTCATTCAGAACTTCAAGGTCGTGTCGAGCGACTCTACGGCGGGCTGCGCGCTGCTGTGCTGCGCACGAACCCGTTCCTCGTCTCGTCCTCCTCCTCGTCACGTTCGCCTTCTCAACTTGCTCGTTCCCCTGTTCCTCGCGCTCGTCTCTGGCTCTGACTCGCTCGATACCCTCGACTCGGTCTATCGAAACACGTCTCGACTGTGCCACTGCTCATACTGCTGCTGTCTGCGCTCGTTCCGCTTCCCTCCTCTTCCTCGCTTCGACCTCTTTCCTCGCACCTCGCGCGTCGCTGTCGAGCTGCGCGCTTCTTCGACCTCCCCTCGCTCGACCGGCTCTACGCGTCAATTCAGACTAGGAGAAGCCGGCAAAGCCCGAGCAAGAGCTCGACCGTCGTCCTCCTTCTCAGCTTGCCGGCGCGCTCGCTCGCTCGGGCCCCGCTCTCTCGCCCGCTCTCGCCGTCGGAGAACAAAGACATTACGACTCTCTGCGCTGCAGCGGTCCCGCCAACTCGAAAAGAGGCACCAGCTACAGCTGCTCGCGCTCCTTGATCCCGACAAACCCCTCGCCGACCCACTCGTGCTCGAACTCGCTCTCCTCGCCGGCCCAGCCGGCCTCGAACACGCTCGCGAGCGCGCCGAGGAAGTGCGTCTCGAGTGCGAGGCCGGGCGAGGGCAGGCAGTACCGCGTGCAGTCGCCGCTCGCGGGCGTGCGCAGCCCTGCGCCCGGGCCCTGCGGCGCGCCCTGGAAGACGAGCGCTTGCGAGGCGGACGGCGCGGCCGACGAGCCGACCATGCCCGAGCGCCAGATGGACAGGGGCGTTTCGAGGTCGAGGTACACAGCGCCGAACGCGGGCACGACGGTCGCGCGCGTGACGGCGTTCTGCAGGACGAGCTGCGCGTTGTGCCACGCGATGTGGAGCGGCACGTCGGGCTCGTCGTCCTGGGCGTCGCCGTCGACGCTGAACGAGCCCTCGCTCGGTGCGCCGAGGAGCGCCTCGAGCCCGGGCGGCGCGCCCCTCGGCGGCAGGCCGTCGCCTTCTGCGCCGCCGGCTCCCTCGCTCGAGAGCGGCGCCGCACAGTCGGCGTGCTGGCGCCACCCGGAACGGTACACGACGAGCTGCGCGCCCGAGCTCGGCGGGCTGCGCACGGCCCGCAGCGCGTCGACGAGCTCGGGAACCCACGTCTCGCGGGTCCACTCGGCGGCGAGCTCGACGAGCTTCTCGGCGCGTGCGACGCGGCCTCGGGCGGCGGCGGCGTCGAGGTCGGCCCAGAAGGCGGCGTCGGCGGCGCGGAGCGGGAGCGGGAGCGGCGGCTTGGTGACGACGACGACGTCGCTGCGGCGGGCGTCGGCGAGCCAGGGCTGGTTGACCTCGCGGACGCCGGTCGCCGGGTGACGGTACGTCGGCGCGGTGTGCTGCGTCGAGGGGCGCAGGCCGTCGCTGCGGCGGTACCGCAGGAGGGTGCCCGTCGCCGCCGACGAGTAGCGCGACTTGGCCGACGAGCCATGCGCGCCTGCTGCCGCTCGCCGCTCGAGGTGGCGCGCCGAGGTCATGCCCGGCGGGAGGGGCACGTCGCCGAACACGCGCTCGTCGCGCTCGGCGGTCTCGACGTCGGCGTCGCGCCCTTGCCTCGCGGCGGCGAGCACATCGGCGCACAGGAGGTGCTCCTTGCAGTACAGGTCGCCGTAGCAGCTCTGCGGGGCGGTCGCGGCATGGTCGAGGACGAGGTCGTGGAGCGAGTACTGGGTCGAGTCGCCGACGAGGAGGATCGACTTGTGCGCGAGGAGGGTGCAAAACCGGGTGCGCGACGATGACGACGACGAGGTCGAGGGCGGACGAGGGAGGGCAGGGCACAGCGGCGAGGGCTCCCAGCGCCACTTGAGCGACGGGCGCACGTCCCACTCTGCGCCGGCGGCGTCGTCGCCCGAGCGGGACGCGGGTGCACGGCCCTTGTAGAACCGCTTGTCGCACGCGTTGTAGCGCGGGTCCTGCTTGTGGACGACGAGACCTCGGGCCTCGTCGACGAGGCGGTCGCCGCGCGGGTCGTGGACCCACTGGCCCTCGCTCGCGGCGCAGTCGAGGGCGGCCTGGAGCGCGGTGCGCTGCGAGGCTGCCGAGAGGGCCGTGCCCGGGACGCCGCCGTCGGAGAAGCGGGCGGCGAGGGACGCGGGGAGGGACGACGACAGGAGCGAGGCGGTGGACGCGTCGAGGGCGGCGAAGGTCGAGTCGAAGAGGGAGGCGAGGGTGGGAGGGGACGAGGCGGTCGAGGGGAGCGACGACGAGAGCTCGATCGGGGCGAAAGGGTCGATGCCCTCGACGAGTGCCGGGTCGTCGTCGTTGTCGATGTCGTCCCGGCCGTGCCCCTCGCGCCTGGCGAGGTTGGCGCGGGCGAGCGGGAGTTGCGGCGCGAGGTCGGCTTGAGCGAGTTGTCGGGGTGCGGGACCGGTGTCGGGCGAGTCGGTCGGTTCTGTTGCAGGTGCAGCTGCAAGCGCGAGGGTGCAGCACGCGAGGGCGACGAGGGCGAGTGCTGGCTGGCGACGACGACGACGATGAGGGGAGCGAGGGGGTCGAGGCCGCATACTCGAGGCGGGGGTGGTCATGGGTTCGTGTAGAGCTAGATGGTGCTGTGGCCTGGTGGCTAGGCTCGTGCAGCACAGGAGCGCGTCGAGAGCGAGGCGAGCCCTGGTTGAGCGAGAGGCGGTGCTCCTCGTCGTCCTCCTCGTCCCTCGACCAACCACACCCGGACTGGACCCCTGCTCAGCTCGACAAGGCCCGCCAGCGACACATGGCGACACCCACCAGCCAGCCCGGCCTCGGCACCTCGCCGTCGTCCGCCCCTCCTCCTCCTCCTCCCTTGGGCCTTGGTGTCGCCGGCGTCGACTCGCTCCTCAGCCCTCCACCGCCTCAAGGCCAATACCACGACGACCTCAAGGCCCAGGTCACGTCCCCACTCGAGCTCACCCACTTTGTGCGTCCCCCTTCCCCTCCTCCTCCTCCTCGTCCTCGCTGACCCCCCCTCTACCCGCAGGTCGACAACCTCCTCAACGACCTCGAGTCGCGCTTCGACTCGCTCTCCCAGGACGTCCTCTCGCGCCTGTCGTCCCTCTCGACCCGCGTCGACTCGCTCGAGAACTCGCTCGCCGACCTCATGGAGGGCACCTCGCTCCCGACCGCGACGTCAACAGCGGGCGCGCCCAATGCGGGCAACCAGGTCAACGGCAAGGTGGGAGTCTAGTGCGAGGGGACGGGGCCGTGTGCATGTTGTACTCTGTAATGCAGGCAGTCAAGCAGTCGCAGCTCGTCGAGAGCGCTCTCCTTCCTCTCAAGCTCGAGAGCCTCTCTCTCTCGCTCTCTCGGAGAGAGCCCGCCCTCTCTCGAAGAGTACCCTCGAACGACCTCGTTGCGCCGTTGCGCCGTTGCGCCTGCTCGACGCTGCCCTCCCTCACGGCCGGACGACGCGGAACCCACGCTCGTCCCCCCTCGCGCGCTCGCTCCCGACCCGGATCACGCTCCTCGCCTTGTCGCCGCCGAGCTTGACCCGCATGCCGCTGCCCTGGCGGCCCTCGCCCTCGCGCTCGCGCCACTCGCGCGCGCCCCACCGCGCGACGTCGGCCTCGGAGCACGCGCGCACGCCGACGAGCTCCTTGAGCTGCACGACGTAGCCCGCGTTCTGGGCCGTGATGGGCACGATGGACGACGACAGCCGCTTGTACAGCCCGAGCGACGCGGCCGACGCCTTTTGCGATGCCGCAAGGTGCAGCGGCGAGCGCAGGAGCGTCACGAGGAAGTGCGACGCCGCCGGGGTCGGCGCCGACGTCGACGCCGCCGAGGTGCTCGCCGTGGTGGTGGACGCGGCTGCCGGCGAGCTTGGTCGAGGCGCGGTGTGAGGCGCAGACGACGAGAGGTGGGCGGCCCGGAGGACGGAGGGTGGCGAGGTGCGGGCGACCAGGGTGCGGGCGGTGGGTGTTGCGCACGAGCGGAGCATCTTGGGTGGCCTGCTCGAGGTGCGGGTGCGTGAGGGTGTGCGAGGGCGGGGGCTGGAGACGTTGGCGAGCGATGAGACGAGGTGCGCGGGCGCGAGTCGAGCTTAGGCTTGAGTTTTGTATTCGGGCAATACAGATTCGGGCTAGTAAGGGCCCGCCGCGACGAGCTCACCTCCGCAGAGTCGCGCCTCGCTCCGTGCTCCACCTCCCCACCCACCACCAAGGACTAGCACAGCATGGCACCCGGCAACAAGGTGCGCCCTCTCGCGCACTATGCACCCCCACAGACCGCGCGCTGACCCATGCCTCGCCCCCTCTCCCCCTCGCCTCCCATCGACCGCCCCTCCCCCCTCTCTCGCACCACCGCACCCTCGCCATGCTTCGAGCACGCAGAAGAAGGGAGTCAAGATGGACCTCAACTCGTTCCTCGGCGACTCTGGTGCGCCCCCTCTCTCTCCCCTCTAGAGCGCGTCGCGAGCACCTTCCGCATGAGCTCACCCTCTCTCGCGCCTCCACAGCCACGGGCGGGTCCTGGGCCGACGAGGTCGACGAGCTCCCGACCGGTCGTGCGTCTCTGCTCTCTCGATGCCGTCCCAGCACGTCCCCCAGACCCGCTCACGCTCGCCCACTCGCACAGCCTCGGCCGGTCCCACTTTCGGCGGCGACGACGGCCGCCTCGGCGGCTCGCACCTGACGCGCAACATGGCCGGCGGCCCCCGTGACGGCGGCTTTGGCGGTGGACCTCGCGGTGGACCCGGCGGCTTCGAGTCGGACCGCCCCATGCGCGCCGAGGTGCCCATCCCGACCGAGCCGCCCTACACGGCCTTTGTCGGCAACCTGTCGTTCGAGACGCGCGAGGGCGACCTCGAGGCGTTCTTCGAGGGTCTCGGTGTGCGTCCCGGCATCGTCCTCTCTCTCTCGACCGTCCTGCTCGTCCGAAACGGCTGACCCAAAAGCGCCTCCCTCGCAGGTCAAGTCGGTCCGCCTTGTTGACGGCCAGGACGGCAAGCCCCGTGGCTTCGGCTACGTCGAGTTCGCGACTGTCGACGACCTCAAGAACGCCCTGACGGCGACCGGCGCCGACCTCCAGGGCCGCGCCATCCGCGTCGGCGTCGCCGAGGCGCGCGAGGCCCGCTTTGGCCGCGCCGACGAGGCGTCGACCTGGGAGCGCACGGGCCCGCTCCCGAGCCTCGGCGGCCGCAGCGGCGGCTTTGGCGCGCCGCGCACCGGCGGCGGGTTCGGCGCCGGCGCCGACGACGTTGAGCGCGAGGGCCCGATCCGCGGCGGCAAGTTCCAGCCGTCGGCCCCCATGCCCGACCGCCGCGGCGGAGCTGGCGGCCCGGGCTTCTCGTCGTACGAGCGCGCCGGTGGCCGCCCGCCGATGCAGGACGAGGTCGAGCGCGACGGCCCGATCCGTGGCGGCAAGTTTGCCCCCTCGGAGCCGTCGCCGCGCCGCATGTTCAGCGACCGCGAGCCGAGTCGGGCCGACGAGCAGAGCTGGGAGCGCAGGGGTCCGCTTGCGGGCGGTGCGCCGCAGGAGAGGCGTGGCCCGTACGGCGCGCCGGGTGCTGGTGCGTCCTCGTCGTCCTCTCTCTCTCTCCCTCGGCCTCGTCGATCTTCTTTCTGACAGTCTGCGCCCGTATCCCTCCCCTCCTGCGCCCTCTCGTTGTCGCTCTCGCCCTCGCCGCCTCGCCCTCGTCCACCTCGCAGATGCCCCGACCCGCCGCCCGCTCCAGCTGTCGGCCCGGTCGGCCGCCCCCTCGACCCCGTCGACCTCGACCGAGTCGTCGGCGCCGACCTCGTCGCGCGCGTCGCCGTTCGGCGCCGCGCGCCCCGTCGACGTCTCGACGCGCGAGCGCGAGGTCGAGGCCAAGCTCGCCGCCGCGCCTTCGGCCGCTCGCCCGGCCGCGCCCGAGAAGCGCGACTCGCGCGACAAGAAGGGTGCCGAGGGTGGCGCCGCCGCCGCCGCCGAGGCGAGCCGTGCCGACGGCGCGTGGACCCGCAAGGGCCCGCTCGCGCCCGCCGCGGCCAAGCCCAAGGAGGTCGCGCCTCCCGTCGGCGGCGGCGCCGTCGAGGGCGCCAAGAAGCCGGCCAAGAAGGACGACAAGTTCAGCTTTGCCAAGGCGGCCGACGTCGACGAGGTGACCGAGGGCGTCAGCGAGCTCTGAGCAGCGGGCGAGAGGTCGTTCTGGCGAGCGCGAGCAGTTGTACGAGGTACCGGCGGCGGCGGCGGCGACGAGGCTGTAGACTGGTGAAAAGACTCTCGGTTCTATCTCTGCTCGCCTTGCCCGCCGTGCTGCGCGTGCCCGTCGAGAGTTGGAGAGCTTTCTCGTACTCGCGCCTACTTTGCTCCTCTCGCGCTCTCTCTCGCGATCAGCTGTACTTCTCTCCCTCTCCCTCTCTCCTTATCGCTCGTCGACTCGAGGCTCGAGAGGGACTCGGCGACGCGAGAGAAGCTCGCGCAGAGAGAAGGGGCGACGAGGATGGCATTCACAGGCTCGAGCGCTGCAGGCTACGAGAGTGCTCGGCGCAGCGAGAGAGAGTCGGGACGACCAGCGTCCGACCCGAGTCTCGCCGAAGCCAGAAAGAAAGTGCGAGGAAGAGAGGGGAAAAGGGAAGGGCGAGGCCGAAAGTGCGAAAGAGGGGTGCGAGCGAGAGGGGGGAACGAGGGACGACAAGGAGGTGCGGCTCGCGCAGGAGTACCGATTGGGGACGTGACGAGTCGTGAGACGACGAGGAGGGGGAGACGAGGCCAAAGAGGAGGAACGCGAGGAGGGGAAAGGAGGGAGAGGAGGTCGACGAGGACGAGGGGCGCCTAGTTGACGCGAGTCACCTTCCACTGCTGCGCCTTGTTGCCCTTCTTCCAGTCGGCGAGGGCCGTGTTCTTGATGCCGCCGCGCTTGACCTGCTTGCCGACGAGGGCCGCCGTGCGGTCGAGCAAGTGGTCGGTCGGGATGATGTAGAACGTGCCGCCGACGACCGTCTTGATGCCGCGCTTGTCGAGGACGTGGCGCCGCACGCGGCGCACCATGCCCTGCTCGTGGGCGCCCGAGCCGTCGAGCGAGCGACGGCCGAACGCGGCCTTCTGGGCGGCAATCTTCTTCTCGCGGGTCTTGATCGAGTCGGCCTGGGCGGCGAGGAGAACCGTGTTGGCGTACGAGTTGGACGAGGTGGCGACCGTCGGCTTGGACACGGGGACAAAGAGCCACCACTCTGCGGGCGCATCGTCGTCGTGAGTGGAGGTGCGCAACGAGGAAGAGGAGGGGCGCGAGCGCGAGAAGGCGAGGGAGGGAGAGAGGGGGTCCGTGAAAGGAGGGTAGCAGAGAGAGAGGGCGGTAGACGCACGCTTGGTCTTCTCGAGCGTCGTCTTCTGTGCGCCCGAGCCCGAGGCGCAGACGTACATGACGGCCTCCGAGTTCTGCGTCTTGCCCGAGACCCAGGCCGACGAGAGGCACTTGTTCTTTGAGCCGAACTGGAGGCGGTGCCAGGGGACCTTGGCGTTCGAGTGGTTCTGGATCGAGGCGGGCGTCGTCTTGCCCTTGGTGGGCGAGATGTGGTTGCCGCTGGCGACGTAGTACAGGTACTGCTTGGTCTGCACGTTCTGGAACTTGTAGCGGCCGGGCTTGAGCTTGACGGCGGCGGCCTGGGTCGAGCGAGTGGTCAGTCTCGCGGGTCGACGTGGCGCGAGGAGGAGGAGGGGTGTGCGGACGGACCTGGATGGCGGCGGCCTGCTTCTCGTTGGTGGTGAGGACCTTGCCCGTCTTCTTTGCGTCGACGGCGAGGACCAAGGCGAGGAGGGCGCACAGGACGAGGTGGACGAGGGAGGAGCGCATGGCGAAGGCGGTGTGAGCGGGTGGATGGGGGCGAGGGGGAGGAGGAGGAGGAGGAGGAGGCGAGGGTGGGTGAACGAGTGACTAGGGTGAACGGGAGGGTGCGGTGCGAGGGTGTCGGTGCGAGTAAGGTGGACCAGCCGGAGTTGTGCGAGGAGGAAGAGAGAGGAGGAAGACGAGAGCCGAGCGACGACCACTACGAGGTGCCAGCGAAAGGGGAGGGGGGGGGGGGGGGGGGGGGTGCCGGCTTGGGGGCGGGCTGGCGTGCACAGCAGGCGAGCGGGTGTGGTGCTGCTACAGAGGGTGGAGAGGACTGGACTGGACTGGACTGGACTGGACTGGACTGGAGAGAGGCGATGAGCCGTTGCTGCAGTGCCCGCAACCAACTCAGACGCGCCGAGGACGCGCCCGCTCCATCAAGCAACAAGCTCCTCTCGCTCGAGCACCACCTAGGCCTGCACCGCACCACTGCACCCCAACCACCACCACCACCACCACCACTCGCCTCGCCGCCGTCGACCTCAACGCGCCCCTCGTCACCCTCCTCCTCCTCGTGGGCCCACTTCCCCACCTCCCGGCCGACCCATCCTCGCGCCACCATGGGCGCCTTCTACGACGACATCCCGCACAGCCTCGTCGACTGGATCAAGTGCGTCCGCCTCTCCCTTCCCGCATCTCGACCCTGTCTTCTCCCTCGTCCTCCTCGACCTCGCCCGACTCGACCTCGGCCAGCGGCGACGACGTCCCTCCTCGGCTCGAGCACCGCGCACCGTGTGCGACAAGCTGCTCACTCTCTCGCACCTACCCCTCGCAGGGAGCAGCACATCTTCTGGGTCGCGACGGCCCCGCTCGCCGCGACCGGTACCGTCAACGTCTCGCCAAAAGGTGCGCCCGCCACTGCTCCTGCCACGCGCCGACACGTCCTGACCCTTGCCACTCAAACGTACAGGCTACGACTCGTTCAACATCGTGTCGCCGACCGCCGTGTGGTACCTCGACTGCACCGGCAGCGGCAACGAGACCATCTCGCACCTGCGCGAGCCGGGCAACGGTCGCCTCACCATCCGTGCGTCCCCCTCTTCCTCGTCGAGAGACCTCGAAGAAGCACCCCGCTCACGTCGCCTGCACGCCCGCCCGCAGTGTTCAGCGCCTTCTCGGGCCCGCCGCGCATCGTGCGCCTGTTCGGCACCGGCCGCGTCTACGAGCGCGACACGCCCGACTTTGACGCGCTCCTGCCCGTCGGCGACGAGCGACGGCTGCCCGGCGCGCGCGCCATCATCTGGCTCGACGTCGACCGCGTCGGGACCTCGTGCGGCTACTCGGTCCCGTTCTACCAGTACGAGGGCGAGCGGTCCGTCCCTCGCTCCTCTCGTCGAGCTCTCTCAGGAACCACCATGACTGACTCGCACTCTCTCGCGCCACAGGATGCGCCTCCTCGAGCACTTTGAGCCAAAAGAAGCTGCCGACCGCGCCTACCTCGACTCGCACCCTCCTCCTTCCTCCTCGTCACCCTCCTCAGCCTCAGCCTCGCCCTCGACACCCACCGTCGTCTCCGCCAATGCGGCCGCCACCGTCAAGGACGGCCTGCGCGCCTACTGGCGCCTCAAGAACGCCGAGTCGGTCGACGGCCTGCCCGGCCTCGCCGCGGCCGGTTTCCCGCCCGAGCAGGGCGCGATCCGCAAGAGCCGCAAGGGCCTGCAGGAGGCAAAGAGCGGGAGAGGGCGCAAGGTGAGCGGGAGCGGCGTGCGGCAGCTGTTCAAGGCGACGGTCGGCGCGGGGGAGGCAGGCGGCGGGCTCGAGGGAGTGCTCCTCGCGCTCCTCGTCGGCGTCGTCGTCGGTGTCTGGATCGGCAAGGAGTACCTCTAGGTGCGTCTAGCGAGTTCCCTCTCTCTCGTCCTGCGTCGTGCCTCGTCGAGCCTGCCGAGCCAGAACCTGACTGACCCTCTCTCTTCGCGCCTCCCAGATCCCTTTCGGCCTCGATCCCTCTTCCTGTATCGTGCAGCACTCTCTCGCGATCCTCGTCGTCGCTCGAGAGTCGACGGGCTTTATCTCGCCGTCGAGCGGAGAAGGCGGCCGCAGATGCGCCTGCTCGGCGAATGCGGGGCACGAGCGCCCCTTCGCTCGGCTCGATCTTGGCTTGGCGCTGTCGCTCCTGCGCCCGGCCTGAGCCTCGCCAGGCCCGCAGCGCCTCAGCTCTCTATCTCGCCGAGGCGGAAAATCTCGCTCTCGTTGTCGGCGTGACGGAGAGAGCGGGCCCGGACGAGCGGTGTCGCTGTCGAGCTCCAATCGTCTCCGCCTTCGACCGTCTTTCCGCCCTCGCTCTCTCCTCTCGCTCGCTCCTATCGCGCTCTCTCTCTTGCCTGTATCGCTCCATCGCCATGGCGTCCCCCTCGGCCGTCGACTACATCTCGGAGCAGCCCAAGGAGATTCGGCAACTCGACCCTCGAGGCCGGACTGAGCCTGCCGCCGTCGACGGCGGCGACGCGTTCGAGGAGCACGGCGACGGTCGGGTCAGCTTGCCGACGTGGGCGACTGTCAAGCACAAGCTCACGACGCGAGACGGGTGGTTCGGCGACTACGGTGCGCCCTCCTCGTCTTCCTTCCTCTCGTCCTCGCTCAGGGCCTCGAGGACTGACTCGTCTCGTGTGCACAGACTTTGGCTACCTGTGCATGCCGCAGCTGCCGTGCTCGTTCGGCCGAGGCAAGAAGGAGATGCGCAGCGCCCAGTTCTACGGCCTCAACGAGTCGATGCCGCTCATGCTCGCCATCATCTGCGGGTGCGTCCTCCCTCTCGCAGCGTTCGTCATTGAGAAGGGACTGACCCTTTCCTCCTTCCCTTGCACCCCTCTTTCCCTTTCCTCGCTCTCGACGTTCGCCCTCGCCCGCACCTCGACGACCCGACCTTCCTCACGCCGATCCAGGCTCCAGCACGCCCTCGCCATGCTCGCCGGCCTCATCACGCCGCCCATCATCTTTGCCGGCCAGCTCGGCTTCTCGGGTGCCCGCCAGAATCAGATGGTCGCCGTCTCGCTCCTCGCGTCGGGCATCCTCTCGATCGTCCAGATGACCCGAGTGCCCATCCCGTTCACCAACAAGCGGTACTGGCTCGGTACGGGCCTCATCACGGTCGTCGGCACGTCGTTCGCGACCCTGAGCACGGCGTCGGCCATCTTTAGCGCCCTGTACGCCGACGGAACCTGCCCGTCGACGGTCGTCAACGGCACGGTCGTTCGCGGCGCTTGCCCCGAGGCGTACGGCATGCTCCTCGGCACGTCGTGCCTGTGCTCGATCCTGTACGTCCCCGCCCTCTCCCACCTCGCCAGCAAGCCCAACCGACCTGACCTTCTCGCGCACGTTCCCCTTCTTCGCAGCCCGATGGCCATGAGCTTCGTCCCGCCCCGCATCCTCAAGCGCATCTTCCCGCCGACCGTCACGGGCGTCGTCGTCCTCCTGATCGGCGCCAAGCTCGTCGGCGAGAGCGGCGCGCTCAACTGGATGGGCGGCAGCGGCGCGTGCCGCTCGAGGCCCGCCGAGGGCCTGTTCGCGCTGTGCCCGTCGATCAACGCGCCGCATCCTCTCCCTTGGGGCTCGGCAGAGTTCCTCGGGCTCGGCTTCCTGTCGTTCATGACCATCATCAGTGCGTCGGCCGCTCCCTCCTCGTCCCTCTAGATCTGCCCGAGTCGGATCCTGACAGTCCTTTCTCCCTCTTCCTCCTTGGTCCCTGTTCACAGTCATCGAGTTTGTCGGGTCGCCCGCCATGCGCTCGGCGAGCATCATCCTCGGCCTCGCCGTCGGGTGCCTCGTCGCCGGCCCGCTCGGCTACATCGACTCGAGCAGCATCCGCACCGCGCCCGCCATCACTTTCCTCTGGGTCGAGTGCGTCCTCTCTCACTTCCTTGTGCCCTCGAGACGACGTCGTAGAGCATCGACAGGCGAATCGAGAGCCTGACGCCCTTCTTCCTTTCCTCGTCAAGGACTTTCCCCCTCAAGATCTACGGCCCGGCCATTCTTCCGATGCTCGCCGTATACATCTCTCTCGCCATGGAGGCCATCGGCGACGTGACGGCGAGCTCTGAGGCGTCGCGCCAACCCGTCAAGGGCGCCCTGTTCGACTCGCGCATCCAAGGAGGCGTCCTCGCCGACGGCCTCAACGGGCTCTTATCGGGCCTCGCCATGAACGCGCCCGTATCCATCTTTGCGCAGAACGTGCGTCCCTCTTCCTCCCGTCGTCTCGTTCGTCGACTGGCACGCCGTCGACAGCATCCTCGAGACTCACTCTGCCGCCCTCCTCCCTCCCCTTTCTCTGCCTTCCCGTCCTCTCTCGGGTCCTCTACGCACGCAGAACGGCGTCATCTCGGTCACGCGCTGTGGCAACCGCTTTGCGGGCTACGTCTGCGCCTGCTTCCTCATCCTTTTCGGCATCCTCGCCAAGATCTCGGGCGTCTTCCTCGCCATCCCCAACTCGGTCCTGTGCGTCCCTCTTTCTCCATCGCGATCCTCCTCGCGTTCTTGACGATCTGACCAAGCGCTCGTGGCCTGCAGCGGTGGCGTCACGACGTTCCTCTTTGCGTCGGTCGCCGTCTCGGGCCTCAAGATCCTGAGCACGGCGTCTTTCTCTCGGCGGGACCGCGTCATTCTCGCCGCCGCACTGTCGTTCGGCCTCACGACGATGCTTGTCAAAGACTGGACGAGCTACATCTTCACCTACAAAGGCGGCAACGCAGCGCTCAAGGGCTTCATGAACTCGCGTTCGTCCACCTCCCTTTTCTCCTCCCGGGCTGCTCTGCAGCTCTCTCTCTCTGACGCCTCTCGTGGCTCCCACAGTCATCATCATCCTCTCGACGCCCTTCCTCATCGCCGGCATCATCGCCTCGCTCTTGAACGCGACGCTCCCGCTCGACGCCGATGACGAGGACAAGGCGCAGCACCCACCGCTCCTCCTCGACGACGACGCGACCGACTCGCTCGAATCGGGTCGGCATGCAGGTGCCGCGACGAGCCGCAGCGCGAGGGCCGACGAGGACGACAAGGGCCTCTGAGGGAAAGGAGGTCAAAGCGCTCGAGTGCAGCGGGTCTTTGTAGCAGCTTTCTGTCTTTGTCTCTGTGCCGCCCGGTCTGTTCTGTCATGCACGCTGTTCTTTGTCTCTCGCGCGCAACGAGAGGAAGCGTCCGAGCGATGCAGGGCAAGCGAGAGACGTCGCAACAGAGCCGGTCATGCTTGAGCGTCGGGAGCAATCGGCGGCGGGAGCCCGGTACAGCACGTACTGCACAGTGCCTTCTGATCCTCCATCGACGCCTGCAAGGCCGTGCGAGAGGCAGGAAAGCGCCGCAGCTTGGGCAAAGGCGGGGGCGCGACCAATCAGCAACCGCCCGACGTAGTCGGCCCGGCAGTCTGCTTCGAAATTCGCTCGAGAGAAGCCTCTCCCAAGGCTTTGTCCGCGGCAAGAGCTCTCGCCACTCGCCGTACGATCTCAAAGCTGTACGGAGAGCAAGAAGCAGGACGAGCGAGAGCGTCAGAGACGAGGCGGTCGACGAGGGCGACTTGAGAAAATCGTCTTCCCCGACCCAGGGGCTCGTGCACGCAGCAACCGAGGAGCTTGTTGCACACTCTCTCTCTCTCTCTCTCTCTCTCTCTCTCTCTCTCTCTCTCAGTCGGACGCAGGCGAGAAACAAGAGGGAGAAGACGCAACCACCAGTGCGCGTTTCAACGAGAGGAACCGAGAGCCCGAGTACTGCTAGGGAGGAGAAAGGGTGACACAGGGGGAGAGCTAGGCGAGAGGGGTAACGACGACGACGCTCTAGAGGACGTAGGCGAGGACCTTGCGGCCCATCGACTTGGGCTCGGCAGTCGGCTCCGGCTCGCCCTCGGAGAAGGCCTGCTCGTCGCGCGAGCCCGAGACAAAGTCCATCTCGTGCGGCGCCGGGCCACGCTCCTGACGGCGCCAGATGAACCGGTAGAAGCCGTAGAGGATGGGGAAGAAGGCCTGCGAGGGACGAGGGAGGGGTCAGTGAGAAGCTCCTTGACGACGCGAGAGCCGGGAGGACGGGAGGAGGACGCACAATCGGGAAGTACGACGTGATGAAGACGGACGTGTCCCACTGGCCCTTGATGAAGACGGCAAAACCCTGGAAGAGCAGGATGATGCACGAGAAGATGAAGGCGAAGTAGGCGAGGAACGGCTGGAGGGGCGCGCGGTACGGGAGGAGCTTGCGGTCGATGCCCTGGGCCTTGAGGCCGCGGTGGAAGTGGATGTAGGTGAACGCGATGCCGGACCACGTGAGGAGACCGCAGACCGAGGTCATGTTGGCGAACTGCGAGAGGAGGAAGGTCAGTTCCACGTTCGAGAGGGATACCGGCCGACGCCGAGCGCTCCAATCGATCGAGAAAGTGAAATATGGGCTCACGTAGCCGAAGACCGTGCCGGCAGAAGTCGAGCCGACCGACATGAACGACAGGAGGGAGAAGGCGACGCCGACGAGGACGGCGACCCAGGGCAAGCCCCAGCGGTTCGTCTTCTTGAGGATGGCCGGCGCCTGACCGTTGAGGGCGAGACCGTAGAGCGCGCGCGACGAGGTGTAGAGGTCCGACGACGCGGCCGACCACGCCGAGGTGAGCAGACAGGCGTTGATGATGCTCGGGAGCGCCTTGATGCCCGCGTTCTGGATGCTGTTTGAGGTCGCGATGAGGCGTCAGTGATAAGTCGAGGAGGATGAGGCAGAGGAGGAAGGAAGAGGACGGACGCGATGACGAAGGGAGCCGAGACGGCGGTGCCGGTGCCGAGGTTGAGGCGAGGGTCGTCCGAGGGGACGAGGAGGCCCGTGATGAAGACACCGAGGATGTAGAAGACTGTGTGTAGGGGTAGAGAGTCAGATCGTCGCTCAAAAGAGGAGAAAATGAGGTACAGGAGGAGGGAGGGAGGGAAGGTCGAGGATCGCGACGACGCCGACGGCGCGGCAGGTGAAAAGTGGACGTACGCAGGATGCGAATGTAGACGTTCTTGATCGCCCTGCGAAAAGGAGAGAGCGGGAGAGGTCAGGGTCGAAGTTCGAGGGAGAGAGGGAGTGGGCCGAGGAGGACGCACCTCGGGAGCGTTTTGCGCGGGTCCTTGGTCTCGCCGGCAGCGATGGCAACGATCTCAGTGCCGATGTACGAGAACGAGGCCTGGATGAGGACTGCGAGGCGAGGAAGAAGGCGTCAGGACGAGGAGGTTCGACTTGAGAAGGTCACCGAGCGAGCGAAGCCGCCCGCTCGAGCCTCGGGAACGACGACGACGAGTCAGAGAGAGTCACGCACCGGCCCAGACGCCCAAGAAGCGGCCCGTCGCACCCTCGATGCCGAGGTACTGCACGAAGGCTCCGGGCGAGCGCCAGTACTTGGTGCCGATGTACTCGCCATTAGGGCCGCCTCCCACGTCCAAGACGATACCGAGTATGATCAAGCCGATGATCGTGAGGACCTTGATGATGGCGAACCAGAACTCGGCCTCGCCGTAAGCCCTCGAGCCGCCGAAGTTGATGGCGCACGCGACGACGAGGCAGACGGCGATCCAGACGCCGGCGTTGGTCGACTTGTCCCAGTAGCTGATGAGGACGGCGGCGGCGTTGAGCTCGGCGGGAAGGACGATGGTCCACTGCGCGCAGAGAGAGAGAGAGAGTCAGTAAGGGTCGAGCTACGACGGCGTCATTCGCTGACTCGCGTTGTACCAGTAGTTCCAGCCCACTGCGCACGAGCAACGAGGAGAGCGTTAGAGACGGTGCAACACAAAGGGAGGAAGGAAGAGGGAAGAGGACGCACTCGCGAAGCCGAGGCCGGGCGAGACGAAGCGGCGAGCGAGCGTGATGTGGCCGCCGGCGACAGGAAGGTGCGCAATCATCTCGCCGAGCGAGACCATGACGGCGTAGCAGAGGGCGCCGATGGCGGCGTAACTGCGTGAGGGAAGACGACGAGTCAGGCTCGTTCTCGATGAGGACGATGAGGAGACGACGCACCCGATGAGAAGACCGCCGGGACCACCGTGACGCAGCGCGCCAGCAGTACCGAGGAACAAGCCCGTGCCGATAACGCCGCCGATGGAAACTGCAGCGAGGGGGAGGGGAGCGAGTCAGTCGCGGTCCGGGAGCTTCACGCTCGGGCCTCGTCGCGAGACGTCGCGGCCGGCGAGAAGAGGAATGCAGCCGCACTCATCTGGACATGACGGCCCTTGAGGCTGTGCGACAGAAGGAGGACAAGGAGGGGCAGGTGAGCGAGGTGGACGTGGGGGAGAGAGCCGGCGAGGGGAGACGAGACGCACCCGCGGTGGAGCTCCTGAGCGCCGTTGGTCTCGTTGGTGAACAGGACCGTCTGCTGGCCCTGCTTCTCGACGTCCGTCTTGGAGTAGGTCTCCTCGAGCTGCGACATCGTGGGCGAGAGGCGAGAAGGTGGTCGGTCGATCGAGGTGAGGAGGAGGAGGTCGCTCTCGCGTGAGAGGGAGGGGACGACGCCGGGGGTCGAGGGAGGGGAGAGAACGGCGAGGTCGACGAGCGTGTCGAGCGGATAGAGAGAAGAGAGAGAGGAGAGGAGAGCGAGGGAGACGCAAGCAGGTGCAAGGGGCGCTGGCGCGCTCGGGGCCACTCTTGATACGCCGTGGGAACTTTTGCGCGTGCGGCCCAGCCTCTCGATTCGACCAAAGTTAGGCCCGCCTTCGAGCGTAGAGGGCGAGAACCTCTCGCGTGGGGTGATCGGTGTTCGGATCCCCTTGCTGCCCTCTGAGAAACCGATCCCCTCGCTTTCCTTCGGCCGAGGTGGACGGTGGCAGCCAGGCTCGCCTACGCCGCCGACGTGCGGGACCGGGTAGAGCGGCGCGACACGAGGACGAGACGCTTGCTGCCAGCCGACCTTCTCAAGTCGCACCGCCTGCGCAGCTATCTCGCATGCGGGGGAGGCTTTCGAATCCCCGCGAGACGCGGCAGGCCGCTTCGCTTCGTGTCGGGAACGGCCGATTGGCATTCGCGCCCTCGGTCGAGCAAGCCACATCGGCCGGAGGCCCGAGGCCCACGCGCCGCAAGAAAACGCAACGAGTCGACGCTTGCCATCGTTTTCCGAGGTCTCGTGCTCGAGAGGCGCAAACGCGCCACTTTGTCCGGCGGACCCCCGCGCTCTCGCACAGCGGGTCCGCCGGTATCTTGCCTCCGCCAGGAAGAGGAGACTCTCCAACGTCGCTCCGGCGAGCCGTGCGCTGTGCGCGCGTTCGCAGGCCGTTTCGCGCTCCTCGCGGTACAAAGATTGCTCCTGTCTGCCCCGCAAGAACCTCCGCACTCTGCGACAAGCTGCGCCGCTGCCGCGTTCGCTCGCCCGTGCTCGAGCCTGCGGCGAGCAACCGCAAGCTGCGCCGCTGCCGCGTTCGCTCGCCCGTGCTCGAGCCTGCGGCGAGCAACCGCAAGCTCGCGCGCTCGCCGGACCGCGAACCACCTGAGAGCGCTTCCCAGGCCCGTCAGAAGAGCTCTTTATGCGAGCCGGCTCCCGCAGCGGTGGCAGCGATTGCGCCGCCCTTGCGCAAAGGTGTGGAGAAGGTCGGCGGCAAGCCGGCTACGTCGTCGCTCGGACCCCTTGCTCGCGTCGCTTGGTCTTGCCGGCAGCGATGGCGACGATCTCAGTGCCGATGTACGAGAACGAGGCCTGGATGAGGACTGCGAGGCGAGGAAGAAGGCGTCAGGACGAGGAGGTTCGACTTGAGAAGGTCGCCGAGCGAGCAAAGGCGCTTGCTCGAGCCTCGGTAAGGACGGCGGCGGAACCTTGGAGGGAACGCACCAGCCCATACGCCCAGACGACCCGGAAGCACAGCAGGGTCGCTCAAAGACCCGCGCACGACGCTCCCGAAGTGCGTCCTCGTCGGCCCACTCCCTTTCTCTCTCGAGCTGTGATCCAGACCTCTCCCGCTCTCTCCTCCTCGCAGGGCGACTAACAACGTGTCATTCCCGTCCGTCCGTGTTCCCTTCTGAAGTTTGGTAGCTGTGAGAGGGCGAGAAAGCTCGAGAAGAGGCGAGCCTCGGACTTGCTCTCGGGCGCTCGACTGGCTTTCTCCTGCCGAGCGAGGGCGACGCACAGCGTCAAAGCAAAGCTCTTCGGTCCCATACGATCGAGCCTGGCCGCACGAGGACGAGACGGTGTAGCGCAGCTCGGCTCCAGAAGAGAAGCGCTGAGGAAGGGCTCGCTCGCACGGACCTCTCGTCGGGCTCGCTCAAGTTCTCTCGCGGGTGACGACGAGAAAGGGCATTGCAGATTCGGGGGGTACTGATCAGGCGAGAAAAGGAGGGAGAGAGAGAGAGAGAGAAGAGGGGAAAAGAGGGGGATCAAGCGAGGGGTACGAACGAGAGAAGCGATCGCCAAGCGGCGACGACGACGGCGCGCACAGTCGCTCAGTGCTCGACAGCGCGCTGCCCGTCAAAGTTGACCCTGCCCTGGACCGAGTCGTGCTGGCCCTCGGTCGCGAAGCCCGCCATCGTGTCGAGCTTGGCCTTGGCCGCCGCTTGCTGCTTGGCCTCGCTCGCCTGCGCCGAGTTGGCGTCGACCGGGACGCGGAACATGGCGCGCGGGTCCGGGTGGTCCTTGCGCGACGCCCAGAAGTCAGGCTGGTACGACATGAACTGTGAGGACGGCGACGAGGAGGCACGCGCGCGAGGGGTAGGGGAAAGGGAGAGAGGGCGCGTCAGCCCGGCGCTCGCAAGAGCTCACGAAGTCGCCGTAGAGCCTGTGCGGCGCCGCACAAGCCGCTTCGAGCGCGTGAGGAAGGGGAAGAGAGAGCCGAGCGCACCTTGGTGTTCTGGCCCTGCTGGACGTCGTTCCACGGCTCGGGGCGGCCCTTCTTGTTGATCGAAACGTCGGGCTGGGTACAAGGCGAGGGAGGCTGTCAGCTCGGTGCTGCGCGAGCTGCGCTGTCACGAGGAGGACCGTCGCCGAGGACGGCAACACCGGCGGGAGGTGGGGGTGGGGAAGGACGAGGGCGAGGTGGAGAAGGAGGAGAGGGAGAGAGGACGCACCGACTTGCGCAGGTAGTGCGTGCTCACGGCGAGCGCGGCGATGACTCCACCGCCGACGGCGACGCTGCGAGCGAGGGCGAGCAGTGAGCGTGGGGGCACGAGGAGGCGCGTGTGCGGGGACGAGCCGTACGCGAGAGGCTGGAGGGCCGGTTCACGGCGCAGGAGACGGGCGAGGCTGGCCATGGTGGTGCTGAGGTTGCTGTGCTGAAGGTGGGCTGGCGCTGGAAGCTCGAACGGCGGTGTCGAGGCGGGCGACGTGGAGGAAGGAGAGCGAGAGGCGCGAGGGCGCGCAGACTCGAGCTCCGAGCCTCGCACGCCAGAGCTCGAACCCGGGCCGGTCACACGCTCGAGTTGCTGTCGACGGACAGCCTCGGCAGCAGAGTAGCTCGAGCAGGTCGGGCCACCGCAGAGAGCTCGAGCCTCTCGCCGCTTTCTCGTGCGAGTGCTCGTCGACGTGCTTCGGACGCTCGGCTGCGAGCACGCAACCTCCTTGCGCCGTACAAACCTGACCAGACGTTGCGAGCTAGCTGATGCAGGCGCCTCGACTCGGGTCTGCCGGCTGGGGCAGACGAGACGAGGAGGGAGAAGCTTCAAAGGCGGGCTGCGAACGGCTGGGCTCGACGCGCACTGCTATCCAGTCGGCGCGACTCATTCACGACGACTGACGAGATAAAGACCCTTTGAACATTTCAGGCGAGCGCGAGAGAGGGAGACGGGCAAGCCCGGCCCTTGCGAGCTCGCACGGCCCTCCTCGCGCATCTACTGCGCGCTCTGCTCCTCCTCGTGGAAGTCGTACGGTAGCCACTTGCCCGTGAGCGTGATCTGGACGTTGTCGGCGCCGTTCTTCTGGACCTTGTCGACCTTGCAGCTGAAGTTGATCGCGCTCATGATGCCGTCGCCGAAGCGCTCGTGAATGACCGACTTGATGGCGTAGCCGTACACGGAGATGATCTCGTACAGGCGGTACAAGGTCGGGTCGGCAGGAGCCTGCCCCGTCGGGATGAGGCCGCCGCGCTCGGGGAAGTAGTGCGGGTGCCAGTGCTTGAGCAAGGGCTGCGACGAGTGGGTCGACGGCGCGAGAGAGAGGGCAAGATGATAGACGTGTCGACGGCGAGGCAAGAGAAGGTGCGAGGAGAGGAGGAGAGGAGGAGAGGCGAGGGGACGATGAGGACGAGAGAGGGAGGCGGGAGGAGGGAGGGAGGAGGGCGAGGAGGGAATGAAGGTCAGGGGGCCCACAGACTGAACGGCGAGACGTAGGACGTACCCCCTCCTGCAGACCGAGCGCCTTTCCGAGCTTCTTGACCTCGTCCTCAGTCGGCTTGGCCTGCGAGTCGGCACCGCGAAGAGTCAGCGGACGGGTGCATGGCGGAACGTCCAGGACCGCGAATCGACGAGGGGCAAGGACGAAGGGAGATGCGCACCTGACCGTAGAAGAGTGCGGCGACCCACACCTCGTCGCGCCCGACCTTCTGCGCGATCTGCTCGAACGAGAGGCCTGCGCAGGAGGCGAACGTCAGCTCTGTGAGGCGGGCGAGGGGATCGCTGCGGGGCCGCCTGGACGCTCGAGAGGCACACAGGAAGCACTGAGGCTCACCCTTGACCGCCTTGGCCTCGAACAGGCTCTGCGGACAGGCGAGAAGATGAGCGACCGGGGCGATGACGATGGCCGCTGGCGAAAGGCAGGGGCAGGCGCACCTGGTGAGCCGGGGCGAGGGATTGGACGACGCTCATGGTGTGGTGATGGTGGTAGCAGCAGATGGGGCAGCTGAGCCGTGTGAGAGGAGGAGCGATGAAGCTGCGAGGTGGAGGTGGGGGCGGCCGAGCGGGGGGGGCGCGCGAGCAACTCTCGACGACGACGACGAGAGCTGCCTGGTCAGGTTGCAGGCACGGACAGCTGCACTGCACGCCATCTCGACACAAGCCCAGCGACGACTGGCGGCCTCACCTCCCGACGACCTCGCGCCGCCTCTCCCTCCCCGACGTCCACGCGCTTCCTCCTCGAGGTCCGCGCTCCCTTTCGACGCGCTGCTGCTCCCCCTCCCGCCCGTCCTCGCCCTCGAGCTCGAACCCGCTCCCATACCCTGCGCGCTCCAAGCTCCCGACGACCGCGCCTCCCGCCGCGCTCGGGTCGGCGAGACGCCGCCGCACTCGGCGCGAGAACGCCGTCGCGTCCGAGCGGTACCGGTCGTACGACGTCGTCGAGCTGTCACGTGCCGAGGAGCCGAACAGGGGCGCGTTCGAGTTGATGGCGCGCGAGAGCGGGATGCGGGTGCGGATGGCGTGCGAGCGCGAGAGGGTCGAGCCAGAGGGGGAGGACGACGACGGCGAGGCGACGGCGCCCGTCGTGGCACCGTTGACGGTCGTCGAGGCGGACGAGAGGCGGTCGGTGTTAAGGACGCTGCTCGGGAGGAGGGGGCGAGCGGGTCAGGATCGTTTTCGCACTCGAGCCCGGCCGGTCGCGACGGGGCGGCAGAGGAGAGAGAAAGAGAGAGACGCACCCAGCGTTACCGCCCTCGCCGAAAGCTCCGCTCGCCGTGCGCTTGCGGGCATGCATGGCGATCGCGTTGTCGAGCCACCACGTCTCGCCCTGCGGGTCGATCCAGTCGCTCGGCTCGCCGACGAGCCCGTCCTGGAAGTCGCGCTGCGCCGACGGGATCGCCTTCCACCGCATGCGCTCGCCGGCGCGAGGCGGCCGCTCCCTCAAGCGGCGGCGGGGCTCTGGCGCCTCAGGCCGACCTGCTGCCCAGCCGCCGCCGCTCGCGCGCTCCTGCGAGTCGCCGTTGACCTCCTCGCCCCCGCCGCTCTCGCCGCCCTCGCCACTCCTTGAGCGCACACGCTCCTCGACGCCGAGCTCGTCTGCCGGCGTGCGGCCGACGAGGCGGGCGAGAGGCGTGACGGCCTCGAGGCGGTAGTGGAACATGAGGCCGTCGACGACGCCGCCGCCGGTGACGCCGCCTGCCGAGAGGACGAGCGGCTGAGGCGGGTAGCGCGACGTGACGGCCGAGGCGTACGAGGTGTAGGTCGGGCGCGAGAGCGAGCAGGGGACGCAGGGTCGGAGGAGGCGGTACCCGAGGTGGTTGCCGCTGCGGACAAGAACACCCAGAGCGTGTCAGTCTCGTACACGATCCTGCACATCGAGAAGGGGAATGAGAAAGAGATGGAACGGACCATCGCTTGCACCCGACGTCGCGCGTCACACACCCCTTGCACCCTCTCCACCCGCGCTCGCCGATGCGCTCGCCGCCGCCGAGGCCGTCCTCCTCGCCGCCAAAGTCGGCCACCTTGTCGGCGCACGGCGGCAGGTCGCTGCTCGCGGCCGCCTCCTCGCGCCCTTGGTCCTCGAAGACCTTGCCAGGCACGCCCTCGAGGAGCGCCCTCGCGCAGACGAGGGCGCCGCAGCCCTCGGCGCGCGCCCGACCCTTGCCCTTGAGCGCCGCAGAGGTGGACGAGGTCGACGCCGAGGTTGACGCCGTCGAGGACGTCGAAGCCGAGGCCGCGGCGCCGTCGTCGGCCCACGAGAAGCCGGCGGGGAGGCCCTCGACGGCCGGCCCACCGCAGTACAGGAGCTCGACGGGCTTCTTGCTGCGCAGCGCCGCGCCCATCATGGCGTTGGTCTCCTCGCGCGTCCTGCGCCTCGGGCTTTGGCGCGGCAAGGCGCCCGGGCCGACCGGAGCGTCGTCCTGCGGCGGCGGCGAGGAGGACGGCGGCGGCCGCACGACAGGTCGTCGACGTCCGATGAGCGCCGGCGCGCCGTCGCCGTCACGGCGAGCTGCGGCGCCTCGACGATCGGCGGCGCGCGAGGCCGCCATGGCCTCGGCCTCGAGTTGCTCCCACTCGCGGTCGCCGTCGTCCCGGTCCGAGTCGTCGTCGGACGAGTCGACGACGATGGCACGCGGCGGCCGTACGAGGCGCCGCTGGCGAGGCTCGTCGTCGCCGGCGTCCACGCTGATCGGAGCGCGCGCGCCGACCGACTCGAGCCATGCGGCATAGTCGTCCGAGGTCGAGGTCGACGAGCCCGAGTCAGACTCGGCGTCGAGCGCGAAGGCGTGTGCGGGAGGGTTGGCGGGGCTGAAGGTCGTCGGGAGGGGGCGGAAGAGGAGACCGCCGCGAGGCAGGGCGCCGCTGCGAGCGACCGACTGGGGCTGGTTCTGCAGGCCGCAATTCTGGTGAGCACGTCGGCCTCACGAGGCGCGGTCTCGCACAGAGAGAGAAGAGAGAGACGAGTCGACGCACGCGCCAGAGAGACGAGCCGAACGCCGAGTCCATGCGCTCGCCGAGCTGCCGATGCGCAGCGAGCTGCGCCGTCGCCGCGACAAAGTTCCGCTCCGACTGCTCGAGCCGTCGCTGCGCGGCCTCGCGCTCGGCGTGCAGCGCCTCGATGTCGAGCTCGGTCGACGAGCGGCCCGACCGGTCCTCGTCGCGCCTTGCGCCGGCTCGAACGCCGCCGTCCTGGCCCGCCCTCGCCGCCGTCGGCGACGGCCAAAAGGGCACGGGCGCGCCCGCTGCGCCGGCGTCGATCCACGCCTCGCGGGCGGCGCGCAGCTCTTCGGGCGACACCTCTGGGTGGGCCGCCGGCGCGAGGCCGAGCTGGACCCAGCCCGTGTCGCCGAAGACCTCGTCGCCGCCAGCGTCTCGTGCTGCCGAGTCGTCTGCGGCAGCCGCCAAGATGGAGCGGCCGCGGTAGGTGCGCCGCCGGCTGCGCGACGTGTCGCCTGCGCGGAGGGACGAGACGAGGAGGGCCTGGTCGTCCTCGTCGTCGTCGGTGTCGGCGGCGAAGCGGTCCTCGTCAGGCGGACGGGGTACGGTGTCGCCGCCCGACATGGCGGCTTGACGAACGCGCGAGGTGCCGGTCGTGGTGCGGAGGCGGCCGGCTGCGTCGTAGTAGAGGTCGGGCGCGAGGTGCGACGGGTCGGCGGCCTGGTCGGGTGAGGCAAGGGGGCCGACGCCGGTGGCGGCCGAGGCGAGTTGGCGGAGGAGGGAGCGCGGCTGATCGCCGTCCGAGGGGAGCGCGTCGTGCTGGGGAGGAGGAGGAGGCGAAGCGGCGACGACGCGCAGAGTGGGGGCGGCGGCGGCGGCGGCGGCCGCCTCGTGGTCGAGGGGCGGGGTGGGCGACTCGCGAGGGGACAGGACGACGACCTCCCTGCGGCGGTGGCCCTGGTCGTCGTGGTTGTCGGCGACGGCGTGGTCGCGCGACGAGGCCGGGTCGGGTGAGGGGGAGCGCGAGAGTGGGTCGGGCATGGCGGGCGTGCGCCGACTGGGTGTAGGGCGTGCCGACGCTCGAGCTGGAGGTTCTGGCGGCTAGAACAGGTCCACTGGAGCGCGAGGTGCGAGCAGGAAGCCAAAGAGAGATGAGAATCGCTCGACCACGAGCCGGATCCCCTCCAGAGGCTCTCTCTCGCTCGTTGGACGGGAGGGATGGGCTCAACTGGTGACAGAGAGTACACACGACGCACCCAGGCTCGCAGAGAGCCCGCCTGAGCGAGTTGACTCGAGCTGGACGGCCGCTCCGCTCCACCTCGCAACGGTCGGCTCTCGGTTTCCGTTCCCACTCGCACACCTCGCTTGCTCGACTCGCCGACCAGCTCACTCGACTCGGGCACGACCATCAGCCCTCGCCTGGCCGACCCGCGCTCGCCGCCGCGCGGTCCCGCTCCCACGTCTCCTCGCGCCGTCAATGGCCGCCATCGGCTCGGCCATCCTCGCCGCCCACCGCGCAAAGGGCAACCAGGACGTCGCCCAGCTCTTTACCCGCAAGGAGCTCGTCGGCAAGGGCGCGTACGGCGGCGTGTACAAGGGCATCCACAACGACACGGGCACCGTCGTCGCCCTCAAGGTCATCGACCTCGACACGCCCGACGACGACATCTCCGAGATCCAGCGCGAGGTCGCCCTCCTGTCAGAGCTCCGCGATGCCGCCCGCTACAACATCACCCTCTACCACGGCTCGTACCTCCACGGCCACGAGCTCTGGATCGCCATGGACTTCGCCAGCGGCGGCAGCATCCGCACCCTCGTGCGTCCCGCGCTTTCCCTCTCCCGGCATGTGACGATGAGCCTGACCTCGCCCCATCCCCACGCGCAGATGAAGAGCGGGCCGATCGAGGAAAAGTACGCCGCCCTCATCATCCGCGAGGTCCTCGTCGCCCTCAGCTTCCTCCACCGTCAAGGCATCATTCACCGCGACGTCAAGGGTGCGCCCCAGTCTCTCTGTTCTTGCACCGATGAGCTGGGCATCGCGCCAACCCGCCTCTATTCCCTGCCACAGCCGCCAACGTCCTCCTCACCCAGACGGGCAAGATCCTCCTGTGCGACTTTGGCGTCGCCGCGCACCTCCAGACCAACTCGAAGCGCTCGACGTTCACGGGCACGCCCCTGTGGATGGCTCCCGAGGTCATCACCGACGGCAAGCTGTACGACACGCAGGCCGACGTCTGGTCGCTCGGCATCACGCTGTACGAGATCGCGACGGGCAACCCGCCTCACTTCGGCATGGAGCCTCTGCGCGCATGCGCCCTCATCCCGACCATGGCGCCGCCAAGACTCGAGGGCGGCTCGTGGAGCAACGGCATGCGCGAGTTCCTCGCGAGCTGTCTCGAGATCGACCCGAGCGAGGTGCGCCCACTCTCCCTCTGGCCATCCTCCTCTCGTCTCGCCTCGCCGGCCGCAAGACAGCTACTGACAGCTTGTCGCCGACCCGCAGCGCCCGACCGCCGACGAGCTGTCCAAGACCAAGTGGATCCGCTCGGCGTCCAAGCTGTCGATGGTCATCCTGCGCGAGCTCATCGTGCGCTACGTGTCGTGGATCCAGTCAGGCGGTCAACGGCACTCGATCGTCGGCCTCGACGGCGTCGACGAGGTCCTGCAGCGCGAGGACACGTTCGAGCTCGCCGAGGACCGGTGGGACTTTGACCTCGGCTCGGGCGAGGACGAGGGCGACGAGGGCGACTTGGGGACCGGGCTCGGCCGGGTCGAGCCGCTCGGGGACGAGCCGGCGAGGGCACCTGTCGTGCCCAAGACGCTCGACGAGCTGGCGGCGCAAGGTCACGCTCGACCACCCAAGGGTGCGTCCCTCCTCTCCTCCTCTCCTTTCCCCTCGTCCCTCGCGCCCTTATTGACGCGCCTCCCATGTCGCAGTCCAACCTCCACCGCGCAGCAATCACCCGCTCCTGCGCCTCTTCGACGAGGAGTCAAACCCGTACACGCAGTCGCAGGCGCCCACGACCATCTCGCTCCCGACCGGCCTCTCGTCGCTCAACACGGTCAAGCCCACCATCTCGATCCCGTCATTCGACGAGATCGACGACATGGCCTCGTCGTCGGCCGACCCGTCGTCGTCGTTGGCGTCGTCGTTCGGCGGCGCGTCAAACGGCTTCGGCTTCGGCGGCGCTTCGGCGGCCTCGGGCGGCGGGTACGGCGGGTACGGCGGCGCAGGAGGCGGCGGCGCGTTCAGCGACTACGCCGGCGGCGGCGCGTTCGGGTTTGGAGCGGCGTCCGGGCTCGGCGCAGCCGACGACCTCATGTCGCCCGCGGCGACGGTCCGCGGCAACCCGTTCGCGTGGCAGGCGCCGCGGTTCGGCGGCGCCACGTCGTCGTCCTCTACGCGTGACGCCGCGTCGCCATGGGCGCCGTCGAGCCCTCGAGTCGGGCGCAGCGACACGCCCGACTCGAGCCTGTGGGGTGGCGGATCGGGCTCGGGAGGAGGGACCCACACGCGCAACTCGAGCTCGACGCCGACCGAGGCGCACTTCCCCGCAAGCGACCTCGCGCCGCTGCCGCTCCCCTACACGTCCTCCTCCGCCTTCGCCGCCGCCGTGTCCGCCCCACACGTGACGAGCTCGCCGTCCCTTCCTTCCCTCACCACGCCCTCCTCTCTCGCCTCGACCGACCAGGCGCACCTGAACCGACCCTTTGGCGCACCCTCGTCGTCGTCGGGCGCCGCCGCCATCTCGCCCGCCGCGCGCCGCCGGGCCGACACGGCGCCGAGCTCTAGGCCCGGCGAGCCAGGCGCATACCCGCCTCTCGGCATGGGCATCCCTCGCCCAGGCGCGACGGGCGCACCGCTCGTGCCCTCGGCGTCGGTCGGCGGGTACCCGCCGCTCGGACCGGGCCTGCCGCGCCGGTTTGACGGCGCCGCGCCTGCACCCGCGTTCGCGCCTGCGCCGGCACCTGCGCCATCGGGCATGGGCATGGGCCAGTTCGCGCCCTCGACGAGTTGGGACCTCGGCCCGCCAGGGACGAGCTCGGGGCATGCGCGCGGCGGGAGCGCATCGTCGTCGGCTGGCGGCGGCCCGAGCGGCGACGGCGGGTCGAACCGCCCCTTCGCGTTTGGCGGCGTGGCGGCGGCGCGGGACCTCAACCGGCCGTTCGGGCTCGGCGCGTCGGCTGGCGCGTCGGGAGCGAGGGAGCGAGGGTGGAGCAACGCGACCGAGGGAGGTGGGTGGGGTTTGAGGGCAAGGGCCGGCAGCGAGGCCGGGAACAAGAGGGCGGCTCTCAAGGTACGCCTCGCTTTCTCCTTTCTCTCTCTCTCTTTGGAAAGACGTCGAGCGCAACCTGGATTGACCGAGTCCTGCTGTCGCAGATCACGACCGCCCAAGGCGCACCGCTGCCGTTCGGCGCCGCCTCCCTCGCCTCGCCAGCGACGGCCGTCCCGCAGACGCCGCTCAACGCGCAGCAGCACAACGTCTACCCGACCTCGCCGTACCACAACCGCAAGGCGTCGCACAGCCGCAAGCCGTCGAGCTCGTCGAGCGCGGTCCCTTACGGCTTCTTCCCCGTGACGACGGCGTCGCCTCCTTCGTTCGTCCCGCCGCCGACAGCATCCGCATCGTCGTCTTTCTCGGTGTCGGCGTCGGTGTCGGGCCAGATGCAGCGCGGCGACTCGCAGACGTCGCCACGGACCATCCCTGGCTTCGCGCCTCCTCCCGGCTCCGGCCACCGCCCTCGACTCTCGCACAGCCAGACGACGCCGGCGCAGCTGCCGTTTGTCGCAGGCGGGTACGCCGCACCGACAGGTCGACACCTGCGCACCTACTCGTCGACCAGCAGCCTCCTCGGCGAGGACGCCCACACGCCGCTCGCCGCACCCACCCTCCCCGCGCTCGCCGAGCTCCCGACACCGTCCGCGACGCCTGTACCTCTCCCCTCGGCGCTCGTCACGGCGCCAGGGCAGCGAGGAAGCGCGATCGGGTACCCGTTCCCCCCCGTCGGCGACCTCGCCGTGCCCGGCGCGAGCGCAGGCCTCGGCGGGAGCGCGAGCGTCGGCTCCGGCTCGGCGTCGTCCTCGGTCGCTCAGACGCCGGCGGCTGCGCCTGTACCTCAGCTCGGTACGGGCTCGGCGCTGCCGAGGGTCGCGCCGCTCGACTACGCCGCGCTGTCGCACGGCGACGGTGCTGCGGCCGCACGGGAGCTCGAGCGGCAAGTGGCGCAGCTCGCGCAGTGGCTTGAGGTTGTGGGTGAGGGTCTCGGGCGAGTGCTCGATGGCGACATCGGCGATTTGGGGTTCGAGCTGGGCTCGGACGCGACGAGGGCAGTACCGGCGGCGGACGAGGCAGGGGACAGCAGGAGGATGACGCCCATCGAGGTCTAGAGGCCGGCAACGACGACTTGTTTATTCTTCTGAGCGCGCAAGAGAGCGGTCTGACCTGATTCGGCGAGACTCGTGGCTCTGCAGAGCATCACCTCGACTTGAGAAGGTTGACCTTTCGTCTTCTCGCAGGGCTGCGCACGAGCCCCACTCGCTCTCTTTCTTTGCGGCAACCCAGAGATGACAGGCGCAAAGAAAGAAGTGAGCAAAGTCGAGCCGGATGAGAGCCGCACAGCGACGGTGGCTCGACTGAGAGGACCGAGGGAGGGAAAGCGCAGACGCTCTCGCTACTTTCGCCGGAAACGCCTCAGCAGCGACAGCCATGCTCTCGTCGACGACAGGCTCTCGGCCACGGTTGCGCCGCTCACAAAAGACGCAGCGACGATGGCGAGGAGAGGGTCCGAACGCGAGAAAAGCAGCGAGCACAGCAGCTTCCGTTTGCGCTCTCCCTTGCACTCTCGCTCTCTGATTGACGGACGAGTCGTACGCTGCAATGGAATGTATGTACTTTGGGCTTCGGGCTACAAATGACAGAGTAAAGCGACGAAGAGAAATTAGGTCGAGAGGCATATTACGAGGAAGGGCGGGAGGAGGAAGGGGAATCGCGCGTGGGTCGCAGCGGCAGGAGGGAGGGAGAGAGGGGAGGAAAGCGAGAGAGGTCGAGGCGCGACCGTTTAGGCGCGCTTCCACCAGTGGCCGTTGGCGCCCGACGTGGTCGTGCCCATGGGCTCGACGGCCGACGTCTCGTTGTAGGCGCCGACCGGAGCGGCGTACTGGTTGCTCGTGCTGTACGTGTTGTCCTGGACGAGCGGGCCGGTCGAGCCAACGTCGGTCGGCGCGCCCGACGATGCGTAGTAGTCGGTGACGACCGGCTCCTGCTGGTGCGTCGAGCGCATGGCCGGGACAGTCGAGAACTCCTGGTCGCGGGCCTTGCGCGAGCGGCGCGAGCGCGTGAAGCACACGGTGAGGGCGGCGATGAGCTGCGCGCCGGCGGCGGCGACGACGAGCCAGATCATGCTCGACAGGCCGAGGTTCGAGTTGGGGACGTTGTCGTTGATGCGGTTGCGCGCCGTGATGAAGAAGCCGAGTGCGAGCTGTAGGTACGCAAGGTTCGTTAGTCTGTAGTCCTCGCACGGCGAAACGAAGCGAGGGAGAGTGTGACGCACGCCGAGGAAGACGAGGGTCGCGAGGAGGGCGATGAGGGACGCGATCGACGCGAGGATGCCCATGACGAGGTGGGTGCTCAGGGCGAACAGGAGGGCGATGAAGGTGAGGCCGGCGGCGATGGGCGCGAGGATGAGCGTCTTGGAGAGGACCTGCATGATGCGGTCGCCGGCGACCTGGCTGCCCGTCGCGGTGCGGATAAAGTTCCTCGAGCTGCAGGTGGAGCGTCCGCCAACTGGTGAGCACCGGCAGTCGGATCGAGAGAGAGGAGAGCGAGAGGCGGGACGCACTAGCCGAGCGTCGCCGACGAGCAGCCGTTGGCCGTGCACAAGCCCCAGTTGCCCCAGGTCGTGCTCACGCCGTTGACGTTGCCCTTGAGGTAGCCGACCGTGTCCCAGATGGGTGCCGAGACCTGCGAGAGGGAGCATTCCGGTCAGTGACGGCACGCTCGCGAGAGGGCGAGGCGGGACAGGAGGACGCACCGAGACGACGACGAGGAGCGCCATGCTGGCGAACAGCATGAAGGCGCCGAACCAGTGGATGATGTTGGGTGCCATGGTCGAGGTGGTGAAAAGTAGAGGCTGAGGTGGGAAAGGCGCAGGGAGGGACGACGAGCGAAGTCCGGGGAGGTTGCGAGAGGTCAAAATCTGGACGGACGCAGAAGTCAGTCTCGAGGGCAGGTGCGTGCACACACGGTCGAGCGGACTCACAGGTGCGCGGTGATGCAACGCAGGGGAAGAGCGAAGAGGGGAGAAAGAGGTCGACAGCTGCGTGAGCCCCCTGAGGCAGGAATCCTGGGGCCGAGCGGGAGCGGGACGAGGAGCGCGGATGACGTTTGAGGCGGTGCCTCGCTCCAAAGTGCGATCGCCTCCCCCTTACGCAACCTCACTCAGCCTGGATCGCCGCCAAGGCAGTGACGAGCGCGCCTCGTGTTTTCCGCCTCGTTCCTCGCGGCCGCACCAAGTCAGAGCAGCGCTGCGACTGGCACACCGCTCGAGCGTCAAAGTGGCCTGGCCGAACGCGCGTCGCGTACGCTGCGGAGCCTCGTCGGCCTAACGAGACGAGGTCCGTGCGTCTCGACGTGCGAGCGCTCGACGCTGGAGCGCAGCTGTCTGTCGCGGAGCGAGAGCAAGAAAGCAAGCCCTGGTTAATGACGCATACAGCAGCAGAGCTCGAACTGCGCAGCGTCTGAACAGGACGAGCAATGCGCTTTCCCCGTTCGGGAGGTCAGTGCGGACCTTCTCAAGTGGGTGCGCCTCGACCTGTCGAGGTCGCCGCAGACGGCTTCCGCGCTTGTAGATTGAGCACGTGACAGACTTCGCGCACGAGCGTGCGACGTGCAAGTGTGCGAGAGCGAGCGCCGGCTTTCTCGACGACCGGACCTGCTCAGAACCGCGGTCCGGCGGCTCTCACTTCTCGCGGTCGGGTATCGGAACGTCGATTCGTTGTCCCCGCCTGGCGCGGCCCGAGGCGCGGCAGCTTGAGAGCAGCTTGCAGTCCATGGCTGGAGCGGAGCGCCGGCGCGCTGCTCGCCTGGATGCCCCTCCTCTCCTCCTCTCTCTCTCGCGCTCAGCTGCTTTCGACGCAGCCTACTTCAGCAATGGTCCCGCCACGAGCTATGAGCGACTCGACCGCGTCGCAGACGACCACGCTCGAGAAGTCGGCGGCGGCCGTCGACGACGACCTCGAGAAGCAGGAGCGAGGTCCGGTCTCTCGTGGAGCCGCCGCGGTCGAGCCCGAACCTGCGGTCGCCAAACCCTCTCTACCTCCAGGTCGCCTAGCTCCCGACGACCCCTTGAACCCGATCAATTGGTCGACCAAGAAGAAGATTGTGCGCTCAGTCCCCTGCCGCCCGACCGAGCTGGACCTGACCTTCCTTCTCTCTCTCTCGCAGCTCGTCGACTTTGTGCTCAACATTTGGGTCCTCTCGCTCACCTACTCGTCGACGGCGTACGTCGCAAGCGTCCCTGCCCTGATGCGCCGCTTCAACAGCAGCCAGACGGTCGGTCTTCTCGGCGTCACCCTCACCGTCCTCGGCTTCGCGGCCGGTCCTCTCCTGTTCGGGCCGTCGAGCGAGATCTACGGGCGTCGCCCCGTCTACCTTGCGTGCGGCGTGCTGTACAGCGCCTTCGCGATCGGCGTCGCGTTCGCGGACAGCATGTCGTCCCTTCTTTTCTTTCGCTTTGTCGTGGGTCTGTTCGGCTCCGCCCAGATCAACAACGTCCCAGCTTCGATAGGAGATTTTACGGTCCCCGCGAATCGAGGACCGTACAGCATCATCTGTGCGTGGAGGCTCCCTCCCTCTCGTCGAGGAGGAAGCGCACTGACCTCTCGACCGCCCACAGACGCTATCTGCGCCTTTGGAGGGCCGGCGCTCGGTCCTCTATCTTCTTCTTTCGTCGAGACGGAGGCGGGCTATCGGTGAGCCGCACCCATGTCGCGCAAAGAGAGACAGAGCCTGACCTCGTCGGCCTTCTCAACTTGCGCAGGTGGAATTTGCGGGTCATCGCGATCTTCTGCACGTTAACCTCGCTCCTCGCCGCCTTCGTGCCCGAGTCGCATCACCCTACCCTAGCCAGGCACCGAGCGGAGAAGGAGTCGAGCGAGCCGGTCGCCCGCAAATCCGTCGCCGACGTCGTCCGGGTCTACAAAGGCGCCCTCTCGCGCCCGTTCATCTTCCTCTTCACAGGTAAGGCTCGCGAGCCACCCACGGCATCTGCGAGAGACAAGCCTGACGACCTCACACACACACACAGAGCCAATCGTCGCCATAATCAGTTTGTACCTGGCCGTGCTCTATGGCATTCTGTGCGTCCAGCTCGAGTCTTTTTTCGCGACAAACACTGACAGCCGTCTCTCCCATCTCGATCGAACAGCTACGGCTTCTTCCCTGTACGCCGACCTTTCGTATCGGTCGAGCGCCGCCCCCCTCCTGCTCACCTCGACCTTCTCACGCAGGCCTTCTCGGTCGTCTGGATCGAGATTCGCGGCTTCAGCCAGCAGAGCTTTGGCCTCACCTACATCGCCCTCGGCCTCGGCTTCCTCATCGGCGCTATGGCCATCGCTTTACTCGGCGGTGAGCACCCTCTCCTCGCGCGCACGAGCCTCTTCCCCTCGTTTCGTCGTGCGCACTCCCTGACGCTCCTCTCCTCGTCCCGGTCGCAGGCAAGTCGTACATGCGCGCCGCAAAGAAGGCGCTCGAGGGCGGCGACACGACCGTTCCGGCCGAGGCACGCCTGAGCGGCCTCACCCCGTTCGGCGCCGTCCTGGCTCCTGTGTGCGCTTCTCTCTCTCTCTCTCTCTCTCCTCTTCGTCGACTATCGCATTTGCCCTGAGCTGACTCTTCCTCCCTGCCGCCGTCGTCTCGCGCAGCTCGCTGTTCCTCTTCGCATGGACCGCGCCGTTCCCGAGCGTCCACTGGATCGTTCCTTGTCTGGCCGAGGCGCTCTTTGGATGCAGCATGATCATGATCTTCACGTCTTTCATTCCCTACTTGATCGACTCGTACCGTGCGTCCCTCTCTCTCTCTCGCCATCCTCGCCTCGACGATCCAAGTCGTGCTGCGGCCTCGCAATCGAGTTCTCAACTGACGCTCCTTCCCCCGCCCGCCAGAGATGCACGCCGCGAGCGCCCTCGCTGCGGGCATGGCCTCTCGAGCGCTCATCGGCAGCGTCTTTGTGAGTCCCTTTGCTCGCTGCGGCCCCTCTCGGCCTCCTGCAAGCGCCGCACTGACCTCTTCCTCCTCGACGACCTCGTCCCCCTCCCTCAGCCCCTCTTTACTCTGCCGATGTACCACAACCTGACGGTGCAGGGTGCGACGTCGCTCTTTGCCGGCATCGCGTGCCTGTGCGCGCCGATCCCAGTCATCTTTGCGCGGTACGGGCCCGGGTTGAGGAGCAGGAGCAGGTACGCCGCCGCGAACCGGTGAGGCGGCGAGCTCTCGGACCCTGTAATAAAGAGCAGTACATCTCTCTCGAATCCATGCAGCCGAGCGAGAGAGCCAGGGAGGAGAAGGAGAGAGGCGAGCCGTAGCAAAAGCTGAAAGACGAGGACAACGAGGACAGTCGCAGCGACAAAGCCGCTCTCGATTGGCTCTCGACCGTGCCGCGTAAACGAGAGGGAGAGTATAGTGTCTGCATTGCGGTCGGACGAGGTGGCGAGGAAAGGTCGAGAGCGCGTTCAGGCCGCCTGGATCTATTGGACGAGACGAGGTCAGGTCCGGCTGCGCAGTTTGCGGCGAGCGGGCGTGCCGTCTCGAGCGCCGCTCGCTCCGACGATTTCGAGAGAGAGGAGGAGCAGGGGACGTACATAGGCTGCGGGCACGAGGCCGGTCCTGCCGTCCTTCGAGACCTGCCAGGCGCAAACGAGACGTCGTCAGTCTCGACTGCGACACAAGGCGTTCCTCGACGGCTCGTTTCGACAGGCCCATGATGCTCGAGAAGAGAACGAGGGACGCACCTCTGCCCATCCCTCAGCGGCGGCAAAGCCCGTCGCCGTGAGCGAGAGCTGCTCGCCCTCCTCGAGCGCGAGCTCGTCGGCCGTCTGTGGCGCATAGTCGTACAGCGCCGTGACTGCGTACAAGAGACCATGCGAGTCAGTAACGCCGCACGCTCGTGCGCGAGAGAGCGAGTCACAGAGAATCGTGCACGCACCTGTTCCCGGACCAGACCCTCCTGCTGCCGCTCCTCCTCCCGCCGCCGCCGCACCGATCTCGACGTAGCTCCCAGGTACGAGCCCGACCCTGCCGTCCTGCGGCACCCGGACCTTGACCCACCCGTTGCCGTCCTCGGGCTCCACCACCTCGAGCGACGAGCCGACGTCGGCGGCGTCGAGCGTGAGCTCGTACGACGACGAGGCGGCGTACGGGTACAGGACGGTGGCGTGTTGAAGTGTTGCGGAGGAAGAGGTGCGCGAGGAGGCTGATGGCGAGGCGTTCGAGCCAGGAGGAGGGACAGCTCGCCTCGGCGGGAGGGACGAGGAACCTGCGGGTCGAGCAAAGACTTGAGCCGGCCGTACTCAACGACAGGACACAGAAAGGGTGAGAGAGAGGGTGACGCACCCGATGCGGAGCTTGTCGTGCGCGCGAGGCTCGTCGTGCTCGACCCTGCTGCTCCACCTGCTCCAGCCGCCGCGCCCGCCTTCTTCGACTTGGCGCGCACCACGCCTGCACCCGGGCGAGCTGCGCATCCCGCAGGAACCTGTCCACCCGACGAGCGTGAGCTGCGGCCCGGCAAGGACGGACACGACAAGAGGAAGGCAGAGGGAGGGAGAGGCGGGCGCACCTTGAGCTCGCACTTGGCGTGCACCGCCATCGAGCACTTCTTGCACGACAGGCCCTTGCCCCAGACGCTCGACTCACACACGGCGCACGTCGAGGGCGTCACGAACGACGAGGGCTTGAAGTCGTGCGGGCGCAAGCCGGTCGAGGCCGAGTCTGTGGGCGCGAGCGGCGGTCAGTGAGGTGAGACGGCGCCGAGGTGAGGAGGGAGGAGGTGCGACGCACCGCCGAGAGTCTCGTCGATGAGCTCGACCGAGGCCCGCAGCTCGGACTGCTGCAGCTCGAGGAGCGTCGTCTCGTGCGACACGTTGAACAGGTTCTGCACGGTGAGGAGAGGGTGAGCGCTTCGCTCGGTGCGGCACGTCGACAAAGGAGAGAGAGAGATGGGACGCACCTCGACGACGCCGACCGTATCACCAAGCGCCGCATCTCGGCTGTAAGCGTCGACGAGGTTCTTGAGGCCCGACACCTCGCGCTTCTTGCTCTCGATGGCGGGCGCGACCTCGGCGAGGCGCGTCTCGGCCTTGGCCTTGACGTTCTGCAGGTACGTTTGCGCGGTCGGCGACGTGTCGAACTCGTCCGTGTCGTGCCACACAGGGCTCTCCTCGAAGACGAGGTCGGGCGGGTGCTCGTACGCGGCCGAGAGCGTGCGCGTGTGGGCGTCGACGAACGCCTGCTGGTCGGCGTCGACGTCGACGAGCTGGAGCGCGTCCTGGGCCTTCTGGACGCACGCGCGCGTGCGCTCGCCCGACTCGTGGTGGAGCGTGACCATGCGCGCGAGGAGCGCCTCGAGCTGGCGGACGGCGCTTGCCTCGAGGAGCTGGAAGTCGTCGTGCAGGCTCGGGAGGTGCACCTCGTACACGCGCTGCTTGGCGACGTTGGCCGAGTCGAGGTCGAGCAGGTACTGGTCCTTGGCGAGGAGCATCGTCTCGTACGCCGAGTCGTACGCGCGCTGCGCCTTGTCCGTGTCGCGGCCCTCCTTGGCGCCGGCCTTCTTCTGCCGGGCCGACTCGAGCGAGTCGCACGCCGAGAAGTAGGCCGACCGGGAGCGGTCGCGCGTCTCGTACGCCTTGTCGCGCTGCGACATGAGCTTGCCGTAGAACGCGTGGTGCTGGACGGGGAGGACGCAAGGTCGCCGGTGAGCGCGCGCTCCTCACGACACGCCTCTGCTCGGTCTTGCGAGCCCCAGGAGGCAGAGAGAGAGGGAGACGCACCTTCTTGCCGACGTCGCCCATCCTGCGCCCCACCTCGTCCAACTTGGCGCTCACCTCGCGCTGGACGCGCTCTGCGCACTCGCCGACCTCGCGCGCCTGCAAGTCGCACTGCTCGAGTACGCCGCCGAGAGCCGTCTCGAGGCTGGCCGAATCGCCGCCGCGCTCGTGGGACGAGCGAGCGATGGCGAGGCGGAACGAGCCGATGTGGGCCGACGCCTTTGCGCTGAAGTCGCGCTCGAGCTGGGTGAGGTCGCGCAGGAAGGTCGAGAACGAGGGAAGGAGGGCGAGGTGCGTCTGTGCACGCTGGTGGACGAGAGGGACCGAGTCGGGGAGGCTGCGGCAGGTCGACGAGGAGAGGGGTCAGCTCGGGTGCCGGGGGACGGCGATGGCGAGGAAGGGGGACGCGGGGACGCACGATGCCCCGTACGAGGCCATGCTGCGCTGGCTGCGAGTCGCGCAGCGAGTGCGAGAAGCTGGTGCGACGACCAAGAGGTGGGGGAGCGGCTGCAGCTTCCTCCTCTCCTCTCAACCACCGCCTCGCTAGACGCGCACGCAGAGCCGTCACAGCATCGACACGGACCTGCCAGGCTCGTGCATCCACCCCCCGCTCTCGCCGAGTGCCGCCCACGCCGCGCCCTTGCAGCCGGCGTTCGCCCTCAGCTCGTGCTGGCTGCTGTCCCCACTCTGCGAGCCTCGGCGCGCTCGCTGCGTGGCCCGCCATGCTCGAGCTGTCCTCGCTCTTGCGCTGGGTGTGCTTGCGCCGGCAAGTCGACGAGGGCTCGCGCTTCTGGCCCTCGCCCGCTCGTTCGTCTCGCCGCCAATCCCGCCCGCCACGAGCGACTCGGTCTCTTTCTCGCACAACGACACTCGACAAGGCGCCTGCAGTGCTCGCCGGCCACCTCGAGAAGCGGGCCGCAGCCAAAGAAGGCGGCACGGCAGCCGCCGGCGAGGACGACCCTGCGTCGCAGCCCGCGCCCAAGACAGCCGCTCGTCTACCGGGATGACTCGCCGATGACGATCCTCTCAATCAAGTCAGCTCGTCGACGCCGAAGAAGATTGTGCGCGCCGATCCCGGTCGCGTTCGTGCGGCACGGGCCCAGCTTGAGGAGGAGAAGCAGGTACGCAGCGAACGGGCGAGCTTCGAGGACCTTTGTAGATGATATTGCAAGTCTGTACTGTACAGGCAATTGAGCGAGAGGCTTGCGACCGAGAGAGAAGCTCAAGTCGAGCCTGCAGGAGAAGCTCGAGCGAGCGAGAGGACGAGGAGGAGAGCGAAAGAGAGATCCAGCGAGGCCTCGCCTCTCTCTCACAGATGGACGAACGGCGACGCAAGGAGGACGACGAGGAACGACTTGCAGTTGCACGAGAAGAGGCGGCACGAGACCGCCCCTCGCTGAAGGTTCCAGCCTCGCTCAGAGCTCCTCCTTGACGCGCTCGTAAGCGCTCGCTGCACCGCCCGTCGCCTTGGCGTACGCCGACGATGCACTCGACGTCGCCTTGTCGACGACCGACTCGACCGTGCTGCTCGCATCGGACGCCGCCGACCCGGCGCTCTTGCCGACCGACGACGCGCTCTTGCTCGCGCCGCTCGCGAGCGACGACGCACTCGCCGTGACCTGGCCGACGACCGACTCGATCGTGCTGCTCGCGACACTCGCGGCCGACCCGGCGCTCTTGCTCGCGACGCTCGCGGCCGACGAGGCGCTCTTGCTGGCGCCACTCGCGAGCGACGACGCGCTCGCCGTCGCGTCGCCGACGACGCTCGACGCGGTGCTGGCCGCCTCGGCGACGACGTCGCGCGCCTCGGCGAACGCGGCGAGGACGTTGCGCTTCATGTGGAGCTCCTCGAGCTTGGCGGCCGTGACCTGGCCCTTCTTGCTGGCGAGCTTGGCGAGGCGCTCGCGCTCCTTGTCGACCCAGGCGCGGGCGGCCGTGACGCCCTCCGAGTCGGCGACGGTCGAGAACTTGTCGAAGATGCGCAGGTAGTACGCCGACAGGGACGACGAGACGGCGCCGGGCGCGAGCGACGACGCGATGGCCGACGCCGACGTGGCGAGGTCCGGGCGTGTGGCCGAGGGCCCGAGGAACTGGCTCGCGAGCGAGTCGAGCGACGGGATGCGGCCGGCGAGGTCGCTCAGGACGCCACCGGGCAGCTTGTGGGTGCCGCACTTGGCGTTGAGGAACTCGAGGAACGCCTCCTCGGTGCGCGGGCCCTGGTACGCCTCGGCGGCGCCGCCCTTGCTCGGCGGAGCGAGGAACTTGATGGTCGGGAACCCGCTGACGCCGTACTTGCCCGAGATCGGGCGGGCCTCGGCGTCGTCGGCGTTGAAGTGGGCGACCTGGCACCGGTCGTCGCCCTCGAACTGCTGCGCGATCTTGGTCCACACCGGCTCAAGCGACTTGCAATGACCGCACCATTCTGCGAAAAAGGCGACCAGGGAACCTTCAGACTTGCTCGCGATGGACCTGGGGGCGGCGGGAGGTCGTTTAGCTCGGCTCTCGACGCCGGCGGAGCCGCAGAGGAAAGGGTGCGCACGAGTCAAAGTTCTGAGGCGTAAGGACCGTCTGTAGGTGGCGCACAGGCCCAAGGAGGGAGAGGGGAGGCGAGGTCAGGGTGATGACGAGGCGAGGTGGGGCGAGGAGGAGGAGGAAGGGGGGACGCACCGAGTACTTGGCGTCTTCGAGGCCCGCGAGGACGAGCGGGAGAGCAGCAGCGACGAGTGCAGTAGTCGAGAGCTTCATCGTGTGAGGAGGACGAAGAGGCGAGACGAAGGAGGAGGGAGGAGGAGCGGGGAGGAAGGCGGCCGAATAGCAATTGCCCAGATTAGTCCACTTTTTGTATTCGGGCCAATACAACCTGTCGACCGCTCCTCCCCTCACCGACGCTCGCTCACCACACCACCCAGCGAGCACGCGCACCTGGCGCACAGCGAGCGCACAGCATGGTCGGAGTGCGTCCCCCTCCTACCGTCTCCCCCTTCCCTCCTCACCGAGTTCCTCTCCTCCGCCATCTTCCTCCTCGTCCCCATCTCGAGCACCGCATCCCCCGTCGCCCCACGAGCGCTCGCGCCGAGCACAAGGCACTGACTGCTTGCCTCCTTCCCCTCCCTCGCCCTCGCCACTTGTCCTGCGCCGCCCACCTCTGTCTCGCCGTCTCGTCGCACCCCGCCTTCGCCCTCATCTCGCCCGCACCAACCCGCCGCACCAGACCCACCTCCTGCCGCCAAACCTGCTCAAACTCTTCGCTCCTCGCCCACCGCTCCCCTACGCCAAGCCGCCCGGCCGCGACCCGGACGTCCCGCTCAAGTCGCTCTCGGCCCGCCGCCAACCGCAGCCCATCGTCGTCGCGCCCGTCCTCGACCAGATACGGCAAGAGCAGGCCGCACAAGACGACACTCTCATCGACGCAGGCGTGCCCCCGGACAAGGCGCGCGGCGAGGGCGACGACCAAGGGCTCGGCGACGGCGACGGCACGCACGACAAGGCGGCCGCCGCCGAGGTCAAGCTCGAGGAGGCGGGCGCAGAAGCCGGCAAGCCCAAGCAGGAGGGCGACGGCGAGGGCGCTCCCGAGGGCGATGTCAAGATGGACGGCGGCGACGACAAGGAGGAGGGCGAGGAGGAGGGCGACGCGACGACGGCGAAAAAGGCCAAGGCCGTCGCAGCATCCGCGACCAAGCCCGTCAAGGTCGCCGACAAGCCGACCGACGCCGTCACGGTCGACCTGTGCGCCGAGGAGCAGTTCCAGTTGCGCAAGCGCGAGCGTGAGCGGAAGAGGAAAGAGGCCATGTCCAAGCCCTGTGCGTCCCTCTCTCGCTCCTCTCTGCCTCTCTCTCCCTCGCGAGAGGACACTGACATGTGCTGGACCCACCCGCAGACGCGCCGCAAGACGACGAGGAGATCTGCGGCGACCCGTACAAGACGCTGTTCGTCGGGCGCCTCCCGCACGACGTGACCGAGAAGGACCTCCTGCGCGAGTTTGACCTGTACGGCCCGATCGAGCGCTTGCGCCTCGTCACCCACCCGGACACGGGCGAGTCGCGCGGCTACGCGTTCATCGTCTACGAGCGCGAGCGCGACATGAAGGCGGCGTACAAGGACGCCGACGGGCTCAAGATCAAGGGCAAGCGCGTCCTCATCGACGTCGAGAGGGGTCGGACCGTTAAAGGGTGGAAGCCGCGTCGGCTCGGAGGAGGCCTCGGCGGGAGGATCAAGAAGCTCAAGGGTGCGTCCCCTCTTTCTCGTCCCCTCTCTTTTCCTCTCTCTTGCTCTCGAAGCCTGTCTGACCTTGCCTTTGTCCATACTCTCTCCCCTCTCGGCGTCTACCCACGCCTCCATTCTCCTACTACCCGCTCAACCTCGCCCGCTCGACCTCCCTACCTCGACCTTCCCCTGTCGACCTGTCCCTCCCGCCCTCTCTCCCTCACCCACTCCTTCTCTCGGCCTCACCCTCGACTGCATTCGTCCTCCCTCTCCTCCTCGACCCCTCTCGACCTCATTCGTCCCCTCGCCGATGCGCCCCTCGCCAACAGGCGGCATCCCGGCCCCGGATCCTCACGTCCCTCCCCCCTTCTTCGGCGGCGGGTACCGCGGCGGCTTTGGCGGCCCTCCTCGCGGCGGCGGGTACATGGGCGGCCGCGGCGGCTTCATGGGCGGCGGGCGCGGCGGGTTCGGCGGCCCGCCTCGTGGAGGAGGGTACATGGGCGGCGGCGGCGGCGGGCCTCCCGGCGGTGGGGGCTACCCGCCGCGGCAGTTTGGCGGCCCGCCTCCCCCCGGCGGTCCGAGCGGCGGGTTCCCGCCGCCTGGGGGAGCAGGCGGGCACGGCGGGTACGGTTCGCCGGGCGGCGCGCCGCCTGCGCGAGGAGGGTTCCAGGGCGGCGGGATCGGGTACGGCGGCATGAGGGGCGCGCCGCCTGCTGGAGGAGGCTTCGGCGCGCCGAGCGGGCCGGGCGGCGGCGGCGGCGAGAAGCGGCCGTACGGCGATGGGCCCGGCGGCGGGCCGGGAGCAGGGTACGGCGGCGGGTACGGCGGCGGCGACGAGAAGCGCCTCAGGTACTAGTGCGGGTCATGAGCGGGCTCTCGTAGCGGGCGTGCTGCAGGAGAGCGAAACTTGTACGACGTCGTCCCTCTCTCGGGTCGGGCGAGAACGAGAGCGCCAACGAGAGCGCGCGATCGGCTGAAAGAGTTGCGAGGTGCGACTGCGAGAGCAAGAAAGGGGTACGAGGAGGGAGCTACAGCACTGCATGGCCGGACCCTCGACGCTAAACCCGCTCGACCGCGCTATCCTCGGTGCGCGGTCCCGCCGCCACTGCGGCGGCCGCCGCCGAGTCGGCGAGCACCTGCTCGTCGACCTCTCGGTCCGCCTCGTCGACGTCGTCGCCCCAAAGGCCCTTCTTGCACACCATGGCGAGCGCGAGCACGAGAGGGAGATGGATCTGCGAGGCGAGGCGGGTGCGGGCGGGCGAGGGAGGGGGGAAGGAGGGTCAGTTCGGGCTCGCGAGGAGGAGAAAGGAATACGAGAGAGAGAGAGAGAGAGAGACGCACGAGGCTGGCCCAGAAGAGCTCCTTTGCGCGGCGCTCCTCGCGCCTGCGCCAGAACCGCCACGCCGTGACGGCGAGGAGGCCGTTGGGCGCGAGCGTGAGCCACGCGAACGCGGCGTTGGTCAACCCGAGGGCCGGGAAGGCGGCGCACAGGGGGAGGATGGCGAGCGAGTAGCGCAGGCTGACGAGGGCGTTTTTGCGCGGGTCGAGGACGGCGAGCATGCGGTACCCGCTCGAGGCGTACGACGACCGGAGCGTGTGCGACAGGCTCATGAAGTGGGGGAACTGCCACGCGAACAGGAGGGCGGGGAGGGCCCACGCGCCGGGCTGGGTCCACGGGTCGACCGAGTTGGTGCACGCCGCCCAGCCGATCAAAGGCGGGAGGGCGCCGACGAGGGCGCCGAGCCACGTGTTGTAGATCGAGTGGCGCTTCGAGATGGTGTACAGCGGGCAGTACAGGACGATGGTGAACAGGCCGAGGAAGGCCGACAGGGGGTTGATGGCGTACAGGGTCGCGAGGCCGACCGTGCCCGTCAGGGCGCCGTACGTCGCCGCGTGGAGGGGCGTCACGACGCGCTTGGGCAACGGGCGCGCTCGCGTGCGCGCCATCTGGGCGTCGTACGGCGCCTCGATCAACTGGTTGAAGGCGGCGGCCGAGAAGGCGCACAGGCTCGTGCCGACCGTGGCCGGGACGAGGACCGACAGCGTGAGGCTGTTGGCGGCGCCGGCGGCGGTGGACGAGGCGTCGCCGAGCGAGACGGCGAGGGCGTCGATGGCGGCCGTGGCCGTGGCCGGGTCGACGGGGCAGATGGCGTAGCCGGCCATGGTGGTCAAGACGACGAGGCTCGACAGCTTGAACTTGCCGAGCTGCTTGTACAGGGTGACGTCGTCGGCGATGGACGTCTGCGGGTGTGCGCGCCAGCGGACTTGCGGGTTGGGGAGGCCGGTCGACAGGACCGAGGGGGGGAGAGGGGCCGGGATCGGGGACGAGAGCGGGACGAGGGGCGAGGTCGAGGGTGGGGGGAGAGGGGGCTCGTCGGCGAGGAGGTAGGACGGCGAGAAGTAGGGTTGCGGTTTGGGGCCGCCCTTGGCGCGGGAGGACGAGGTTGGGCGAGGTGGATCGGACGGGGACGAGCGTCGTCGCGAGGGCGCGGTCGACGAAGGGAGGAGGAGGTCCTCGTGGGCGTAGACGACGTCTTGTTGCGGTTGACCTTGCGGCGACTTGGTGTTGGTCGACGCGGCCCTCGAAATGGACCACGGTGGCCGTGCGGCGGCGAGGGGAGGAGGTCGGGATCGGGTCGAGGGCTGGAGGGACCAGGGGACGACGAGGCGGGGTGCGGTGGATGGTGCGAGTGGCCGTGCTCGTGCCCTGGTGGTGGCCGGGCCTGGTGCGAGGTGCGAGAGGGTGCGGCCGAGTGAGATGAGGGAGGGAGAGGGCGAGGTGAGGGAGCAGCGGGCGCAGGGCCGGGTGCTGGCAGCTACTCGGTGGAGCATGGTGAGCTCGTCGAGGATGGCGTCGCACGCAGTCGGGCCCGTCGTCGGTGGTGGAGGAGAGCGAGAGCCTCATCTTCATCTCGTCCCTCCTCTCCTCTCCTCCTCCTCCTCGACTCTCGACTGGCCCCGGCATGGACGCCTTCAGGACCCTCACTGGCGGCTCCCGCTTCGACAAGAAGCGCTTCCACTCCGACATCACCCACTTTACCGTGAGCCCTCTGCCTCTCCCTCTGCACCGCCCGCTCGAGCTCACCTTCAACCCTCTCTCCCCCGCCCGTCGCTGAACAGGGCGCATCCGCCGACTCGGCACCTTCCACCTCGACCGGCCCCGACGAGCTCGACTTCTTCGCCCAGCCCGCCGCCAACAACCCCACCACCTCGACCGCCTCGACCAAGCAGTCCAAGGCCCAGGACAAGAAACCGCAAGCGCAAGCGCACCGCCGACCATGCCGCTCAACCCGTCGCCGTCGACTACCCGGCCCTCCTGCGCCACCACAAGATCAAGTACTCGGGCCTCGACCTCCCCAACCCGGTCGCCTCGCTCGACGACCTCGTCCACCGCGCACCCCACCGCGACTCGGCACTGCGCCTCGCCAGCCGCTGGACCGCCATGGGCATGAAGGACCCGACCGGCGTCCAGATGGCCGCTTGGGGCACCATGCTCGCCGTGCGTCCCCGCTCCCTCCCTCCCTCGTTCCTTCCCTCCTCGCGCCGTCCTCACTCTGACCCCCTCTCTCTCGCACCGACACAGGGCCGCGACATCCTCGCCTGTGCCCCGACGGGCTCGGGCAAGACCTACTCGTTCATCCTCCCCCTCCTCGCCCTCTTGCCGCCCTCGCCCCCTTCCTCGTCCTCTTCCACCATTCCGGCACCCGACGCCGCCGCCGCCGCCGCCGACGCCACAGCGCACACGCCGCTCCGCCCTCGCGCCGTCGTCATCGAGCCGACGCGCGAGCTCGCGATCCAGGTCCTGCGCGAGGCGCGCCGCCTCGCGGGCTCGACCGACGACGGCACCGACGAGTGGCACGTCGCCGTCCTCGGCGAGGAGGGTGTCGGCGCCGCGCCGCCGAAAAAGGCCAACAAGAAGGCGCGCAAGGAGGCCAAGCGCAAGGCCGAGGAGGACGAGGAGCGCAAGGCCAAGGGCGAGGCGGTTGACGTGGCGGTCGAGACAACGGACGAGACGGCGAGCAAGGAGGACAAGGCGTACACCGGGCCTGTCGGTGCGTCACTCTTCCACTTGTGCATCGCCCTGCGATTCGTGTGCGCGGCACACGCTCACCCTCGCTCGCGCGCCCGCAGACATCCTCATCACGACCCCGCTCCGGCTCGTGTTCGCGATCCAGTCGGGCGCCGTCTCGCTCTCGTCGACGCAGCACATCATCCTCGACGAGGCCGACAAGCTGTTCGAGCTCAACTTTCTCGAGCAGACGGACGAGATCCTCGCCGCGTGCGACAAGGGGCGCGACGTGGCTCGCGACGGCGAGGTGCGCAAGGGCATGTTCAGCGCGACCATGCCGAGCTCGGTCGAGGAGCTCGCCAAGGGCGTCATGGCCGGTGCGGGAGGCGGCATGGTGCGCGCCATCGTCGGGCACAAGTGCGTCCCCTCTCTCTCTCTCTTTCCTCTCCCCCTCTCCTTTCTCTCCGCCCAGGTCACTGACCCGCTCGTCACCCACAGGGAGGCCGCCACGTCGACGATCGACCAGTCGCTCCTGTTTGTCAACACCGAGGACCACAAGCTCCTGTCGCTGCGCGACCTCATCTCGGGCGGCACCTTTACGCCGCCGGTCCTCATCTTTGTCCAGTCGGTCACCCGGGCCAAGGAGCTCGCCAACGAGCTCGTGCTCGACGGCATCAACGCCGACGCGATCCACGCCGACCGGTCGCCCGCAGAGCGCGACGACGTCGTCGCACGGTTCGCGAGGGGCGACGTGTGGTGCTTGATCTGCACCGACGTCATGAGCCGCGGCGTCGACTTCAAGGGCGTCAAGCTCGTCATCAACTACGACTTTCCCCAGAGCGCCATGAGCTACATCCACCGCATCGGTGCGTTCGCCCGCCCTCCCTCTCCCTCTTCTCGTCGTCTCTCCCTCTCTCTCTCGGCCGTCGCCATTTCCGCGACTGACACTCTGCCCTTTCTCTCCTCCTCTCGATCCTCCTTTCCGTGGACAGGTCGCACTGGTCGTGCGGGCAAGCCTGGGCGCGCCGTCACCTTCTTCACCAAGGCCGACTCGGGCCACCTTAAGACGTGCGTCCCTCCCTCTCTCTCTCTCTCTCGTGCCCGCCGCCCTGTCGAAACCGCCAAACTGACCCCTCTCCTCGACGCCCCGCAGCATCGTCAACGTCATGCGCGCCTCTGGCTGCCCCGTCGCCGACTGGCTCCTCGCGCTCCCGAACCCGTCGCAGGACGCCAAGAAGGCGCTCCGGCTGCGGCCGATCGGGCGCAAGGACATCTCGCGCACGCAAGGGAGCGGCGCCGCCGAGCGCGACGACGCCGTCGAGGGCGAGGGCGAGCGCCGCGTCAAGCGCGAGAAGAGGGGGGCCAAGGTGAGGGTCATGGGCGGCAAGGAGGGCGTGTTCAAGAGGAGGAAGGAGGACGAGGGCGCCAAGGGCACGGGCAAGGGCAAGGGGGACAAGGGCGCCCAGGGCGCGTCGAGCGGGACGGCGGGCAAGAGCGCCGACAAGGAGGAGCGCCCGGGCAAGAAGGCCAAGCGCGAGGTCGCTCTCGACGAGTGAGGCTCCCGGTCCTTTCTCGCGCGCAGGTCATGGAGAATACGATGGTCATTAGCGGCACGCGGCCAGTGGAGAGAGGGCAAGGCTGCGCTACGCAAAGAGAGAAGGGAAAGGGATATCTCGCTCGACTCGTTGTCCCTCCTCACCTCCCGCCCGCACCTGCTGCACCCGCCGCTCCGGTCTCGCCCTTCTGGCTCGCTCCGCCCCAGCCGTAGAACTTGTTGGGCGGGGCCTGCATCGGCTGCTGCTGCTGCGGCGCCGGCGCCGGCGCCGTCGACGAGGTGGCCGCGCCCGCACCTGCTCCCGCTCCTGCGCCGACGCCCGTCGTGCGCTGCGGCGGCGGCGGCGCCGCTGCCGGCGTTGCGGTCCCGCTCGAGTCGTGCGACGCGACGGCGGCCGACTTTGCGCCGCCGACCTTCTCGCCCGTGCGGCGGTCGATCCTCCCGCCGGCGAGGGCCGCCTGGGCGAGCTCCTCCTCGTCGGCCGCGGTCGGTGCCGGTGCGCCGACGCCGCTCGAGGCCGACTTGGCGGCGCGGCGCACGAGAAAGTCTTCGAGGAGGGCCGCGTTGCGCGAGTTGGCCTTGAAGACGGCGAGGGCGAGGTCGCCGACGAGCGGGACGAGGCCGATGCCGAGGCCGACGAGCTGGTCTGCGCGCCATGAGATGGACGAGTCAGTCGAGGCAGGAGGAGGTAGGGGAGGGCGGGAGCGCACTGAAGAGCATGCGCTGGACGAGCGAGGCCGGGAGCCTGCGCGACGAAGGGACGAGGTGTCAGGCTCGGCGCATCGACGATGCTGGAGCGGGGGAAGGCTCACTCTGCCTGCTTGCACTTGGCGAGGACGAGCGAGTACCCGAGGAGGAACTGGGCAATGTCGCCGGCGCCGCTGCGAGTGCATGAGAGAGCGTCAGTGCGTGATCGAGGGGCCGGACGAGAGCGAGGAGGCGGACGCACGGGATGAGGCCTAGGACTGCGGTCCAGCCAAAGCGGAAGCCGCAGATCGAGAAGCCCTTGTCGAGGTAGTGGGCGCGCCGGCGAACGGAGCGCTGCGGGCAGAGAGGCGGGAGGACGAGGTGGGGGGAAGGCGAGGTCAGCGGCGCTCGCTTGAGGATCCGTGCCGCTCCACTCGGACGGGAACAGGGAAACGCGTGGACTCACCAGGACGCGCTCGTCGCGCTTGGAGAGGCCGGCGGGGAGGGGCCGCTTGCGCTTGCGCTGCTTGCCCCGCTGGTCGGTGTACTGCTCGTAGTGCGGGTCCTCGGGCTCGATGCCGGCGAGCTGGTTTGCGGCGTACTTGCGTCCGACCTTGCGGGCGATGAAGCTCATGGCGGTCGTGGGTGTGAGGAGGAGGACGGCGAGGTGGGAGGGTGACGTCGACGAGGTCGAGTGGAGAGCGTGGGCTCTTGCGCGAGTGGGTGGCGCGGTCGCGTGCGGTGCTAAGCGAGCTGGCAGGTAGCTGTCGGTGGCTCGAACGAGCACAGGAGCGGGGTGGTGGACAAGGGAGAGAGAGATGAGGGGCGCGCGGAAGTGATCGTCTGCTGCACCGCCCCTTTTCACGAAGACCGCCCGCAAGGGTGTGTGGTCGGACGAGCTGTTCTACGAAGACTATCCCGCCCTAACGCACTGGACAGAGCAGCTGTAGCGTGCCCGTGGCGCGAGATCGCTCATCGCACGTCGGATTTCACCTTTCCCTCGAGCTGTCCGCGCGGGTCAGTTTTAGCTCCTTGGCCGCTCTCCCTGCACACGCTCGACCAGCAGCACGACCATGGACCACGCCGGTGCAGCAGCCACGACCAGCCACCCGCTCGACGACGTGAGCAAGGGCAGCACCGACTCGCTCCCCACTCCGCCACGCTCGCCTCCGCTCGAGCATCAAGTCGCACACCTCTCGCACCTCGAGGCCGGCACCTCGCCCGCACCCGCAACCGCCCTCACGCCAGGCGCCAGCCCGGCCCTCGCCTCCACTCTCGGCTACTTCCCGGCCTTGTCGCCCACCACCTCGCACGACCCGCTGCTCCTGCGCGAGCGCGTACAGACCGACGAGCAGCTCACCGAGCTCCGCCGGCGCAAGAAGAAGGCCCACGGCTTCTACCGCGCCCAGAACGAGCAGATCGACAACCTCCTCAAGCACATCGACGACCACGTTCGCGAGGCCGAGGAGGACGAGGACAACAACCGTCTCGCCGTGCGTCCCCTCGCTCTCTCCTGGCGCTTGACCGCACGGCAAGCTCACCTCGTTGTCCTGTCGCAGATCAAGATCGCCATCTACGGCTCGCTCGCCGCAAACTGGTGCGTCTCCTGCCTCTCCCCCCCCCTCGACTCGACCCTGACGCTCATCCCCTGTCGACAGCGTCCTCGCGATTCTTCAGCTCTATGCCGCCATCTCGTCCCTCTCCCTGTCCATCTTTGGTACCGCCATCGACAGCGTGAGTTGCGTTCCGCCCCTCTCGCCCCCCCTCGCGCACGAGCTGACCCCGAGTGCGCCCACGTGCGACAGGTGTTCGACCCGGCCGCCAACCTGATCCTGTGGTGGTGCCACAAGAAGGCGCAGCGTGTCGACTACAAGCAGTACCCGGGCGGCGGCAGCAAGTTCGAGTCGATCGGTGCGTCGGCGTCGTCCTCCTTACTCGAGCGCAGGCTCCTCGCCCAGAGCTTGTCCTCGTGTCGGTCTGGAAGGCGGACACTGACCGTCGCCTCCACGCAGGCGACATCGTCTACTCGGGCATCATGGGCGCCGTCTCGCTCATCCTCGTCGTGCGTCGTGCCGCATCCTCGACCAGCCTAGGGAGACGAACCGCCTGATCCTTCTCTGTCTCACAGGCCTTCTCCGTTCAGGACCTCGCGAGGGGCGAGAGCGACAAGGAGCTCCATATCCCGGCCCTCATCGTCGTCGGCATCGCGTTCGGTGCGCCCGCTCGTTCCCCCTCCCTCGTCCCCCTCGCCCTGACCGCCGACTGACCGTCATTCGTCGTGCTCGCCCACAGCCACAAAGTTTGCCCTCTTTGCCTACTGCTACTCGATCCGCAGCAAGAACTCGCAGGTTCGAGTTCTCTGGGAGGACCAGTGCGTCCCCGCCGCCCTTCTCCGAGTGCGCGACCGAGCCGGCTCACCGTGTACCTTCCGCCACAGCCGCAACGACCTGTTCATCAACGGGTGCGTCTCCTCGACAGGTCTCCTCCTCTGCGACGATGGCCTGACCCTCTCCTGGTCGCAGATTCGGTCTCTTTACGGTGCCTCGTCAACTCGTCGACCGTGCTTCGTCGAGGATCCTGACTGACCTTGCTCATCCCGTCGCAGTCTGCCGCCGGCGCCAAGATCGCCTGGTTCATCGTGCGTCCCGTGTCCTCGTTCTCGTCCATCCTCGACGTCGTGAGCCTTACGCGTCGCCGTTCCCTTCGCAGGACCCGCTCGGCGCTCTCGTCATTTCCTGTGCGCCGCCTCTACTCTCTCTCTCTCCTTGTCCCTCGACGTGAGCTGACGAGCTGCCTACGCAGTTGTGCTCATCTTCACCTGGGGCTTCACGTGCGCGGGCCACTTCAAGCACCTTGCCGGCAAGGCTGCGCCCCGCGAGTTCCAGGTGCGCCCTCTCTCCCTCTCCTTCTCGCCGCCGGTCGTATCCCTCGTTCGTCTCTCTACATCGTCGACTGACCCTCGCCTGCCTGCAGAACCTCGTCACGTACAAGGCCATGACGTTCGCCGACCAGATCACGGCCATCGACAGCTGCGTCGCGTACCACAACGGGCCCAACTACACCGTCGAGGTCGACCTCGTCATGCACGCCGACACGACCCTGCGCGTCGCGCACGACGTGTGCGTCCCTCGCTCTTTCCTCTCGACGTCGTCGTCCTCCGAGACCTGACCGGACCTCACCCGCTCGCAGGTCCCAGGCCCTGCAGGACAAGCTCGAGGAGCTGCCCCAGGTCGACCGCGCATTCGTCCACGTCGACCACGAGACGAGCCACAAGCCTGAGCACCGCAAGACTAAGTAGATGCGCCTCGACCTCTCCTCCTCGTCCTCTCTCGACACGCCTCGCCTCGCCTCGCCCAGACACGCACAAGCGAGCCCACCTCCTCGCGTTACGACAGCCTGTAGATTAGACGACCTTATCGAGCCCGCAAGGGCACTCCTGTATCACTTGGCAATGCAGCCCTGTCCCTCCTCTCTGCGCCGTGCGAGCCAGCTCTCGCTCTCGCTCTGCCTCTGTCAGGGCTTGGACAAGCTTCGTTCCTCTCCCGAGATCAAGCCGGTCGCGTGCATGCGCTCGGCGAGTCAAAAGCAGCTCGTCGAGTTCTGTGCGACGGGGGCGCGAGCGAGGAGGAGACAAAGGTCGACTCGGCCAGGACCCGTCTTGGGAGCGGATAGAGCTGTAAAGACACTCGAGAGTCTGCCGAGCTACGGCCGAGCGGCACCCGTGCGTGTGTAGCCACAGCGAGCGCGAGAGTCTCGGTCGACGAGGAGGCCGTCCACCTTGGCTCCGGTCCCACCTCGCCTCCTCGCTCTGAGCGACCAGAGCAGCTTCCCGGCGTCTCTCGAGACCCTCCTTTATCCGCCGCTCGCCCTACCGCCTCGCCGCACGTCCACGCCATGGCTCTGCCAGCCCCCGCGTCTTCATCACCGACTCGTGCCCGCACCTCGTCAAGGACCGACAAGCGCGCGCTCCTCGATGCGCTCGCGGCGCAGCTCAAGCACGAAAAGGCGCAGGCCGAGCACTGGGCCGCCAAAATGGTCGAGGTCGAGGACCAGGTGCGTCTCCCCCCTCTCTCACTGCACCGCCTCCTCCTCCTCCCTCACTCTCGAGCTGACTCGTTTGCCCAAGCAGGTCCAGGCCCAGCACCGCGACTTCCTCGACACGGAGGAGCGCCTCTCGCGCCAACGCGACCACAACGCGGCGACGATCGCCTCGCTCCGCCGCGACCTAGCCCGCGCTCGCCGTGCTCTCGAGGAGGCGCTCCACGTCGAGGCCGACGAGGCCGACGCCTACCTCGCGCTCCTCTCTGGCGCGGCAGGCGCACGCCAAGGTGCGCAGGACGGCATGGTGACGGCGAGCGAGGGCGGGTTCGAGAACGACTCGGACGACCACGACCGCGACTTGCGGCACCCGCACGCCGCCCGTCCGCCCTCGCCGCCATCGACGCGCACGAGCGAGCGCACGTCGTCGGGCGCCCGCACGATGCCGAGCGTCGACATCGTCCCGCCGCGCCCCGAGCGCCCGACCTCGCACATCGTCGGCCACCGCCTCCAGCAGCAGCAGCAGCACGCGCTCCCGCCCGGTGCTCGCTCGCCCGGCGCGAGGTCGACGTCGTCGGAGCTCGCGCTCGACCGCAGCGTGTGGCGCGACTCGCTCGACGAGCAGGGCGAGGGCGAGAGGCGCGCGATGCACCCCGAGCTCGCGCGCAACGGCGGGCGGTGGTCGAGGGTCTTTCCGGGACTGGTCAGGCGCAGGAGCAGCACGCAGACGAGGGCGTGAGGGGCGGCGAGAGGGCCCTCTTTCTCGTGTCTCTGTCTCTTTGCTCGTCGTCCACCCACCTCTTTCTCGAGCTTGGCTCTTGGTGTCACGTGTCCGGTTTCGCTCGAGCCTCTTCGTCCGACGTCCTCCCCGCGTCAGCCGGCTCAGGAGGTCGAGACGAGCGTCCGTGCCCCTGTCGGCCGCGGCCTCACCGCCGGAGAGGAGACACGATCGGCGGTCGCTCGCCGACGAGGTCTGGCTCTTTGCCCCGCTCGACTTTGCTTCTCGACACGATGGCGCCGCTTCCTGGGTCCATCTTCTCGAGCTGGACGCCCTCGCCGACGAGCTCTGCGTCAAGCCGCCGCCGCGCCTCCTCGGACCCGCCGCCTCAAGAAGCGACCACCCTCGGCCCTTTGTCCTCGCCGTCCTCGCCAACCTCTGCCCTCGACGAGCAGCACCTCGGCCGCACCCTGCACCCGACCTTCGACGCGCAACACAGCCGGTCGACACCCTCAGCAGCCGACGAGCACGCGCCTCGCTCGGTGTCCGACCATCCGCCGGCCTCGTCCCCGACCACGACGACGACGCCCACCTCCTCGTCCAGCTACCGCGACATGCCGTTCCCGTTCCTGCGCCGCGCCAACAGCGTCACGTCGCTCCCGGTCCTCCCTCCCGTCGTCGACTCGACCTCGTCCCTCTCCCTCTTCCCCTTCGCCAAGTCGCGCAAGCTCCTCGCCAACCCGGCCGCCGCCGCCTCGACGAGTGACCTCCCCTCCCTGTCCGCCTCGCCCTCGCCCTCGTTCGACACGCCGACCCGCCCTCGCTCGCCGACGCCGCTCTCGGCCCCGCCGGCTACAGCCGCCGCCGCGCCGACTCGCCCAGCTCGCGCCCTCGAGCGCGGCACGAGCGCCGCCATCGGGCCCAAGGCGGGCGCCAGGCTCCTCGCGAGCAAGGAGGCGCAACGCGCCGTGCGCGACGCCGAGCTCGTCGCGGCGACGGCCGCAGTCGGCGGCGACGAGTTGAGCATCCGCGAGCAGCTCGCGACCCCGGGCCAGCCGGTCGGCTCGTCGGCCGAGCGTCTCGTGCGTCGCGTGCCGGTCCCGGAGCTCGTCGACGGCGCCGAGCCGCAGTCGAGCCCGTCGCACGAGGACGCGACGCCTCGCCGCCGCCGACCGAGCCTTCCTCCCGCCGCCGACGACGGCCGCCGCCCGGTCGCGAGCGCTGTCACGTCCAAGGACAATGTCGTCTCGCCGACTCGCTCGTCTCGTCGTCCACCTGTCGCCGGGCTCAACAGCGGCGCCGAGCCGGGTCGTTCGACGGCGCCGAGGCAGCGCAGCTCGAGCACGGGCTCGACGTCGAGTTTGAGCAAGGACGCTGTCCTCGGCCAGCTCGCCGAGGCGGTAAGGCGCGAGAAGAAGAAGAGCGAGATGTACCAGCGCGAGTTTGAGCGAGGCGAACAAGAGGTGAGCCCCTTTCCTCCTCTCCTTCCTCCTCAGGCCGGACTGGTACTGATTCGTCAATCATGTCGACAGTTGTCCGAGATCGCCCTCAACCTCGACGTCCTCAAGGAGAAGTGCGTCTGGATCGTTCGCCTGTCCCTCCTGTCGTCCCCAAAACTGACAGGCCGACCTCCTCACGCAGGTTCGCCACCTCGCTCGCCCAGCAAGAGCAGGTCATCGCCAACCTCGAGACCGAGATCGACGAGCTCGAGTCGGAGCTTGAGCGCGCCAATGACCTTGACGAGGAGGTGCGTCCCGCCGTTCGCCGCCACTCGCTCGAGCCTCTCCTGACCTCGAGACTCGCCCGCAGGCTGCTCGCGAGTACCTCGACCTCCTCACGGCCTCTACTTCGATCGAGACGCTCAAGAGCAAGGCCCCCGTCGTTGGCGCGTTCGACCTCGACGCCCTGCGCTCGTCGGCCCCGCCAGGACCAGCCTCGGCCGGCGACTCGTCTGCCGCCGCCGACAAGCCTCGGCGCCTCCCGTTCACCTTCCGCCGTGGCCTCAGCCTCAAGCGTCGCGTCGACACGCACGTCGCCGCCTACGACACGGTCGCGAGCAATGCGCCGCTGCCCAAGCCGCCTCTGCGGCGCGCGTCGGTTCCTCCTCCCGCTTCGACCTCGACGCCGACCGACTCGAGCGGCGCCATCCCTCGCCGTCCGCGCAAGCTCAGCAAGTCGCGCACGACGCCGTCTATCCCGACCGTCGGCTCGCCCGCCGCCGCCGCCGGTTTTGCGCCGAGCGGTCGCCCGCCGCTCCCTCCTCCCGCGCCCGTCTTCCCCGCCGTCGCCTCTCCGACCCTCCCGACCAACGCTCGCCCTCGTCCACCGCGCGTGTCGCCTCCTCGCCTCGTGCAACCCGCACGCGCCGCACCGCCCGTCGCGGGCGTCTCGCGCTCGCGCCTCTTCGGCGGCTCGAGCCGCAGCCAGGCCCAGGGCAGCCTCACGGACGGCGAGCGCGAGGACGGCGGCGTCAAGGGCAAGGCCGACCCGTCGTCTCCGGTCTCGGCCGGGCGCGAGGGCGGCACGATGAGGGCGAGGAAGAGGACGAACAGCTTCAAGAAGGGCGTGCAGGGGACGATGAGAATGCGTGCGTCCCCTCTCTCTCTCCCCTTTCTCTCTCAGCCTCGTAAAGGCCCACTGCCTGACGCCTCGTCCCTCGACACAGTCTTTCCGGCGCACAACGCGACGAGGGCGGGCGGTCGCGCGTCGTCGCCGCCGGGCGAGAGCGTCCAGCAGTGGCTGCAGCGCGGTCGCGAGACGCAGGAGCTGCACCGATAGTGTAGAGGACGATATGCAGTGACAGTATGTGCCCAAGTCGTTGCTTGTCCCTCTCGAGAGCAAGCGAGAGAAGCTTTCGCTTTCGACCTTCTCAAGGCGACTGACGAGGAGAGAGAGAGAGGGTGCCCGGGCATATTGACAACAAGGTGCGCTTCGGTGCGCATACAGGTGGGGCTCGTGAAAAGGGGGAGGAGGGTCGTCAAGGAAAGGGAAAGGAAAGAGGGGAGAGAAGTTCTCGAGGGAAGCGCCAGCCGACGCCTCCTCGCGCCGCAGCGTCAGGTCCCGCCCGGCTCGTGTTCGTCCTTGCTCGCCTGCACCTGCCTGCCCACGAGCGCGACCGCGTCCATCCAGTTTGACAGCTCGCCTCCCATCGTGCTGGTCGTCAAGCCCGCCGTGGCCGCCGACGCTGCCAGGTGGCCCGGCGGCGCCGACGCGCGCTTGCGCTGCTGCGCCTCGCGGTCCCGCTGGTTGCCCTGCTCCTGCTGAGCTCTCGACGACAGGTTCGGGAGCGTCGCGACCGCGCTCGTCGAGCGGCGGACGAACATGGCCGGCCCTTTCGGGTGACGGGTCGGGAGGCGGCTGGGGGCCGATTTGGTCGCGTCGGGCGAGTCCTCGTCTGAGGGCGTTGACGGCGACGACGACGCGAGGGACGAGATGGTCGAGAAGAACGAGCCGACCGAGCCGTTCGGCGAGAAGAGGTGCGACAGGGTGCGGGCCGAGCCGAGAGGAGAGGACTGGCGCGACGAGCTGGACGACGACGATTCGGACGAGGGGACGACTTTGGTCAAGGTTGAAGAACGTTCCAGGCTCGTGGGCAGGTGTGCTGCAGAGAGGAGAAAGGTGAGCAAGGTCGAGGAAAGTCGAGGCGAGGAAGGAGAGGACGAGGCTCACTCTCCCACTCTGGCGGCGGCCGCCAAGGAGAAGGTGCTTGAAGGGCCATGCGAGATGCTCGAGGTAGACGTGCAGGAGCTTGAGGAAAAGCAGAGCAAAGAGGCGGAAAGTCGAGGCGGGCGAGCGGGGAGCAACATGACGGCCGCGCCCAGGTCCCGCTCCTTCGAGCGAGGCGTCACAGCGACGGTGAGCCACCTTTGGCCCGAGGGGGTCGTGGGAAGGAAGCGAGAGGCGCTCGTGTGCGTCTCGGGGCGCACGTCCGGGTCGACGCACTTGCCCGCGAGGCGAAAGATCGACGCACGGGCCAGCGACGGCGCGCCGACTCGACCTCGTCGGCCTCGACGGGCGACAGGCGCAGAATGAAAGCGCTCGGTCCGGGTGCACAGCTCGAGAGCCCGGAACGAGCCTCTGTACCGGCCCTTCCACATGCGCGCCGGCGAGGGCGGCGAGACGAGGCATTCCAGGCTCGAGCGCGACGGGTATACGTCCTCTGCGCGCCCTCGTTCAGCTCCAGATGGTCGCGTCAAAGTTCTCGACGAGGGCCGGGTCGTTCTGCGGGAGGGGGAGCACTTGGTCGTCGGCAGAGGATCTCATCGGGCGAGCCTCGTTCATAGACGAGGGCGACGATGAGGAAGAGGGACGCACCCTGTGCAGCGCCTGCCAGCCGGCGAACCCGTCTCGCAAGACGTACACCTGCTGCTGGTCGGCGCCGTCGGTGCGCTGCTGCTGGGCGAACGGGTTGGGCGAAAAGTCGGCGGGACGTGCGCTCGCTGACGCGCCGAGCGAGTCACCGACAGGACGAGGCCCAGGCTGGTGCTGCTGCTGAGCGTGCGCCTTGGACACCGCATCGGCATAGATCCGTGCGGCTTTCGGGCCCCGAACCTCTGCGGGCGCGAGAAGGCGAGGCGAATTCGCGGACGAGTCAGTAGTGGATCGCCCAAAAGGGGGCCGCGACAAGGAGGAGCGGGAGACGGGCGGACGCACGGCTCAAGGTGCAGTGGAAGATGACGGTGGGCACTGTGAGGGGCAATCAGGGGTGCATCTCGGCGCGTCAGGGCCATGGTCGAGGATACAGGACGGGCGAGAGGGTCGGGGCGCACCGTCTTTGAGCTGCTGGACGAGGTCTTGTACGCTCTGCTCTGTGCGCTGCTCACTCGGAGCCCGAATTGCGCCCTGCGGCAGGGCCCAAGAGTCAATTGTGCGCTCGCGCGGCGAGAAGAGGCGACGACGGACCGGAAGGTTGCCGCCGCGGTAGTCGTCGTCTGCGGGCGAGGGAGGGGGTCAGGCCTGTCGAGGATGGTGGTCGAGAGAGGGGACGGACCTCGCACATCGACGACGGCGTAGTCCTTGCCCTGCTGGCCTTTGCGGACAAGCTGCTCGAGCTGGTCGGCGTTGAGGAACTGGTAGTTCATCGGGTGCAGAAGCGCGAGGCGAGCGAGGCAGGGTGGGAGTGGCGAGCGAGAGGCACAGCTGGTCGCCGCCGAGCCGAGAGAGACCAGAGTCGGGCGAGGAGGAGAGGGGCAACCTCTCGTCTCGCTACACACCTCTGCTGCGCCCAGAGCCACGCCCAGTCGCTGCACACGCTACAGCACACCCCATCGCAGGCCCAACAACGCGCACCAGCACGCGCCATCGCCCCCGCACACCGCCGCCTCGTCGTCATCTCGCACTCGCTCTCGACCACCTCGACCACCTCGTCAGTCCCCTCTGCCACCCTGTTCACGATTCGCACGAGCAGCTTGAGAGGGCAATGCGGGTCATGGCGCGCCTCGAGGAGGAGTGGGCGACGAGGAGCCGCGCTGCGACCTGGGACGGGCGACGATGAGGCCACGAGGCGGCGGGGTCAGCCACCGAGCGCGAGCCTGCTGGAGCACGGCGCATCTCTCGAGCCAACTCTCTCGGTCGTCCACAAGGCGGCGCGCTCACCCTCCCCTAGCTTCCCCTCGCAGGTCCCTCTTCCGCTCGTTCCTCCCCCCACCCGAGCCTTTGATGGAGGCCCTCTTCTTCAACTCGCACTCGGGCTACCTCGAGGGCGTCCTGCGCGGCTTCAAGGCCGGCCTCCTCACCCAGGGCCAGTACTCGAACCTGACCCAGTGCGAGACCCTCGACGGTGAGCTCCCTTCCTTCTGCGACCCACCTTGTGCCACCTCGACCCTGACCCTGACCCTGACCTCGCCTCGCTCGCACCCCGCAGACTTCCGCATGCAGCTCACCGCCACCGACTACGGCAACTTCCTCGCCAACGAGACGCCCCCAATCTCGACGTCGACCATCGCCGAAAAGGCGACCCAGCGCCTCGTCGACGAGTTCAACTACATCCGCAGCAACGCCACCGGCGACCTCAAGAAGTTCCTCGAGTACATGACGTGCGCCCGCCTTTCTCCCCTCAGTCCCCTCGTCGCGAAAATGCGGCACCGACTGACCCTCTTGCCCGCGAGCAGGTACGCCTACATGATCGACAACGTGGTCCTCCTCATCTCGGGCACCCTGCACGAGCGCGACACGCACGACCTCCTCGAGCGGTGTCATCCGCTCGGCGTCTTTGAGACGATGCCGGCCCTGTGCGTTGCGACCAACGTCGAGGAGCTGTTCAACACCGTGCTTGTCGAGACGCCTCTAGGTGCGCCCTCTTTTCCTCTTTACTCGTCATCGAGCGCCCCTGACTCTCTGCTTCTCGGTCGACAGCGCCCTACTTCCGTGACTGCCTGTCGGCCCAAGACCTCGACGAGCTCAACATCGAGATCATCCGCAACACGGTGCGCCCTCGTCTCTCCTCCTTTCAGCCGAACTAGAGCGACATCCTGACACGCACACGTCTCTCCCGCAGCTGTACCGCTCGTACCTCGAGGACTTTCACGCGTTCGTCCTCTCGATCGGCGGCCCGACGGTCGAGGTCATGTCGCCCATCCTCAACTTTGAGGGGGACCGCCGGGCGCTCAACATTACGATCAACTCATTCGGCACGTCGCTGTCCAAGGAGCAGAGGGGCAAGCTTCTGCCCAAGCTCGGCCGCCTGTACCCCGAGGGCACCATGGCGCTCGCGCGCGCCGACGACGTCGACCAGGTCAAGGCCGTCCTCGACCCGATCCTCGAGTACCGGCCCTTCCTCGAGGGTCAGGGCTCATCGGGCGGTGGCGGCGGTGGGTCCGGCGGTGGCGCCGGGACCGGCGTCGACGGCGCCGGCGCAGGTGGCGCCGCCGCGAGCCTCGAGGACCACTTTTTCCAGCACGAGGTCTTCCTCAACAAGCTCGCCTTCATGCAGCAGTTCCAGATCGGCGTCTTTTACGCCTTCTTCAAGCTCAAGGAGCAGGAGATCCGCAGCTTGACCTGGATCGCCGAGTGCATCGCGCAGAACGCCAAGGACCGCATCAAGTGCGTCCTTTTCTCTCCCTCTCGTTCTCTCTTTGCCAGCGCCATACTTACCTCTCGCTCCCTCTGCAGCGACTACGTTCCGACGTTCTGAGCACCCTCGCACAGCTCGCGCCTGCCGTAGACCCTGCACTCGTCCCTCCTCTCTTGTACCTCGACTCGTTCGCCCTCTGCAGTTTCAGCCGTCATACCCTGTCTCGCGCTTTCTTCTACGAGTCGAGCGAGACGGGAAAGCTTTCGAGAGCTGTCCATTGCGCTCCAGCTCCTCCCGACGCGACGGCGAGCTACGGCGCCGGCGCCTCTCCCGCCTCGTCCCTCACCAAGCCCGCCTCCTTAAAGTCGGGCAACCATAACGCCTGCGTCGAGAGAGAGAGAGATGGTAGGTCAGTGAGAGGCTGACGAGGTACGCCGACAGAGAGAGAGAGAGAGAGAGAGAGAAAGAAAGAGAGAGCGACGCACAAGTTCCCTTCCCGCGCTCGCGAGCATGGCCGACTTGGGGTTGAACGCGACGCACCGCGCCGGGCCCGTCGCGTGGCCGTCGAGGCTCGCGACCGGGTGCAGCGTGCACATGTTGCTCGGCGGCGGGCGGTCGGCGGGCGTCTCGGCGGGAGGTGGCGCAAAGTCCCACACGTGGATGCGGCCGTCGATGGCGCCTGCGAGGGAGGAGCGACAATACGTCGTCAGGATCGCGACGAGGAGAGAGATCCGGCGAGAAGAGGGGAGAGAGGACGCACCGGCGACGATGTAGCGCGCGTCGGGCGACCACGACACCTCCTCGGACGAAAGGCCTGCGGCGGGCTCCATCGGGCGGTCATGCGGCTTCGTCACTGCTCGCTCGAGCCCAGTCGCGATCGAGTGTTCGGGAACTGCAGGAAGAGACTCACTCGAGTCAGTTCTCCTTGCACCGGCCGAAAAGGAAAGAGAAGGAGGAGGGAGAGTACGGGACGCACGCTCTAGTCGCGCCATGACGTTGCCGTCGAACGAGTCGAGGACGTAGTGCACGTCGCCGCTCGTCCCGACGAGCAGCCACTTGCCGTCATTGCTGAAGCGGACGCTCGTGTAGACGGGCGTCCTCGCGGGGAAGCTTCGGTCGCGCAGGATCGGGTCGTCGATGTGCGTCGTGAAGAACGGCTGCTTGTCAAAGTTCTTGACGTCGTACAGCATGACGGTCGACCGCAGGTTGAGCACGACGGCAAAGACGGCGCCGGTCGGGTCGTACGCGACGCACGGGTGGCCGGCCACGTTGAGCAGGCCTTGCGCCGACGCCGTGCGCAGGTCCCACATACGGACCGTGTCGTCGGTAGCGCCCGACAGGAACGTGTCGTCCAAGGGCGACATCTCCATCGAGACGACCCTGTGGGCGCGAGAGGGAGCCAAGGTCAGTCGAGAGGGTCGAGCGCAGGAAGGGCCGACACAGAGAGAGAGAGAACGAGGGGCGGACCTTTTCGTGTGGCCCTTGAAGTAACGAATGTAGCTCTTGTCCTCGAGCTTGCAGTAGCGGATGTCGTCTGCGGGCGTGCGAGAACCGTCAGCTGCGTCGTCGAGAGGAAGGGCAAGAACGAGCGGAAGAGGGACGGACCATTCTCCTTTGTGCTGGCGTGAATCATGGTGCTCTTGGTGTGCGTGAACCTTGCGAGATGCGCGCCGTACTTCTTCGAGGGAATCGACGTGACATGGCTGCGCGCGAAGCGGGCGGGGAGGTGGGGCAGGAGACGAGGTCAGGTCGACGGTCTCGGCGAGGACGAGGGTGGGAACTTGGGCGGATGCAGGGAGAAAGGGACGCACTGTCCAGTGCGGGCGTCAAAGAGCTGCATCTTCTCGTCCTCGGCGCTCGTGATGAGGTACCCGCCCGAGTCGTCGAAATCGAGCGAGGTGAAGCTCGTGTCCTTGGCGTTGTGGCCCTTGAAGACCTTGGACGGCTTGAACGAGCTCTGCGGTGCGCATGACTGTCAGTCCCGGCACGCTCGACGAGTGGGAGGAGACGCACGAGGATCTGCGGGGAGAGCACGACCGATGAAGGGAGACGAGTCGTAGACGGGCCCGCCGAGGTCGAGGCTGCGGCAGAGCCTTCCATAGCGTGCTTGTAGAGCTGTGCGGCTCGCAGCAGGCGAGTCGAGCGGTGTAGAGCGGCGAGAGGGCTCGCTTCATCTCGCTCGCCATCGCCGGCCTCGTCCTGCTCGCTCCACTAGACTGAGCTCCACCTTTGAGCTGCACGATGCGACCCAGGACATGCTATCAGGCGGCACAGCCGAGTCTTGCTCTCGCCCCGTCGCTACTCGCCTGCTCGGCTTCCTCAGCCTCGACCACTCGCGGTCGAGCGGCTCTCGCTCTCGCAAAGCTGCGGGTCGGTCGTCTGGACGATCGATATTACTCGTGTGTCTATGTACAAGCGCGATCCGGCGCAGAGCAGGACACGCCAACGCCCGCGCCGCTCGCTCAAGCTGCCCGCTCCTCCAGCTCCACCTCGCGCGCGCATGACGCCGGGGCGTCTAGTGCTTGAGCTCCTTCTCGACCTTGAGGATCTCGGCGAGCGTGTCCTTGACCGACTGCTCGAACGAGATCCACTTGAAGCCAAACGTCTTCTCGGCGAGCGACGCGTCGGTCGAGAAGTGGGGCGAGCCCTCCGAGACGGGCGCCTCGACGACGCGGTCCTTGAGCTCGGGGAACGACTTGCGCGCGATGGCGGCGATCTGGGTGTTGTCGAAGTGGAAGGCGATCGTGAGGAAGCGCTTGTCGGCGCCCTCGTCGGTCGTCGACGCGAGCACGTGCAGGTCGGCGATGTCGCGCACGTCGGTGCCGACGGGGAACGACGTGTCGGGAATCTTCTCGGCGTCGACGACGCCCCAGACGGCGCCCGACGACGTGTTGAGCGAGTCGAGCGACTCGATGACCTGCTGCGGAGGGCCGGTCTGCGAGAGGGGGCGAGAAGAGCCGGTCAGTCACGGAATGCGCGCAGAGGACTGGGGAATGGACACATCGCAGAAGAAGAGAGAAAGAGGGGAAGGGAAAGAGAGAGAGAGGGACGCACGATGAGGGGAGGGCAGATGGTCGAGAGGCGGAACTTGGTCTCGGGCTCCTTAGCAATCTTCCACGCCTCCTCTTCGGCGAGCTTCTTGCCTGCAGGAGCGCCAAGAGGTCAGGGAACGTGCTCGAACGGTCGAAAAAGACTGAGAACGAGGGAGAGGACGCACTCGCGCAGTAGACGTAAGTCGGGTTGTCGCTCTTCTTGGCCTCGTCCCACGTCGCCGGGTTCCAGTCCTCGTGCGAGAACGTGACGTCGGGCGACATGCGGTTGAAGTCGAGAACGGCGGCAAACGACGACGTGACGACGACGCGCTTGACCGACGACTCCTTCTGAGCGGCGCGAAGGGCGTGACGGGTGCCGTCGCGGGCCGGGATGAGCATGTCCTTCTCGTTGTCCTTGACGTCGTAGTGGCTGTGCGAGTAGCGAGAGTCAGCTCCCGTCGCCGTGCAGGTCATCGAGGACGCGGCGGGACTCACAAAGGCGAAGCGGTGTGAGCGAGGATCGTGACGCCCTTGATGGCCTCGTCGAACGCGCCCTCGGCGGCGATGTCCTTGACGATGGCCCACTCGAGCTTGCCCTGCTCGAACTGGTCGGCGTGCTTCTTCTCCCACTTCTGCGCCTTCTCGGACGAACGAGCCGTGCCGCGAACGCTGCGGGCGGGACGAGGCGAGGGTCAGCTCGGGTCGAGGCGCAGAGAGAAATGGAAGCTGTGCGCACCGGTAGCCCTTCTTGAGGTAGGCGAGGGTGACGGCGGTGCCGAGGAAGCCTGTGGAGCCGTCGCGCAAGGTGAGGGTTCGGCCTCACGAGAAAGGAGGAGCGAGAGGAGGCCAGACGCACCGGTAGTGCCAGAGACGAGGACGAGATCGGACGACATGATGGGTGTAGTGCGAAGTAGCGGGTGGTGGTGGTGAGAGAGGAAGGAAGAAGCGAGGGCAGCTCGCAGGCCGGAGAGCAGAGGCGATGACGAGGCGGCCGCTCGGCCGCGTGAGTGGAGGTTCCTCCACTCGTCCGACGTTCACGGTTGGCCGCACGCTGACAGCTCTCGCTGCCGCCGCTCGGCCTCTCGCTGGCTGCGACTGTCGCTTATGAGGACCTTCCGAAGCCCGACTTGGCGCAAAGTACTTTCGAGCGCGAGCGCCGGCCCGTCACAAGACGACCTCCTCTCTGCCGAGCCTCTCGCCGTGCGCAAACGCAGAGAGAGAGACCGAACGAACTATGCAGTGCGAGATAGAGTAGGAGGCAAGGAGAGGGCTATCGGAAAGCGACTCGACCCGGCGCGAAGAACCACCTCAGCTGGTCGTCCTCCTTCGTCGCCTCGAGGACGACGTCCCAGGCCGGACCGGCGTGCCCAAAGAGGACGGGCTTCTTGCGCCGCTTGGTCTCGAGGATCGTGCCGAGGATGCCGCGCAGGCGAGAGGTGAGGGTCGAGAGGGCGGACGAGTCGCCGAAGCGCAGCGAGGTGAAGAGGGAAGGGGTAAAGTTGGGAAGGAGAGCATCCTGCGGGTCGCGCAAAGAGTCAGTACGTCGCCTGCGCCTGAGAGACACGACGTGAGGGAAGGGAAAAGAGAGACGTACGCCTGCGTCGCCTGCGACCGGGACAAAGACGTGCGGCACCTGGCCGTCCGTCGCACCACCTCCACCATCTTGCTCGTCGGCGAGCGCGAGCAGGAAGCTCCACTCGTGCTTGACCTGCCCATGGTCGATGCACGTCGTCTCACTTGCGCTGAGCCTGCGAGGGAGGAACTCGTCAGGTCGCGACGAGAGAAAGGGGAAGCGGAGGGAAGGGAAACAGGGACGCACTCGTCGCCGCACGTGGGGCAGAACGCCCTCACCCAGTCCTCGAGACGATCCGGATAGAAGTCGATGACGCGGGCGCGGAAGCGGTACATGCCCTCGGCCTTGAGCGCGAGCGCCGACGAGATCGACTGCTGGGTGAGGCCGGTCGTATTCGAGAGCGAGGCTGTGTGACCGAGCCAGCGCCGGTCAGTCCCAAGTTCAAGAGAAGGAAGAGGAAGAACGAGAGAGAGAGAGAGGACGCACTGAGAGGATCTGCAGCTGCTGCCGTGAGAGGCTTCTCGTCGCCCGTCGCGCGCACGGACCCGCCGTCGCCTCCGCCGGCGAGAGAAGCCCAGTACGCCGTGCGTCGCCTGCTCGCGAGAGTATGTCAGTGAGGTGACTGCGCTAAGACCAGGAGGAACAAGGTGGACGCACTGCTTGAACGCCTCGTGCCACTCGCGCCCGAGGTCGACGCCGCTCCGGCACAGGGTCACGTCTCGCCGGTTCTCGTACTTGGGGTCCTCGACCATCGTCGCCTCGAGAAAGTCGTGCGCCGTCATCTTGGGGCGCACGTTGCGCAGGTGGACGAGGCGGCCGACGAGCTTGTCCTCGGACAGCGACAGGAGCGGGTCGTTCTGGTTGCCGAAGATCGAGACCTGGAACGTGACCTGGCCGGGCGTGCGCACCTCGGACGTGTCCGAGTAGGCGTACAGCTGGTCGTTGGTCGTGTAGTCGGTGATGAACAGCGAGCAGGCGTCGTGAGGCCCGACCGTGCCGCCGAACGGCTTGTAGAACTTGACGATCTGCGCGACGAGCATCCTCGTCAGGCGTGCGGCGCGCCGCAGATAGAGAGAACGGTGGACGCACCTCGCCCTGGATGTCGCAGAACGTGTCGGCGCACACCTCCTCGACGGTGACGAGCTTGCGACCGCCGTCGCCGCCTCGAGCAAAGGTCGCGCTCCTCGCCTTGGCGTCGACGGCGGGCGGGTTCGGCGGCGCGACGCCGCTGTCGGCCGCTTGGCGGACGAGCACGTCGTCGAGGAGCGCGTGCTTCCTCGCCCACCGGGCGATGTCGCGAGCGTACGACAGCTCGGCGTCGGTGAGCGACGCGCTGCGGCACGGCGGCGGCTTGAAGTTGCCGAGCTTGGTGCCGTCGAGGAGCCTTGCCGACGGGAGGACGAAGTAGTGGCCCTTGTCCTTGTAGGCGGTGAGCTTCTTGTTGTCCTTCTTCCACTGCGGCGGTCGAGGGACGGGTAAGCGATCCTCCTGGCGGCCAACAAGGCGACGGGAGAGAGAGAGAGAGAGCGAGAGGCGCACATTGAGGCCCTGGATCACGATTATGTCGCCATCTTGCACGACCGGGACGTCCTCCTCGCGCTTGCCGAAGTACTTGACCTCGGTCTTGAAGTTCGAGGTCGCCGTGGTCGGGTCGTGCAGGCCGAGGATGCAACCCCAATCTGCGTAGCTTGAGGATGTCAGGACACGCCCTCGGACAAGGGAGGAGAGAGTCGGACGAGGCGCACCTCGGCTGCCGCCTTCCACCCTCAAGGTCGGCCTCGCGACGACCGCCATGGCGATGATGTTGATGCCGCCACTGCTGCCGAGCGTCGGGAGCGTGTCGAGAGCCGTGTAGATGTAGTTGGTCGACGACTGCAAGGGCGTGCGGGATGTGAGCGTGCGCTGGCCGCCGCGCAAGAGAACGAGAGGGGACGGACCGACGACAGGCCCCAAGTCGTGCGCACCTCCCGGTTCTCGCGTTTCTTCTTCGTCTTGGGCTCGCCCGACGACGACCTCGACGACGACGCGACAGGTTGGCCGGCGCGAGTCGACGACTGGATGCTGCTCGGCGCCGTCGCCTCGCTCGGCGCCGCACCGCCGATCCACGGGCTGTGCGGGTTGCCGGTCGGGACGACGAGCTTGTCGCGGCTCGAGCCCGCGACAGGACGGGAGGGGAGGTTGTTGCGCTCGGCGAACGTCGGCTGGCGGGCTGGCGGAGGAGGCTCGACGACCTCGTCGTCCGAGAGCGAGTGGGCGAGCGGCTTGAGGCGATGCTTGGACCTCGCCTCGGCTGCGGCAGGGGGCTCAAAGTCAGCTTTGTGGTTTTCTTGAGCTGCACGAGGCAGGAGAACGGGGCGCACCGCGGTAGTCGAAGTCCTGGCCCTTGCCGGCCGAGCCTGGCTCGCCGACGACCCACCGGCCCTGGATCCCACGCTCGAACACGACCTTGAGCCGCCTGCCCTCGGGCACATCTGCAGCTGGCCCTCCCGCCCTGACCGGCACGAGCTCGACCCGCGCACACTCCCCCTCGCGCGCAAACAGGCGTACGCGCCCTCGGCCATTGAGCTGCGCGAGCTGCTCGGCGGCGTGCTGCGCCCATGCCCCGCGCAGCTCGACCTGGACCTTGAGCGGCTCGGCGGACGACCCTGGGGCGGCGGCCTGGGCGAGCGAGAGGGCGGCGGTGCGAGCCGACGACGAGAAGGGGCGGACCGAGACGACCTCGCCCTCGAGGGCGGCGGTGGGCGGGAGGGTGGTGCGAGGGGCGAGCGAGGCGAACGACACGCGCTCTGGCGGTGCCATCGGCCCGTGAGCGAGGGCGACGGCGTGTGGACGACGAGAGAGCGAGGCCTTTGTGGGGAGGCGGGCGCGACTCTCTTTTCGAGGCACGTGCAAGAAAGCCGACGACTCGGATTCAAGAACCGTTTTGATTCGCACAGGCTACGGACGCTTAGTCGAGTGATACAAAGAGAAAGACGCTGCCAGGCACCGGCCGCGGTCAGAGCTTGGCCATCGTCTCGGCTGCGACCAACTGCTTGAAGAGCGCCTCGTTCTCGGCCTGGGGCCCGCCGACCGACAGCGGCTCGTTCTGCGCGAGCTGCGCAAGGACAGGCGCATAGATCGTCTGCTTCATGGCGCGGAGGACCTGCGAGAGAGGGCGAGGCGGGAGAGAGAGGGCGAGAGAAGGGAGAGTCAGTGCGACGGTCCGAGCGGGTCTCCCTCTCGCTCGCTCGTCAAGAAGAGGAAAGAGGGGACGCACACCAGTCGCCGCGAGCGGGCTCATGGCCTTTGCCTTCTCGACGGCGTAGGCGATCGTGCCCTCGCTGCCCGTCGCCTCGATGACCTCGTCGACGAGGCCCTCCTTGAGCGCTTCTTGCGCCGTGTAGCGGTGGCCGGTGAGGAGCACCTTGCGCAGCGTCGGCTCAGGAAGGCGAGCGTGAAGGACGGCGGCCATGCCGGCGGGGCTGTCGACGGCGGCAAGGGTCAGCCCGGGTCTTCGCGTCGAGAGGGGAGGGGAGGAGATGGAGGACGGGAAGACGCACATGGGCGCGCCAAAGTGAACCTCGTTCATGCTGAGCCATGCTCGCTCGGGCTGTGGAACGTCGACCGCTCGTCAGTGAGTCTGTCGCCCTGAGGCGCCCGAGGTCCGAGAGCGCCGTCGAGAGAAGGGTACCCACCCTGCAGATCCTCCAGTCGCACGCCAACGCGAGGCAGAGGCCGCCGGCGAAGCAGTGACCGTTGATGGCCGCGATCGTGTGCAACGGGAACGTCATCAACCGCGACATGAGCTTGTAGTAGTAGTCCTGCGGGGCGGAAGAGTCAGTCATGGCTCCTCGCCCGGCCGGGACGGCTCGCACGAACGAGCGCAGGTCATATCGTCGCTGTGACAGGCCCGGGGAGGCGGACGAGGGACAAGAGCAGGGAGCTGAGAGACGCACGCGGAAGAAGGTCGGGTAGTCGGCGAGGACCTCGAGCTGGAGGCCGTTGCTGCGGACAGACGCAGGGGAAGATCGGGTCAGTCTCTCGACGTCGAGGAAGGACGCGGAGGAGAGGAAATAGCCTGTGGCTGAGGGAGACGCACCTGAAGAACTTGCCGGCAACTCTCTCGCCGGTGAGGACGAGCGCGCCGCCCTTGTTGTTGCCCTTCTTGGCGGCACGGTGCCAGGCGAGCTCGACGTAGTCGAGCGCAGGGAGGAGCTGCAGGGAGGCGCCGGGGGGGTCAGCTGCGTGCCGGGAAGCTGGCGAGGCTCGGGAGGGAGAGGTTGGCGAGCGGACGCACCGAGTCGGCGATGAAGGTCTGCGCGTATGGCTCGAGGGTCAGCGCATGTGGCTGGTGGGGCACAGGAGAGCGAGTCGACGCACAGGCAACAGGCGGTTGTCGGGCAAGTTCATCATCTCGACGATCCAGACGGCGCCCTCCTCGCCAAACGGCGTCGTGACCTTGACGAGGGGCTTGTCTGCCTTGCGCGGGAACGTGACCGGGTCCATGCTGGTTGTGCGGGTCGTCGGTGTCGAGCGAGCGAGCTGAGAGGAGGAGGAGAGAGTAGGAGAGACCGGCGAGCCGGCCCCACTTGGCCGGCTCGAGGGGAGGCTCTCAGTGACAGCTGGCGGGCTCGAAGCAAGGGCGAGGCATCTCTACGCAACGAGTCTGCAGTTCCAGGGCGGGCTCTACCGCAAGGCCCATGCTCCAGCAACGACTGCAACCGCCGCCGCACTGACCAGGTTGACGCCGTTGTTCGACAGGACGTCGAACCCGCTCCCTCGCACGCGGACCACCTTGTCGTCGGGAAAGGCGGGCGACGGGTGCGGCGAGTGGACGACCAGGTTGCGCTTGGTCGAGTAGTAGGTCGGCTGGAGGGTTGCGCCTAGGAACGAGTCGAGCTGCGGGCGACGAGGGCGACGAGTCAGTCCCGGCCTGACGTTCGCTCTATCGAGGCAGTCACGGCGACTCGACGGCTGTGGCCGCCTCGAACGACGAGAGGAGGCTCCGAGGACGTACCAGGCTGCCGCCGAGCCCCGCCGCACCCGCGACGAGCAGGATCTCGCCCGCCCAAGCCCACCTCGCGCCGTCCATCGCGCACGCGCCGGCCTGCCCCTGCGCCGCCAAGCTGCCGACCGCGATGACGCCGACGAGGAGCCCGCCGAGGAGCGAGACGAGGGTGCCCCAGGGCGAGACGCCGCCGTTGGTGCCGCGAGGGCAAGGGCGGAGGGTCGTGAGGAGGTAGGGAGGGGAGCGCGAGAGGATGCCGAGCTGCGGAAGGGGAAAGTCAGCTCCGTCCGTCCTAGTCGCGTTCGTACACCTCAATCGCGGCTTGGTGCGAGAAAGAGGTGATGGGCGATTAGAAGGCGGAGCTCACCTCGCTCGCGAACTGCTCGAGGTTGACGGGGCAAGGAGGGTGAGCTCGACTCGCCGACGCCTGGCCGGGGACCTCGAGGGGAGAGAAAGCGAGGCGCACCGTATCACCGCAGCACGCCGCCCAGAACGCGACGGCGGCGAGCACGAGGGCCCTGCTGTCCTTGGCGCCTCGCGGGTCGAGCCCGACGAGGCACCACTTGCCGCCGGCGGCCCAGTCCTGGGCGCCCGTGCGCTCGCCCGAGTACTTGATGCGCCAGGCGAGGGCGCAGAGGGAGCCGACGAGGGCGTTGCAGGCGACCTGGGTGGCGGTGCGGCCGTGGTGGGGCGGCGAAGGAGGGGAGGAGGACGAGGAGGAGATTCGAGGTGGGCTGGCGGGTCGAGGGGCTGTCGGGGGCGCGTCGGGCTCCTCGAACGTAGCCTTCAGGGCGGCCTTTACCTGCGGGGCAGCGAGGGTGAGCTTGTGGACCAAGAGAGGGCGAAGCTGATGAGGTGGACTGGGGCGAGGGGAAGGGAACGAGGGAGGGGTGCGCGCCTTTGTGGCTTTGCTGCCGGCAAAGTAGAAGCCCAGGAGACAGGCTGCGTAGACCTTTACCGGGTTGGCAAGGGCGAGGTAGCCGAGGACGAGGGCGGCGAGGGCGCCCGAGGTCGACAGCGAGTGGGAGCGCAGGCCGCGCACGGCGACGAGTGCGGCGGTGACGAGTGCTCCTGGATGAGCGTGCATGGCCCAGCAGCGAGCTCGCTGGGGAGGTGCGGGAGCGAGGACCTGGCTCGACGACGACGATGTCAACTTGGGACTGCTCTCTCCCTCTCCTCCTCTCTGCTCGCGCACAAGTCTGGGCCACAGAGCTCACCAGCGACTGTGCAGCACTGCGCAGCTCCCCCATCAGCCGCCCACCTCGCCCCTCGCTCCTCCACCTCTTCGCTCCCGCACCCTCCCCTCGCCCACGCTCCCCCCTGGCATCGCCGCCACCCGCTAGAGCCAGCACCAGCCTCGCCAGCACCTCGCAGCAAGCCCACGCACACCGCCATGCAGCCTCCCGCCGAGCACACCGACCCTGCCCCGGTCCCACCTCCCGCTGGCACCCCTTCGCCCTCGCGTCGCCGCAGCAGCAGCCCGGCCGCCTCCTCCGACGACGACAGTGACGGCGACTACGACGACACGTACGGTGCAGCAGCTGGCCCACTCGGCCGCAGGCGTACCCGCCCCGTCTTCTTCCCGCCCCTGTGGCTCGCTCGCCGCTCAGAGTGCGTCCAGCTCCTCGAGGCCGAGAACACTCGCACTGTGCGTCGTCGACCGTCTTCTCTTTCTCTCTCTCAACTTGGCGACGACTGAGTCTTGCTCCTGCCGCAGGTCGTCGACTTTGGCTGCGGCGCCGGCGCCGTCCTCGCGTTCCTCTCCCTCCCTGCCTACCACCGCGACGAGTGGCCGCCCGCTCTCCCCTCGATCTCGTCCCGACCCGTCGACCCCGCTCGCGGCGACGACTCGGCCGCCATCGTCGCGTCGATCCCTCCTCCGCCACCCCGTCGCCGCGGCCTGCACCTCTCGCGCCTCGTCGGTGTCGATGGCGACCTCGCGGCGTGCCAGGCGGCGGCCAAGGCGTGTCAGCCTCGTCAAGGACACGACAAGAACGAGCTGCGGTGGGACGACCTGCACCTCGAGGTCTGGCACGGCGGCGTCGAGGTGGTGAACCTGGCGTTCGAGGGCGTCGACGCGTTCGTCATGACCGAGGTGCGCACCCTTCTCTCCCTCTCTCACATCTTTGCCGAGGCGAAGAGAACCCTGACGGCCATTTTCCACCGCGCAGGTCATCGAGCACTTGAGCGAGAGCGCCCTCTCGCGCATCCCGAACCTCCTCTTCTCGGGTCCGTCCAGCCCTATCGTTCGACAACCCCTCATCGAGCTCACTCATTGTCTCCTCGCAGTCTACAAGCCTCGTCTCGTCATCATCACTACCCCGAACCACGCCTTCAACCCGTACTTCCCCGCTCCCTCCTCGCTCCACTGGAGCGACCGCCCGACCTGGTCTCGCTCGGCCCTCCCACCTCCCTCGAGCGCCGAGGACCACCCGTCGCACCTTTTCCCCGACCCGACCGGACGCACCAAGCGCGTCTTCCGCGACGAGACGCACACGCTCGAGTGGACGCCCGACGAGTTCCGCTCGTGGTGCGCCGACGCGCTGCGCTCGGCCGGCGCCGAGCGCGACTACGACGTCGAGTACTCGGGCGTCGGCAGCCTCAAGGCGTACTACCGCGGCGTCGAGGGCGGCGTCCCGTTCCCGCCGCCGGCGCTCGCGCTCCACCCGGCGCTCGCCGAGCACCCGCTGTGCACGTCGCCGATCGACGAGCCCGAGCGCTTCTTCGCGACGCAGATCGCCGTCTTCCGTCGCCGGGACGGCGCGACGACGTCGGCGGGTGCGGCGGCGCGCGGCGAGGAGCAGCGGCAGGCGCAGCAGGACAAGGAGGAGGAGGAGGAGCGCGTGTCGCGCTCGCTCCACGTCAGCCCGATCAACACCTACTCGCCGCTCCCGCCTCTCGACTCGCCCCTCGCTACTTCCAAGTCCCCTCACCTCCCTTCGACGTCACCTCGCGCCCCGCACGCCCTCGTCGCCGCCTCGACCCTCCTCGCCCACCCTGCCGCCGCCCTCCCGCCGCCCGCCAACGCCGCCGAGCGCGCCACGTTGCGCGACGCCGTGCGCGCCGCTTTCTGCGCCGCGAGGCGCGGTCCCGTCTTGAGCGTCGAGGAGGTCTGGCGCATGGGCGACCGGGCGCTGCCCCTCGTCGGCGCCGGGCTTGCCGCGTCGGACGAGGACGAGGACGCCGAGGGGCGCTCGTCCGAGTCGTTGCGTGTCCTCGCTCGCGGCACGATCGGCGCCGTCGTCGACGCGCTCGTCCACGCCGAGGGCGACGGCGAGCCCGCGAGCGAGTGGGGGCTCGAGCGCCTGAGCGCGACGCACGGCGGTGCGGGTGAGCTCTGCGGCGCCGAGGCGCTCGGCGTCCGGTGGGGGAGGTACGACGAGGTGGTCGAGCGGCTCGAGCGGCGAGAGAGGGAAGAGGCGGACCGGGCGTGGGCCGAGCGTGAGCGCGGGACGTTCCGCGAGGAGGAGGACGACGACGAGGGCGAGGAGGCTCGTCCCGCGAGCGAGGTCGACGCGCTCGAGGATCGAGTCGCGGCGATGGATGTCGGCGGAGAGCAGGGCGAGGCGCAGCAGGCGGGCTGGGGCGCGGCGAGGCCGGTCGACGAGGGTCGCGAGGGCGACTCGGCGGCGGCGCACGAGGGCTGGGGGACGCCGACGCCGGCGCCGGTCACGACGACGACGAGCAGCTGGGGAGACGACCCTTGGTAGCGCAGCAGGTCTGCGATGCATGTCGCTTCGAGCACGAGCACGACTCGGTCGCCGCGAGGTCGAGAGCGTGACCAGCTCGTCTCGTTGCCTCGCGAACGAGCCTGAGAGCGTCTATCGAGAGAGCTGGGAGCTCTCGGTTCGTGTCCAGGGAGGAGGAAGAAAACGGGCGGGCTCGAGCGCGCGCTCGGCGTCGTTCTCGTCGCTTTCGTCGACGTTCGCAGCCCAGCCGCGGCTCGGCGTCACTGACGGGCAGGCGTCAATGCAGGCCGAGCGAGCAAAGGGAAGCAGGGAGAGAGCTGAACGACCTTCCGAGAGCGGCGGCGCCGAGTCGGAGCGAGGACGAAGACTAGGAATCGGCGGCGACAGCGGGAGGTACGGCGTCGCTCCGTGGTGCGAGCGACGCGTGCGCAGCTCGACTGCCTAGCTGAGCTCGCAGCAACTGGCAGCGAGTGCGAGCGGTCCAGGTCGACGACGACGATCTGCCGACACGACGAGCGTCTCACCCCCTGGCTTTCACGGGTCGACCGGTGTTCCGACGACCTTCTCGAAGGAGCCGCTCAGGCGCTGGAAGAACGCTTTCGACCGCGAGCGACGTGCCGGTGCCTCGAGCTCGGCGCTTTTCATCTCCGCTCGCGTGCGACATCGTTGTCTCCTCCCTCGCCCCCCGCGCTAGCTACGACAATGTTGCGCCCGCCGGGACGCCCTGCATGGCTGCAGGTGGCCTGCGCCACACCGGCCGCACCCTCCCTGCTCTCCAACTCGCCTCGTCGCCGACCTCCTCCTCGTCCTCATCCCACTTCGCCGGCCGACCTCGCTCCCTCGTCGAGCCTCGCCCTTGCGCCGCCAGCTCCGCAGGCCTTTCCCGTCCGACCCACCAGGCTCTACGCCAGCTCTGTGCCTTCGCCATGATGCGGCCCACCCTGTTCACCGCCGCCGTCCTCCTCTCGGCCGCCGTCTCGACCGTGCACGCCGCCGTGTTTAACTGCGTCGGGTGCGTCTTCCATTCTCTCTGCACCTTCAACCTCGAGCACATGATACTGACCCTCGCCTCGTTCGCACCGTTCGCAGCGGTTCCATCTGTGCGTCCTCCGGCCGTCCACCTCGTCGAGCCGACCTGACCTCGTCCTCTCCTGCAGATGCCGTCGCCCACCCAGATGACGACCTCCTGTTCCAGTCGCCGACGCTCCTCGACGACGTCGACAGCGGCGAGTGCATCACGTCCATCTTCCTCACGTCGGGCGACTCTGGCGCCGGTTCTCAATACGCGAGGAGCCGCGAGACGGGCAACCAGGCCGCCTACTCGCAGATGTTCGGCGTCAACAACACGTGGACCGAGTGAGTCTTCGCTTTCCTTGGCGAGGTCGGGTTCGGCGAGGAGCGCGCACGAGGAAGAGCCGGTCTCGTCCTCGAGTCGCGCGGCCAAGCCGGCCGTCTGGACTGGGTTCGACTAAAGGACGACGAGCACTGACCGTCGTGCCCTCGTATCGCGCAGGTTCTACGCGACGTTCGGCGGTCAATCCGTCCTCGTGCGCACGCTCGTCGCCAAGCCTCAGCACCAGGCCGTCTTCTTCCGCCTCCCTGACGGAGGATGGGACACGGGCGGGTTTGCGGCAACCTCGTTCGTCTCTTCGTTCTCTCTCGTTATCCTCCCTCGCGTCTCGCAGCCCATCCTGGCATCCTGCCCCCTCCCTCCTCGCGCTCTGTCCCCCTCCCCTCCTTCTCTCGATCATTCCCTCTCTCCTCCGTCCCTCTCGAAGCCCGACTGACAGTCTCTCGCCTGCGTCGACAGCTTCCAGACGCTGCGCGGGCTCTACTTTGGCTCGATCTCGTCCATCACGAACCAGCCGGGCGACGCGACCTACACGCTCACGACGCTCAAGCAGGCCATCTCGCAAATCATCGCCGCCCGTCAGCCCAGCCGGGTCCGCACGCTCGACTACCTATCCGACTTTGGCGGCGGCGACCACGACGACCACCTCACGACCGGCCGCCTCGTCAAGGACCTTGTCGGGTCGGCGAGCGTGAGCGGCTTCATGGGCTACCCGGTCCAGAACCTCGCGCCGACGCTCTCGACCTCCTCGACGGCGTACAAGCGCAAGACGGCCGCCTTCCTGAGCTACACGCCGTACGACTCTGCCGAGTGCCAGTCGCTGTCGGCGTGCGCCAGTCGAGGCGAGGGGTCGTGGCTCCAGCGCGAGTACGCCGTCACGTCCGCCCTCGCGACCAAGTCGAGCACGTCGAGCCCGCAGACGCCGGCCGTCATCCCGAGCACGCCCAACCTCGCGCCTCTCGCCGTCGCGACGTCGAGCTCGAACGAGGCCGGCAGCATCCCGTTCGCCGCCATCGACGGCGTCATCAGCGGCTATCCGCGCAACGAGTCGGCCGAGTGGGCGTCGGACCACCAAGGCGCCGGCGCCTGGCTCAAGCTCAAGTGGACCCGGGCCGTCTCGATCAGGACCGTCGTCCTGTACGACCGCCCGAACACGGCCGACTGGCTCCAGGCGGGCACGCTCACTGCGAGCGACGGCTCGAGCGTCAGCTTCACAAACACGGTCAACGACGGCTCGCCGTTCGTCATCCAGCTCCCGGTCACGGTCAAGACGACGTCGCTCCTCGTCACGGTCACCCAGGTCAGCTCGACGACTGCAAGCGTCGGCCTGTCCGAGATTCAGGGTGCGTCCTCCTCCTCCTCCTCCTGCACCTCGAGGCCGGTCACTGACTCGCCTCCTCGACGCAGTGTACGGCGGCGTCGGCTCGACGGCGTCCTCGACTTCCTCGGCTCCCGCCTCGACCGCTTCGGGTTCTACCTCGCCCTCGGGCAACCTCGCCATCCGCGCCACCGCGAGTGCGTCGAGCTGGGCCGCCGCGACCAACCAGACGCCCGACAAGGCGATCGACGGGTTCGTCAACGGGTACAAGGCCGACGGCTCGGGCGACTACACCAAGGAGGTGCGTCCTCCTCCTTCTCTCTCTCCTCAATCCGTCCGCCCTCGACGAACGAGCAGCCGACTGACTACCTCGCATGCAGTGGGCGACCGACCACCAGGGCGCCGGCGCGACGCTCGGCCTGCAGTGGACCTCGCCCGTGACGGCCAACCAGGTCGTGCTCTTCGACAGGCTCAACCTCGACGACCAGGTGCGCCCTATTCTCTCTCGTCCTGCTCAACGACTGAGCCAACTCTGACGACCTCGAATTTGCAGATCACGGCTGGGACGATCGCCTTCTCGGACGGCTCGAGCGTTCCGGTCCCGGCGCTCAACAACGCCGGCGGCGCGACGACGGTCGCCTTTACCGCCAGGACGTTTACCTCGCTCGTCTTCACGGTCAACTCGGTCAGCAACACGACGAGCAACGTCGGCCTCGCCGAGATCCAGGTCTTCCTCGCCGCAGCATCAACCTCGAGGTGCGCCGCCGTCCTCTCTTCTCGCTCGTGCCACACGGACACTGACTCGTGCTTCCTCCTTCTCCCGCCGCAGTGCGACGAGCGTCGTTGTCGCTCCCTCTTCGACCGCCGCAGCGAGTTCGAGCGTGGCCGCCTCGACCTCGACCGCTGCACCTCCCGCATCCACGGCCTCGTCCTCTCTCGACCTCGCCCTCAACGCGACAGCAAGCGCCTCGACCTGGAACGACGCGACGGGCCAGACGCCTGACAAGGCCGTCGACGGCGTCGTCAACGGGTACCGGGAGAACGGCTCGGGCGACTACACCAAAGAGGTCCGTCCGCCGCTCCCTCTCTCCCTCTCGCGCCCTTCTCTCGGGCCCGGAACTGACTCGTTGCACGTCTGCAGTGGGCTTCGGACCACGAGGGTGCCGGCGCGACGTTCGCACTCACCTGGTCGGGCTCGATCACGGCCAACCGGGTCGTCCTCTTTGATCGCCCGAACCTCAACGACCAGGTGCGCTCTCTCCTTCCTCTCGCAGCCTCTCGAGTGACTCGACCTGACCCTCTTTCCTCGCCAGATCACGTCGGGCTACATCAAGTTCTCGGACCAGTCGACCGTCACCGTCCCGGCGCTCGCCAACGACGGCTCGGCCACCACGATCGACTTTGCCGACAAGACGTTCTCGTCGGCGGTGCTCTACGTTACGGGCGTCAGTAACACGACGAGCAACGTCGGTCTCGCCGAGGTCCAGGTCTTCTACGTCGCCAACCGGGTCGCCGCTTCGTGAGCTCCTCGTCCCTCTTCTCGCACCTGAACCTGAGCCCTGACTGACGCCCTCGTTCGCCCAGCACTTCTTCTGCATCCTCCTCTTCGGCATCTGCGACGCCGACGTCGACCATCGCCGCGTCAGCCCTCAGCTCGGCCGCAGTCTCGAGCGCGACGGTCCTGCCCTCGGACGCGTCCAGTTCGGCCGCTCCTGTCGCCACCTCGTCCCGCAGCACCATCGTATTCAGCTCGGCGGCATCATCTACGGCTGCGGCATCGTCCGCGACCTCGACATCCGCACCGACCTCGTCCTCGGCCGCACCGGCGCCTGGCCTCGTGAACTTTGCTCGCCAAGCGCAGGCCATCAGCGCGTCGACAGCAGCTACGGCGACGAGCCAGACGGCCGACAAGGCGATCGACGGCTTCATCAACGGGTACAAGGAGGACGGCTCGGGCGACTACACTCGCGAGGTGCGTCTCGGCTCGTCTCTCTCGGCTCTCCTCGACCTCCTCTCGCCGTGCGACGACACTGACTCACTCTCGTGTACGTTCGCAGTGGGCGACGGATCATCAAGGTGCAGGAGCGTGGCTCCAGCTCACCTGGTCGTCGCCGGTCACGCTCAACCAAGTCGCGCTCTTCGACCGGCCCAACCTGAACGACTTTATCACGAACGCGACTTTGAGCTTCTCGGACGGCTCGGTCGTCGCGACGGGGTCGCTCGACAACGCGGGCGCCGGCGTCTACGTCAACTTTACGGCGAGGGCGACGACGAGCTTGCGCTTTACGGTAGTCGACGTGTCGAGCGCGACGAGCAATGTCGGCCTCGCCGAGCTGCAGGCGTTCAACAACCCTTCAGCTCAGATCCCGGCTCCGAGCAGGTGCGTCCCTCCTTTCTCTCTCATGTCTGTCGAGCTGCGCGACGGCGACTAACCTCGTCTTTCTGCTCGCCCGCAGCGCCTCGCCCGTCGCCGCCACTACGCCATCCTCCTCCAGCCGCGTCAGCATCGACCTCGGCGCCTCGACCGCCATTGCGGCGGCGAGTAGCGCTCCTGCCGCAACGAGCGCCTCGTCGCCCGTCCCGACCTCGTCGGCCTCGGCCTCGCCCTCGAGCAGCGCATCGACGTCGAGCTCTCCTGCCTAGCCGGTTCGAGCAGGGCCTCATCGTCCGCGTACGACCCAGATACCCCCTCGCAGCAGCTCTCTCGCCGTGCTCTCCATACCCTGACTTGTAGCGCCTCTCCAGATTCTGTATCAGCTCGCAAAGCAAACTCTCTCGCTCTCGTGCAGCACAGCCGAGTCGCACAAAGAGTCTACATTGCTCGAGAGAGGAGAGACGCAAGTTCGACAACAAGGAAGGACGGATCGCGAGACAGAAAGAGAGAAATGGAGAAACGGCGAGCGCGACGACTCGCCGCTCAGGATGGCTCGCTCCCTCGCCTTCTGCTGCGGTCCTTGAGCTCGATCGACTCTGGCCTCCTCTCGCCCCTCGTGCGCCGGCTCTTGTCCTTGCCGACGCCCTTGACCCACAGGCGCCAGCCGACGCGCAGCACGGCGCGCACGACGCCGACCGGCGGGCACAGCCAGCTCAGGACCCAGCTCCACCCGGCGCGCTCGTGAAGGCGCGTGACGACGCGCTCGACTTGGGCGTCGAGGTCGGCGAGCGGGCCCGAGTTGTCGATGACGAGGTCGGCGTACTTGAGTTTGGACGAGAGCGGGGCTTGGGCGGCGAGGCGGGCTTGGGCGTCGGCGAGCGACAGGTTGTTGCGCGAGCGCAGGCGCTGAAGCTGGAGGATCTCGGAGCTGTGGGGGGGCGAGAGAGTCCGTCAGCGAGCAGTCCCTGGCCGGGTGCCGCGACGAGAGGGGAAGGGGGGAAGAAGGAGGGATCGAGGGCGCACCAGTAGACGACAACGATGGCGCCGCACATTTTCCACAGGCCGGCCTCGACGAGGAGCGGCGCATCGACGACGCACAGCTTCTCGCCGCGGAACCAGGCCTTGACGAGCTCCCACGCGAGGAGGCGGCGCACGGCCGGGTGGACGATCGAGTTGAGGACCTTGCGCTCCTTGTCGTTGTTGAAGACGATGCTACCGAGCTTGTCGCGGTTCAGGGTGCCGTCGTCGCGCAGGATGTCGGGCCCAAAGTGCCGGACGAGGGCCGAGAGGGCGTACGAGTCGGGCTCGACGGCGACCCGGGCGAGGATGTCGAGGTCGATGACGGGGACTTTGTGGTCCTTGAAGAGCTTGGTGACGGTCGACTTGCCTGCAGGGGCGGGCTGTCAGCTCGTACGGCGAGTCGAGGAGCGAGAGGGAGCCCGAGGTGGGGAGGACGACGCACCGCTCGCAATCCCGCCGGTGAGGCCGACGACTGTGTGGACAAGTGTCAGTAGCACTCTCGAGTTGATCCAGGCTGCAACGCACCGAGCATGTCGAGGCGAGGGGGCTGGGTCGAGGTCGACCGCCAACGACGACGATGAGCCGCTTCTCTCGCCACGACTCGGACGCTCGCCCGCCGCGTGCTGCTGCACCGCCAGGCCTGCCAGGCTGGGCTATCTGCCCGCCGTCCCTCGCCAGAGCAAGCCCCATCGCGCTCGCTCGCCTCCCTCCTCCTCCTCCCTCCGACCCTCGACTCGAGCTCGAGACTGCACCTCGCTCTGTGCGGGTCCGCCTGTAGCCTGCCGCGACGACGTATGCTGCCGCATCGGCGCGTCGAGGACGAAGCGGGGCATGTCGCAGTGCTCCTGCCCGCCGGCCTCCGTCGCTGCCACTGCTCGGCTTTCTGCCTGTTTGCTCTCCTCAGTCCTCAGAGAACGCCCTTGCGCTCCTCACGGACGAGGACCTCTCGCGCAAAGGCTGCTGTCAGAGAGGCGCCTTAATCGGCTCGCGTGCAGGCGTCGGTAGTCGCGCTCTTCCAGCTTCTCTGGACTCTGCTTCCTCGCGGCAGCCTCTGTGGGCCCCGTGCCCACACAGAGACTATCGGGACAGAGATGTTCGAGATGCTGGCGACCTGCTCGGCGCGACTCGCGCGAGTTTGGACGAGAAAGAGCGTGAGCGAGCCGGCGCGACGACGACTGGCGCACGTCCGCAAAGTCGGCCCTTAACTACTTCGTATTCTTAGCGGGCCTCGCGTTGGCTCGCAGTGGAACGTCCGGAAGCCCAAGTCGTCGCAGCCACGGTCGCAGCCACGACAGAGGCACGAGCCTGCGAGCTCGTCTGCGCCGTTTCGCGCCGCGAGGTCTTCACTGCTCGCCTTTTTCTGCTCTCCTGGCGTCGGCCTCGAGCTCCGAGAAGAGCGCAGACGTGTGCGAGAGAGAGAGGGAGCGAAAGATGCGCCAGAACGTGCGTGAGCAGCGGCCGAGGGACGACCAGGTGCGAGCTGTCTGCGCCCGCTCGCTCCGTGCTCCTGCATGCGCGCGCCCGCTGCGTGCCGAGAGAGCAACGAGTGCAGTCGGGCTTCAGCCGAGCATGCGCAGGCGCGCGGCGACCGACGGGCGAGCCACGCCGCACGGGCCTCCTCTGACGTGTCCCGCTCTTTGTCGCCTCACGCTCGCCACAGCATGCCGGGGGCAGCGCCGCTGCACAGGCAGTAACAGCAGGTACCCACCGTGCTAGCCGAGCAGCGCGGGACGTGCCCGACGCTGGGGCAAAAAGCTGGTACTGCGCCGGCGTCAAAAGACAACATCGCACATCTCGCGCGACGTCAGGAAGTGCCTCCAGGGTGGATCGAACACCCGACCTCAGCATTACGAGTGCTGCGCACTGCCACTGTGCTATAGAGGCTTTGGTTGAAGGCGGCGAAGCAATAGCGCCTTAACACCAGCTGGTTGGACCTCTCGCGTCTTGCCTCTCGCTCTCTGTTCGACCTCGCTATTACAGTAGAGACACGTCTGCTTGCTGCCCGGCGCAGAACGGAGCCGAGGGGACGTTCGCCGGCCGCTCGACCTCTCGCAAGAGCTCTCGCTCGCCAGTCAACCTCTCTCGTCGCCGCATAGACTCGACGAGGGTAGACGAACAATGAGATGTTTAGCATATCGAGGGCCACCTGCCCCTCACACCCGCATGCACAAAGCGCTACAGAGAGCCCGACGCTCGAGCCCCGCCTCCGTCTCGTCCAGCCGCACGCCCGCCGCACGTTCGCCCGCTCTCGCTCAGAACGGACACAAGGCGTAAAAGTCGTGCTTGTCGAGGATCATGAGGGCCGACGTCTTGTGCGGGAACGTGACGCTGCCGTGGCGCTTGAAGCCGACCGACTCGAGGTACTGCGCACGGCGACGACGGTTCGAGGGTCAGTACTTGCTCGCTGCGGGCACCCTGCTCGAGAGTACGAGGAGAGAGAGAGAGAGGCGCACCTGGATGATCTTGCCGTTCTTCTCGTTCGGCTCGCAGATGACGCGCTGGGTGCGCGGGTCGTCGAGGAAGCAGTAGTGGGCGAGCGACGGCATCCACGCCCGGATGCGGTGCGGGCCGCGATGGTCGTTCGAGCCGACGAGCATGTGCAGGCCTGCGGGAAAAAGGAAAGAGGGAACGGTCAGTCGGGGGCGGACGAGGCGAGGGCGAGGCACGAGAAAGAGAGCGAGACGCACCTCGGTCGTAGTCCTGGACGCTGCCCTCGGGCATGAGGGGAGCGAGGCGGTCCTCCTGTAGCACGTGTAGCAGGTGAGCTCGAGTCTGGGCGAGTCGAGAGGGAGAGCGACAGGGACGCACCTTGACCCAGTAGATCTCGGCGTACACGGCCGGCTCGGCCTCCTTCTCCTTGTCGCCGTCGAGCTCGACGTACGAGCCAATGACCGACAGGTTGTGCGGGTCGCGCGAGCGGCCCTCGATGAACGCGCGGTGCTCGTCCATCGTGCCCTTCTCCATCCAGAACTGGTCGACGCGCGGGTCGTTCATCCACCCGTGCAGCGTCGCGAGGTGGGCGAGCGTGCACTGGTCGAGCTTGAAGTAGGTCGGGCGCGTCGGGTCGGTCGTGAGGTGCGGGAGGAAGCGGCTGTACAGGGGAGCCGACGTGGCGCGGGCGTGGGGCTTGGGCGGGCGCAACGGGTGGGTGAACGGGCTGGGTGCGCCGGCGGCGGGCGTGACGGGGAGGTACGGGAACGGGGCATGGGGCGTGTGGTGCGTCTCGGGGATGTCGCTCGCGTAGTCGTACTGCTGAAAGATGGCCGAGCGCGCGACGACATACCGGGGCGAGTCGCCCTTGGTCGCGCCGAGCTCGAGCAGGGCCGAGTCGAGCGCCTCGGACGGCAGGACGGGCTCGACCTCGAGCGTGGCGGGCGTGTCGCGGCCGCGGGCAAAGTACTTGAACAGGGCGTTCCACAGGGCCTGGGTCGTGCTCGGCACGTCGTACGGCGGCGCGGTCGGGTCGAGCTGGTTCAGGCGGAGCTGGACGACGCCGTCGACGAGCTGCGGTGCGAGAAAGGGAGGTCAGGAGAGGGCGTCTCTGAGAGAGAGGTCGGCGGGGGCGCACCTGCGAGTGGAGGACCGACGAGTGGAAGGCGACGGCGGTAGTGGCGACATGGTCGTCCTTGCGCTTGATGACGGTGCGGATCTCGTCTGCGGGCGTGGGACAGGAAGATGAGCTTGAGATGATCGACGTCGAGAAGGAGGAGGAGGACACGAGGGAGGACCGAGGACGCACGAGGAGCTGCGAGTGCCGGGCGGAACGGCAGGGTGGACGACGATGCAGGCGAGGTGGCACGAGCGGCGGAAGGCACTGCAGGGAGGAGCGAGTCCGACGAGGTGAGCGACGAGGTGGGGCGAGCGGGCGACCCGGGGCGAGAGAACGAGGGCGACTCACTGGCGCGCCTGAGGATGCTGGAGGGGCGTAGGAGCGACAGGGTGTGAGCCTTGGGCGTGCGAGTGGCAAGGAGAAGGAGAGAGAGAGCCGCACGCTCGAGGTTTGTGTGAGAACGAGCAGCGTGCGGAGTCGCTCTCGCGGAGCCGAGATCCCCCTTTCGCACCACCGAGCCCAAGTTCCGAAACTGCTTGGACCGAAACTCACCTCCCCGCGAGCGAGCCCAGAACCTCGGCCGCCCTCTCCTCGACCGCCCGCTCAACTCGCCCGACCGTGCGGCATGGACCTCGACGCTCTGCGCAAGGCGGCCCTCTCGTCCAAGAAGCGCCGCCGCACCCCGCCGCCAGACGCCCCCGACCCCGACGAGCGCGAGGAGGGCGAGATTGACGACGACCAGCCCGACCCGTTCACCGCACCAGAGCCGCCGTACTACCACCAGCACGACCACGACCACTACTACGACCCGCACTACGCGCCCCATCACTCGCTGGTCGACCACGGCCGTCCCTCGTCCTCGTCCGCATCTCGTGCGTCCTCTGGCCTCTCTCTCCCTTCCTCGCCTGTACACCCGCCGACCGTTCGCGCTTCACACAGTGACCGCGGTCAAGGAAGAGACCAAGCGCGTCATCGCCGAGCTCCTCACCTGGGGCGTCTCGCCCGACTACCTCCTCTCGATCGGCATCTCGCGCGACGCTCTCGAGTCCAGGTTCGCCTCTTCTCGCCCGCGCGTTCAACTGTCAAGCCGACGAGCTCACACATCCACCTCACTGCGACAGCTTCTACGAGCTCGGCCTCGACATCTCGATCCCGCCAGCGCACGCCCCGCCGTTCGCGCCCTACTCGCCCCTCCCTTCCACCTCGACCTCGCTCTCGGCGCACGCCCGCCCGTTCACGCCTACGCCCCGCACCTCGACCTCGCCCGCGCCCTCGGCCGACCTCGCCGCCCTCGAGGCCCTCAAGCGCCAGCAGCTCTTTGCGCGCAAGGCGGCCCTCACGGCCCGCAACGCCCAGAGCGCCCAGAGCTTCGAGAGCGCGCTCGACGACCTCTTCTCGGCCTCGGCGACGGCGTCTACGTCGGCCGACCCGGACTCGTCGACCGCCGAGGCGTCGACGACGCCATCGACGGTGGCGGCCAAGAAGAAGGCGAGGAAACGCGCCAACAAGAAGCGCAAGCTGTCCGAGGCCGCCGCCGCACCCGACGACGACCACCGCCACGACTCGACGTCGCCTGCGCAACGGACGCACGACCTGCGCGACGCGATCGACCACACCGAGGAGCTCGTCGACGTGCCCGCCGGCGGGCCTTTTGCCGCCTCGACGTCGTCGACCTCGCCCGCGTCGCGCTCCATCGCCGCCGCGTCGACGCGTCCGAGCTCGACGTTCTCCAATCGGCACGCGCACGTCGGCGCTCCAGCGTCGGGCTCGGGCTCGAGCTCGAACTTGCGCACGCGCCCTCTCGCGACCGACTTCGAGGCCGAGCCGGCGACGCGCCTCGCGGGCCCGGGCGGCAGCGGTCACGGTGGCGGGATCGGGCGCGGCGGCATGTACGCGGCGGGCGTGAGCGGGACGGGCTTCCTCCCGAGGCTGGCCACGCTCGGCGCCGGCGAGGGCAGCATGGTCATCGACCTGTCGGACAGCGAGGACGATGAGGGCGAGGACGGCGGCGGTGGGTCGTCGTCGCGTGTCGAGGGCGGGCGCGGCGGCGTGCGCGACGGGCTCGACGTGCCGTCCGGCGGCGGGAGCAAGGCCCCCTCGCCGGCGCCGCCGGTCGTCGATGCGGCCGAGGTCGAGCGCAAGCGGCGCCTCGAGGAGAAGGAGCACGAGATCGAGCGCATGATGGTGCGCATCGCCGAGATGGAGCGCAAGAAGCAGGCGCTGCGGGACAAGAAGGGCGCGGCTGAGCGGCAGGGGGACAAGGTGACGCCCGAGGTGGAGGTGGCGGCGGCGGCGGTCGAGGTGACGGGCCAGGCGGAACAGGGGCAGATGGTTGAACGCGAGGGCGAGGACGTTGCGAGGGAGGACGAGGTGCGCGAGTCGGCGTTGGCGTCGGAGGAGGAGGCGCCTCTGAGGGTCGAGGTCGATGAGGCGGGAGCGGCATCGTCTACCGAGGTGCGGTCGGCGTCCGCTCAGCTTCTCCTCCTTCCCTTTCGACCACGAACTGAGCGACTTTGGCCCGCAGGACCGCCTACCATCGCCACCCAGCTCGGTAAACCCGTCTGTGCAGCCGGCAAGTCTCCGCCAGGCGCCTCAGCCCGCCCGCCATTGACGCCTCCCTCTCCTACACGCCGCATCTTCCTCCCCTCTCCCTTCTCTTCGCCCATGCCGACCAACTCGCCGCCCCCGCCGCCTCTCGCCGTCGCCAACTCGCCCAACCGCCTTCGACTTTCCTCGCTCCGGTCCTCGCGCCCGCCCTCGCCCTCGACCTCGCCTCGGTACTGATTCTCTGCAGGTTTTCCGCCCGTACGCCTCGTCGCTCGCGCGGTTCCCGCTCATCCGCGCGTCTGCCGCCGGCCCGGATTCTGCGAGCTCGTCCTCGTCCGCCGCCGAGGGCACAGGTAATGCCGGTCTCGCTTCTTGGGTCGCGCGCAAGCACGGTGTCGACACGAGCAAGCGGCTGTGCAAGGCCGAGGCGGGAGGTGGCACGTGCCACGACGCCAAGTGCAGGTCCGTGCACGTCGCGTCGTTCGAGCCTACCGGTGCGTCCTCAGCCCTCCTCTTTCCCCTCCCGGCGTCTCGCGCACCTCGCCCTCCCTCGACCTGCTCGCGACGTCGGTCCCGCCTGACCTGTCTCCCTCTCGCGCCCTCCTCTCCCGCCCTCATTCGCCCTCCTCGCCCGCACCCTGTCGACCTTCTGCAGCCGCCGAGCTCGCCGAGTACCAGTCTCTGCGCCCCTCGTCGCAGCTGCAGAGCACGACTGCGACCCCGACCGCCGATCTCGCCGACCACGCCGACGCCCACGCCGCCTGAGCGTCCGCCGCTCATCTCGCCAGCCGACTTGTGCCGCCTCGCCCGCCCTCTCCCGCTTCAAGATACCCGCCGCCCCTCTACATGAGCATCGACCCGCCCTCGAGCGCCCGTCACGCCCCGCCTCCGACTGTCGAGCTCGAGCGAGTGCCGCTCACGCGCTTCCCACGCGTGGCGCCGGTGCTCGCTCGCTCGTCGTCGCCCCCTTTTCTCTCCCTCCTCTCGCCTTTCCATACCCTCCTCTCGTCCGCATCAAGAGCAAGGATACCCTCCCTCGTCCGACCTCTCTCGGGCTCCTTTGTCGTTCCGCATGACGTGCCAAAAAAAAAGAAGACGCAGTCGCATTCGCTTCTCTCTCCCTTTCCCTCTCGTGCGGCCGAGCGAGAGTCGAGAGCGAGAGCGAGAATGAAGATTGGAGAGAAACTGTTGCGTTGCGAGGTGACTGCGTGCGGGTGCGCCGACTGAGGAAAAGAACGAAGGGTTCACGAGGAGAGGGAAGTACAACAATGAGGGGTTGATGCGTCGACGTAAGGAGGAGCTGGTCTGCCTGCAGAATGTGGCTAGAGACGAAGGAGGAGAGCTATGTGCAACGACGAGGCGGCAGGAAAAGCCGGGGCGAACAAGGTGCGACGAGGGTCGAGGTCGGGCGCCGCCGCTCGGGCCTCGCTCACCGCGTCCCGATGGCGGTCACAGGGCGCCAGCGCCATGCGGCCGCCGCCGACGGGCTCGTGTAGGCGAACGTGGCGCCGAGCACGAGGATGGCGCCGAGGCAGATGCCGGGCGTGACCTGCGGGCGCGCGAAAGGGTCGAAGACCGGGTCAGGTCGGCGGCGGGCAATGACGCTCCCGAGGGAGGAGAGAGGGGGACGCACGTGGAACGAGAAGAGGACGACGCTCGCCGCGACCGAGAGGAGGATAGAGAGGCTCGTCGAAAAGCACTTGAGGAGGTTGTCGGCGTGCTGCATGACGAGGGCTGCGCGAAGAAACTCGATGACTCGAGTCAGTCTCAGGCGCTCGAGAGACGCAGAGACGTACACAGAGAGAGATAGAGAGACGCACCGCTGAGGAGCCCTCCCGTGAGCTGCAGAACGACGACGATCCAGGGCAACGGCCGGTCGAACCCGTCGAAGAAACCGCCGAGCGCGCTGCGCGTGACGTACTCGGCTCGGGACCACCACCCTTGGTCGAGGTACTCGTAGTCGAGCGTGCCGAGGCACCCTCGGAGCTCCCACAGAACGACGGGGAGGCCGACGACGAGGCCAAAGAGCGACAGCTGGATGTTGCGGATCCACAGCGACGGCTTGCCCGACGGGACGATGCTGTCCGGGAGCGGGAGCGTCGGCGACTCGGCGGCTTGATGGTCCGACAGGAGCGGCTGCTGCGACGACGGGAGCGTCGGCGACAGGATGGCCGAGGTCGACAGGCTCGGCGAGGGCGAGTGCGTCGCCGAGCCCTTTGGCGTCGGCGCCACCTTGAGGATGCGCTCAAAGTAGGTCGAAGCGAACCCGGACGACATGCACGCCGCCATGACGGCCGCGAGGCCGAGCGCCTGGCTCGGCGCCGACTCGGCGTGGACGGCGAACGCGCCGCCTTCGACCGTCTTGCCCGCCGCGTCGACGCCGGCTGCTGGCGGCGGGGCGGACTGCGGGCCGGTCGGGCTCGTGACCGAGAAGAGCTGGACGAGGCCGACGCCAAACGTGAGGACGAAGAGCGACACCCATTGCTGTCGGGTCAGGGCGCGGTTGAGGAGGATGACGGAGCACATGGCCGTTGCCGGGATCTGCGGACGCGGCTCGAGTCAGTCCTCGACGCCGAACCATCGTAGAGGAGAGGACGAGGGACGGACCTTGAGCTGGTAGGCGAGCTGAAAGAGCGGGACGCTCAGGTTGCCGCTCGCGACGTACTGGGCGTTGCCCTGGAAGCAGAACAGGGCCGCGAGGACGGCGAGATTCCACACGCCGTGGCCAAACACGGTCGCCTTGAGCGTGAGCCACCACTCGTAGTCGCTCAGGTCGCCGACGAGGCTCGGCGCCGGCTCGGCGAGGCGCTCGCTCGCGCGTCGGTGCGGGTACAGCGAGTGCTCGTCCGGGTGACGAGTTGGCGAGGGTTCGGGCGCGGGTGTCGCGGGGATGAAGGCGAGGGAGGGCGTAGAGGGGGTCTGGGCGTTGGCGAGGGCGACGCTGATCGCGAGGGACGAGGGAGGATGGCGTCCGCGAGTCGGAGAAGGGGTGCGAGCTTCGAGCGAGGGGGCTCGTCGGTGCACTGTGCCGGCATCGCTGCGAGTCAGCTTCGTCGCAGAACAGTACCGAGAGAGAGGTGGACGCACTGCTGACGACCGTCGCCTCCTTCCACCCGTCCTCGCCGCCGCCGCCAACCGACCCTCGTCGCGGCTCCGACTTGGCCATGAGCGCGTCCTTCTCCTCCTCGTCGCCGCTCGTCCTCGACACCGCCGAGCTGAGGTACCCCTCGCGCTCCTCCTCCTCGCGGATCTTGACCTGGCGCCGCTCCTCGGCCTCGCGCTCGCGCTCCTCGTCGTCGCGCAACCTCCACAGGCCGCGCACGTGGCGGCGCTCGCGCACGGCGGGGCGCAGCTCGCCCGTGACGAGGACGAGGACGAGCGAGACGAGGATCTTGCCGAGCTCGGTGAGGAAGATGGCGCTCGAGGCGTGGTACCGGCGGCCGGGGGTGGTGCGCGAGACGTGCAGGACGATCGAGAGGACCGAGTAGTGCAGGGTGAGGGCGGCGAGCGACAGGATCGCCGGTCGAGATAGTGGCGCCATGCCCTGCGCTCTGCGCGAGAGGCTCGAGGGGACAATGGGGGTGTCGAGGTCGACGACGAGATGAGGAGGGTGAGGGGAGCTGGCGGAGCGCCGGCGAGGCCGCGGTTGGTGGCAGGCGGTCGTGCAGAGGTGGCTGCGTGGTGTGCAGCTGCTGGCGAGGGTATCGAGCGAGGCGAGAGCTGTCTATGGCGGACTCAACGCTCGAGCGCTGCGAAGTCGGCTCTCCGCTCTTCGCGTTGCCGCGCGCTCTCGACCACAGTCTACTCGTCTCGCCCGTGCTGGGCTTGAACATCTTTCGCTGCAGGGCTATGCTACAGACAGCTCCTCGGGCTCGCCCACCGGGACCGCGACCTCGACCGGCACCTCCTGCGCCGCGTCCTCGGCTCCCGAACCCTCGACCAGCGGCAGCAGCACGGCGAACGTGAGGTAGCTCGTGTGCCCTCGCGCGTACGGCCCCGCCTTGAGCGTCATGCTGCGGTCCTGCTCGCGCTCGAGTCGAGACCGTGGCCGCGCGGGCGCAGGCGAGGACGCGCCGCTCGTCGGGGCCGTCGCGGCACCTTCTGCGACGGCACTGACTGCCATCGGCGTTGCCATGGCCGTGTCGGCGTCGCTTGCCGGGGCCGAGGATGCGGCGCCGGCACCGTCGTCGAGGCGCGCCTTCTTGGCCGCGAGCGCGTCCTCGTCGCCTCCCGCTGCCGCTCCCGCCTCGCCCGCCGCGTCGCCCTCAGCGTCGCCGCCGTCCTCCCGCTTGCGCTTGGCCTTCTCCTCGCGCCTCCTCCTCGCCTCCTCGATCTGGCCCTCGCGCCGGCGCTCCTTCTTGCGCTCGACGGCCGTGATGCGTTCGACGGCGTCGTCGACGGTCGGCGCCGCGAGCGGCACCGGGTCGTGCGTGCGCGTCAGGGTCTCGTACATGGTGATGGACGAGAACCCGAGCGCCGACAGGGCCGTGCACGTGCGGATCACCTGCTCGATGCAGGGCGAGAAGCAGCAGATGCGCGACTGGCGGTCCTTCTGCGGGGGCGCGAGGGACGAGGGTCAGTGAGCGACGGGCTCGAGTGGTACGTGCAGGGTGCCGGGAAGGGGCGCGAGAGAGAGAGAGAGAAGTGGACGCACGCGCATGGCCTTTTTGGCGTGCTCGAGCGCCTCCCACGGTGCCGGCAGGTCGAGGAAAACTGCGAGGACGGCGGGGTCAGCCACTACTGCCTCGGCAGCATCTGGTATCCCGAAGCGAGACGCCCTCGCGATGGTACGGGTGGAGCGAGAGGGAGAAGCGCCGACGCACCCGAGTCGACCTCGTCCTCGAGCTCGAACCCGTCCTTGTACACGTTCTGGTGCTTGATCTCGATGACGCCGTCGAGCTTGTGCTCCTCGAACTCGTCCCTGTGTGACAACGTCCTGTCAGCCACCGTTCGGGAGGTCTCGACGAGGGCGCGAGCGAGAGAAGTCGGGAGAGGGGGACGCACCTCGCCTTTGCGAAGCGCTCCTCGTGGTACTCGAAGCTGTGGACCTTGCCCTCGTTGCCGACCGTGCGAGCGAGCGAGTGCGAGAACGAGCCCGAGCCGGTGCCTGTGTGCGTGCGCGGTCGTCAGCTCGCCGAGGCTGCGAGAGAGAGGTAGAGCGGGCGAGGAAGGGAGAGAGGGAGAGGAGACGGACCGGCTTCGATGAGGCGGCTGCCCGGCTTGATGTCGAGGTACGAGGTGATGAAGGCAATGTCGGGGAGGTAGAGGATCTGGGTGCGGTGCGGGAGGGCCTGCGTCCTGCTCGAGGCGGGAGGTCGGGGCGGGAAAGGGGAGGGGAGGGGACGCGACAGTCAGTGCGCGTCCCTCGCCTGGGTACGGCGTGCAGAGGTGGAGATTGAGAGGCGACTTGCCAGAGTTCAGGGGTGGGCTTGAGGAGGTAGACGAAGCCGCGGCCGTTGCCCGAGGCGAGCTTTGTGCCCCAGGGCTGGCCGACAAAGTCGTTGTGGCGGAAGTAGCCGTAGCGCGACTGGATGTCCTTGTCGCGAGTGACAATCTCGCTCGTGAGCTGGGTGCGGCTCTGTGGGCCGAGGCTCGAGGGTGAGCACTGATGAAGATGAGGAGGAGAGGGAGGAGAGAGAGGGGCGGCGCACGTGGAAGATGATGACCCAGTCGCCGTACTGGATCGAGTCGGTCCTGTCGAACGCAGTCATAGCCAGCTTGAGCTTGTGTGAGCCGACGAGAGCAGGAGGAGCGTCGCGTCGAGGCGCCGACCACCTCAACGACCTCCTCCCACCAGCCTCGTCGCTGTGCTCAGCTGCACCAGCTCGACTACAAGCCCATGCGCCCACCTGCGCCCACCAACCCGGCCCAGGTCCCGCTCCTCGGCGCAGCCTCGTCGTGCGCAACTCCGCCGACGCACAGCCACCCCTCGCTCCTCGCCAACTGCTTCACCCGCCGCACCAGGAGCCTCGTACAGCTCGCCATTGCAGCCACCCTCGTCACCGCATCCGTTGCCTTCCTCCGTCACGCCGCACCGACACCTTCCTCGTCGTCCCTCTCCCTCCCTTCCCTCCCGCCCCACCTTGCCAGCGTCCTCCGCCTCTCCGCACCAGTCGACCGCCCACCGGCACCCACCCGACTCGCCGTAAAGCCCGACCGACCAGTCGCCACGGCCGACGACGACCATCCGGGCGAGCCCGACCTCGACGCCTTCAGCTCCGACCACGGCGACGGTCTCCTCACCGACCTCACGACCGTCCTCAAGCCCCTCGCGCGCACAAAGGCCGTCTCGTACGGCGAGCCGTGGGTCTATGCCCGCGACCCGCACCAGCTCCCGGCGTGCGAGCGCATCTTGCTGTTCCAGTTCATGCCGTGGTGGGGCTTTGCGAGCGAGTACATCCTCTACGTGCGTCCCGCACTCTCTTCCTCTCTCTCCAGTCAGCGTCGACCTGACACCGATCCCCACGCAGGCCCGTGCAGCAGCCGCAGCAGACAAGCTCGGCTACACGTTCCTCGAGGACGACCGCAACTGGTGCGTCTCGCTCTCTCTCTTCCCTCTTGCCCCGTCCCTGTCGCTCACTCAGGCGCACGTCCACCCTCCGCAGGAACTACGGCCGCTTGCGCAACTACTTTCGCCCGCGCAAGCTGTCGTGCGTCCCGCCGCGCGACTGGACCGACCAGCGCCTCGCCGTCCCGTTCTCGCTCGCTTCGGCGCGCGAGCGCCCGCCCCGCCTCGTCTACTCGCGCCTGCACCTGTCGAACCTGGACGACTGGACCCGGGACGTGTACCTCTCGGCGCCGGGCGTCCAGGCCGCGCTCCGGGCCCTCCAGCAGCGCGACGACGCGCACCGCCGCGACGCCGACCGGTGGATCCTCGAGGAGGGCGCGACGCTCCCGCAGCCGCTCGAGGCCGTCTTTGACGACCAGAGCGCCGCCGTGCGCCGCATGTGGAAGCTCAACGCCGAGGTCGACGCCCAGGTCAAGCTCGTGCGACGCCGCAGCGGGCTCGCGCGCCCGAGGTGGGTCACGGGCGAGGAGGACGCGCCCGAGGGAGGAGAGGGGACGACGAGCAGGAGGGGCCCTGTCATTGCGCTCCATGTGCGCCTCGGCGACAAGGCGTCAGAGTACGAGCACGACTCGCAGGACATGGGCATCTCGAACAGCTTGTGCGTCCCTCTCTCTCCTTCTCTCGCCATACAGCGACGAGTCACTGACTCGGCGTATGTCAACAGCGGTAACCTGACGGTCTACGTCGAGGCTGCGCACGACGGTGAGCCCGCAGCCCTCGTCCCGCGTCCCGTCTTTGCGTCGCCGCAGGACCTCGCTCACCCTCTCTTCCTCCGTCCTCGCGCCCAGCCTTCCGCCGCCTCCTCCCCTCGCGCTACCCTTCCCTCACGCCCCTCACCCGCCCCCGCTTCTCGCCCTACGCCCGCCCGTCCCTCCTCCTCATCACGGCCGAGCCCGACATCCCCTCGCGCCTGCGCGCCTCGACGCCCCTCTCGCGGCCCTTCCTCGTCGTGCAGACGCCCGAGCCGGACGTGCGCGTGCCGAGTGCGACGGGCGACGGCGACGGGACGCAGGCGAGGCTCGCCAAACAGGCGGGCGCGGCGGCCGGGGCGCAGGGCGACAAGCCCAAGGCGTACGGCGGCGGCAGCGGCGGGGCGCGCAAGGCGCAGAAGGGGCGCAAAGGGGCGGCAGCGGCGGCAGTGGCGGTGGGGAAGGACGGCAAGGAGCGCGTGCGGCGAGCGGCGGGGGGCGCGAGCGAGGGCGAGGAGGACGAGGTCGTCGAGGCGACGCCCGACCTGAGCACGGGCTACACGCAGGCAGCGTTCAACGCGCTGCCGATCCTCGAGCGCGTCGTGCACACGCAGGCGTTCGTGCGCGACTTGACCGTGCTCGCGAGGGAGGCCGACGCGGCCGTCGTCAGCGGCGCGAGCAACGTCGGGCGGTTGGCCATGCTGTGCGTCCCTCTTTCCCTCTCTGAGCGTCCCTGTCTGTGTGTGCGACTCGTCTCTGACATCTCGCCCCCCTGTCTCGCGGTGCAGCATCGCCGGCAAGGACGCAGTGGTCGGACCTCGAGACAGTCATGGCGACGGGCTCGGCGGGCGCATGTGCGTCTCTGCGGCTCTCTCTCTCCTCTCCATACACGTGCTCGACCTGACTCTTTGCCCCTCACCTCGCTCCGCCTTGTGCCGCCCCGCCGCCCTCGACCCGTCTCGCTCTCCGCCCGCAGCCGCTCGGTCGACGCCCACTGCTACCCGACGGCGTACACGACGGCCGTGTACGAGCCTGTCGCCGACGTCGAGGACCTCGACAACGCGGCGTTCGTGCCCAAGGAGCAGTTTGAGGCCGAGCAGGCGGCGCTCGCGGCCAAGGCGCAGCGGGTGGACAAGGGGCGCAAGGGGAGGAAGGGTCGACCGACACGAGACGAGTAGAAGGACGCCCTGTATCGCCGTGCCGTCGCCGCAGCAGCATGTCGAGAGTGCGAGAGTGGGCTCGAGCGCTCAAAGAATGCCTCGGCCCGCGGCGTCGCCGTCGGTGGAGGTTGACCTCGTTTCGCCTTTACTCACCCGAGTCGCTCGCGATTGATAGATCGGTTGGCGTGTCGTTGCGTGCTACGACGTGAGCTTGCTGCTTGTGGAGCAGGAACTGCGCCGTTTCGACGACGGGAGGTGGACGATTTTCGGCCGCGACGTCCCCACCTCGGAGAAGAGGCGCATCGTCACCTGGCTCGCGCTCGTTCTCCCTCCTCTTCCTGCACCCCGCTGCTCTTCAACAGAGCTCAGCACACACGCACACAGCCACCCCCATGTCGACTACGACCCAGCCGCCGCCCCTCATCCTCGACCTGCGCAACCGCTCCCCACCCTCGTCTCCGCCCTCCAAGCCCGTCGCCGATGCGGCCGACTCGTCCTCGCGCGCCTCGTCGCAGGACATGAGCCCCTCGCACTCGTCCGACGCGTCGAGCTCGACCGGCGGCACCAGCGTCGCCGACCCGCTGCGCGACCAGATCGTCGCCGGCCTGCGCGGCCGCAAGGAGCCTGTCGTTCCCGGCGAGACGGACGCCGACCGCAGCTTCTCGTACCGCCACACGATCCCGACCATGACCCTGTACAGCCAGCGCGGCCTCGAAATCTACGAGGACATCACCAACACCAAGGTGCGCCCCTCGTCCCTCTCCTCCTCGTCGTCGGCAACCCGTGGCCGGCACCTGACCCGCCTCTCCCCTCGTGTGCACAGGCCTACTACCCGTTCGAGGCCGAGAAGGAGATCCTCGAGAAGTACGGCGACGAGATCGCGTGCCGCATGTTCGGCCTTCCGTCGAGCCTCCTCGTCCGCAACGACCACGGCGACGACAAGCGCTTCCACGAGCCGAGCACGGCGGGCAACACGGGCGCCGACAAGGAGAAATGGTGCGTCGAGTCGTTCATCTACCTTGTCCGTCCAGGAAGGCGCCAACTGACGGCCTCTTTGAGCGAGCAGGGGCGATTCCAAGGTCGGCACGTTCAACTTTGGCGTCAACGGCGCCGTCGCGACCGCCTCATCGCCGTCGGCCAAGTACGGCCTCGCCGTCGAGCTCGGCTCGGGCTCGCTCGACAAGACGCGCCACCTCCTGCGCTCGATGGCCAAGCTGCTTCAGTCGCAGGGCAACACCAAGAGCGCGCCGATGGAGGCCATCGACTACAAGGCGGTGCGTCCCCGCTCCTCTCATTCCTCCTCTCGAGCATTTCCTGACGCCTAGACCCACTGCAGCTCGACCTCGAGGCGGCGTCGCTGCACTCGACCCTGTCGTCCCTCGCCTCGGTCGAGGGCGACTGCGTCACGACCTCGCTCCAGGACCAGGGCACCCAGTCGCGCCGCCGTGTGTCGGTCTCGGGCCTGCACGCGACGTACGACGAGGGCCTCGCGTTCCTCAAGGCGCAGCAGGCCAATCTGTCGCCGTCGTCTCGCGCTCAAGCCCTGCCCGAGTCGCCGTTCACGAGCCCGATCCTGAGCCCGTCGGCGCTCCCCTCGGTCGACGAGGACAGCGTGTCGGCTGGCGGCGACGAGCAGCGCACGACGTCCATCATGTGGCTCGGCTCGTCGTGCGGCAACTACACGCGCGACGAGGCCGTCGACTTCCTGCGCAACATCGACCTGCGCGAGGGCGACACGATGCTCATCGGCATCGACGGCTGCGCCGACGGCCCCAAGATCGAGACGGCCTACAACGACCCCGAGGTGCGCCCTCTCCCTCTCTCTCTCGCGCGGCCGGTCGTCGTCGGGAGCGCGCACTGACCCCTTTTCCCGCAGGGCGTCACCGCCGCGTTCATCCTCGAGGGCGTCGACGTCGCAGGTCGTTCGCTCGGCGGCGAGGCGGCCACGGTCCTCAAGCAGAGCAACTTCGAATACGTCAACCGCTGGAACGCTCAGCTCGGCAGGCACGAGGTGAGCCCGCCGTCCACTCGATTTTGAGAAGGTCCCGCTCGGTGTGGGCCGCGCTCAGATAGTAGCTCTGCTCGAGGCCACTCACGCTCGGTGTACACACAGGCCTATGTGCGCGCCAAGACCGACTTGACGATCCCGATCGACGGCGAGGAGGCCCACCTCGAGGAGGGCGAGTGCGTCCGACTTCCGTCCACTTCGTCTCCCCTTTCCTCCTTGTCAGTCGTGCTCACCTCTCCTTTCTCGACGACAGGCTTCTCGCGATTGAGGTCTCGTACAAGTACCTGTTCTCGGAGGCGGTCGCCCTGTTCCACCTCGCCGGCTTCCGCCTCGTCCAGCACTGGACCGACTCGTCGCGCTCGCACTACCTGTACCTCGTCGAGAAGCCGCGCATGTGGTTCCCGGCCACCAAGGCGAGCTCGGCGCAGATGCTCGGCATCGAGCTCGACGAGGCCGAGCGCGGCAACGACTACGGCGTGCCGAGCTTGAGCGAGTGGGAAAACATGTGGAAGGCGTGGGACGGGCTCATGGTGCGTCCCTCCTATCTCTCGACTCCCTCCTCGACGACGACTTGTACTGAACTCTGCGTCGTCGCAGCTCGACATCCTCTCGCCCAAGCTCCACTTCACCAAGCCGATCCCGCTCCGCCACGTCCCGCTCTTCTACCTCGGCCACATCCCCGCCTTCCGCGACATCCACCTCTCGCGTTACCTCGGCGAGCCTCTCACCGAGCCGGCCCACTTTGCCGACATCTTCGAGCGCGGTATCGACCCGAACGTCGACACGGCCAAGTGCGAGCACTGGCACAGCGAGGTGCCCGACGACCAGGACGGTTGGCCGAGCGTGCAGGACATCTCGGCCTACGACGAGCGCACGCGCGAGCGCGTCAAGAAGGTGTACGCCGACAACGACGGCCGGTGGACGAGGAGGCTCGGCCGGGTCCTCCAGATGGCGTTCGAGCACGAGGCGTGCGTCCTAGCTCTCCTTCTTTCCCTCTCTTTCTCGTCCGTGCCTGTCCTGACGATCACTCTCGCGCGCAGGATGCACTGGGAGACGGCGATCTACATCTGCCTGCAGGCGTGCACGGACCTCAACGTCCCTCGCGGCCTTTCCATCCCCGACTTCCCTTCCCTCGCCCGCTCGACGTCACGCCTCATCGAGTCGCAAGGCGTCGACGCTCGCAAGACGGTTCTGTCGTTCGGCGCCCAGTCGATCACGGTCGGCCACGACGACTCGGACGTGCTCGACGACGAGGCGGCGTTCGACCCGGCGCACGAGTACGGCTGGGACGTCGAGCACCCGAAGCGCGAGCTGAGCGTCGGCGCGTTCAAGATCGACGCCCTGCCCGTCACGAACGGCGAGTACCTCGACTGGCTCAAGAAGGAGGGCAAGGAGGGCGACGAGACGCTCGTCCCGGCGAGCTGGGCGGGCGACAAGGGCGCTCGGGCCGTCAAGACGCTGTACGGCGAGGTCGCGATGGAGCACGCTCGCGAGTGGCCCCTCGCTGCGAGCGGGCGACAGCTCGGCGAGTTTGCCAAGGTGCGCCCCCTCTTTCTCTCTCTTCGTCTCGCTTTCTTCCTCGCCTCGATGAGGCTCACCTCTCCTCCCGTCCTGCAGGCCAAAGGCGGTCGTCTCCCGACGTTCGAGGAGCAGTCGCTCTTCAACCAGCAGCACCCGGTCTCGCAGCCGCTCGCCAACGTCGGTTTCGCCAACCTGCACCCGGTCCCGCCGACGCTGCCGCTCGAGGCTCGCGACGGCTCGCAGATCCCGGCGACCGACGGCGGCTTGTGGATGTGGACCTCTTCGGTCCTCGAGCCGTGGCAGGGCTACAAGGAGTCGGTCCTGTACCCGGGTTACTCGGTGCGTCCCTCCTCTCTCTCTCTTCTTCCTCCTCAACGCGGAACTGACTCGTTCATGCATGTTCGCTCCATCACAGTCCGACTTCTTCGACGGCAAGCACCTCATCGTCCTCGGCTCGTCGTACGCGAGCCCAAGGCGCCTCGCTCGCCCGTCGATGCTCAACTGGTACCAGGCCAACTGTGCGTCCCTCTCTCCCGACTCGAGCACCTCTACGTGTTGGACTGACACCTTGTCGCTCGCGCAGACCCTTTCATGCTCGGCGGAGCTCGCGTCGCCTACGACGTCCAGGCGTGAGCGAGGAGGAGGGACTTAGGCGACGGACATTCGCGAGCAGTTCTCGACGGCCGCGAGGGCCACAACGATACAAAAAATGCAGTGCACCTTCTTGTTCATATCGAAACTGGCGCACGATCCGCGAGAGGCTGAGCGAGGACGACGAGAGAACGCTCGAGCCTGTCGGTCTCTGGAAGCCCCTCGAGCTCTCGAACTCTCCTCTCGCGTCGAAGCCGTGCACTTGCGAGCTCAAGCGTCGTTGCACATGCTGTCGAGCGAGGCGAGGCTCAGTCATCCTCGTACTCGAACCCGTAGTCCGAGTCACCTCCTCCCTCTCCTCCTCCCTCCCCCTCGACTGCCTCCTCTTCTTGCCCTGGCGCCCCTGACTCGCCCTGCTCCTCCTCGGCATCGCTCGCGCCGTTCTCCTCGACGAGCTTGCCCCTCGCCTTGGCCGCACTCGCCCTCGTCGACCTGCGCGTCCTCGGCGCCTCGACCTCCTCGCGCACGACCTCGTCCCGCTGCGGCCTGACCGGCATCCGCACCCTCAACGACCTCCCGCTCGTGCTCGTCCCGCTCGTCTCGTCGCCTGCTCCTGCTGGGGCAGTGGCGGCAGAAGGCGCGGCGACGCGCTTGCGCGGCGTGCGCGAGTCGGACGCGGACGAGCCGGCGTCGTCGGGCAAGGGTGGCGAGGCGGACGCCGCACGCTTGGCGCCTCGCGCAGGGAGCTTGATGCGCAGGGGAGAGGGGGCGGCGGCTGGGGAGGGGGCGGCGGAAGAGGGCGCAGAGGGTGCGGGTGCCGGGGTCGAGCGAGCGGAGGAGGGTGCGGAAAGTTCTGCGTCGGGCTTGGCCTGCCCGCAAAGGTGTTAGCGACATCGAGAGAAGGAAAGAGAGAGAGAGAGAGGACAAGGGAGCAGGGGCGCACCTTGGCTTTGCCCTTCTTGTCCGCCTTGAGCTCCCTTTCGAGACTCTCCTCGACGGCCTCGGGGTCCTTGAACTGGTCGAGCAGGCGTTGCCGGATGCGCAGGCCCTGGATGAGCTTGCGCCAGCGCTTGAGGACGCGGTCCTGCTGCTTGGCGAGCTCGCGCTCGAATGTCGACTGCTCGAGGTTGAGGATGGCCTGCGCGTGAGGAGGGCCTGAGCGTGAGTTTCGTCACGAGTGAAGATGGAGAAAGTGGCGGGACGCACCTCGCGCAGCGTCTCGGCATGCTCTGCGGCGACGACGACGCCGGCCATGAGTGGCGTAGCTCGACGTTGGCGGAACTCGAACCCGATCTGCGAGCGACCGCTTCCACGTCAGGTCGCGCTCGACAGCTCAGAGTGAGGGAGAGGTGGACGCACGATGGCCTCGGCGTAGTCGATGCCGAGCGTCTTGGCGCACTTTGCCGCCACCTTGCCTGCGAGCACGACGAGGCGTCAGTGAAAGGCTGAGGGGACGAGAGGACCGAGCGCGAGAGAGCTCACTCGGCAGGTGGACGGCGCCCTCGGGCAGCATCGACGGGACGAACAGGTCGATGTTGCCAAAGTTGTTCTTGGGGACCTTGCCCTGCAAGCGCGAGAACGACGAGTGAGCGGACGAGGCCATGAGAGGGAGGAAGAGGCGGTGGACGAGGCGACGCACGTCCTTGACTGGCGGCGGCACGTAAACGTCGGTCTGGTTCTCGCTGTACAGCGGCTGCTCGTCGACCTCGCCGCCGTCCATCTTGAGGAACTCCTCCTTGCGGCGGCTGTTGATCGTGACGGCGCGCTGCTTGACGAACTTGCGCGGGATCTCGTCGGGCCGGACCGAGCGACCTTGACGATACCAGTTCTCGGCCGACTTGACCGACAGGACGTCGGCGCGACGAAAGACGCGGTACTCGCCCTTGAAGAGGCCGTAGTCGCGAGCGCCGGGGCGAAGCGCCTCGTCGCGGTGGAGGTGCTGCTCGAGGACGTAGCTGCGCGGACAGGATCGGCGTTAGTCTCGAGCACGGGTAACAAGATGAGAAGAGAGAGAGGCGAGCGCACTTGGGGTGGTTCTTGAAGCCGCCAATCGAGGTCGGGAAAGGCTCGTTGATCGACCGGCTCCACAGCTCCTGCTCCTCCTCTCGATCGCGATTCTGCAGGACCGCGAGATGTCAGAGCAGCTCTGAGGACGACAAGCTATCCCGCACGACGCTGTCGAGCGGGCGAGCAAGGCGAGGGACAGGCCGGACGAACCAGGACGAATTTCCTCCTCCAGGGCTGCACGACGCCGGCGAACCAGTCGCGCCCGTCGTTGTCCTTGCGCTGCTTGGTCGACGTCGGGACACGGAGCTTGAGCGTCGTGTTGGTGAACGCGCGAGCGTAGCGCGGCGTGACGTCGTGCACGGACCCATCTGCGGGGCGGCCGAGGTTCAAGATGGGCGCTTTGCGGACCCGACGCACGACGAGAGAGGGAGAGAGCTTGGGCGCACCTTCCTCGTACGCGACGACGTAGGCGAGCACGTTGCCCTCGCCGCCGTTCTTGCTCTCGCCGCGCTGCGGCTCCATGATCTTCTGGCACCGGATGCGCTTGCGCGACGGGTCGACCGTGATCCACTCCTTGTTGTAGCGCGTGTAGGCCTCGATCCACTGGGTCGGCGGTGTCGCGAGGGCGTAGGCGTCTGTCGGCGGCGAGCGCAAGAGGGGTCAGAGCGCTCGAGGGGGACGAGAGAGAGGGACGTGGGCGCACCTGGACTCGCTCCTCGCCGCAGCTCCTCCTCCTTCTTCCACCCTGGGACCTTGACGCTCGGCCCGCTCGACCGCCGCAGGTTGACCTTGGGCACCTTGTACGCCATCTTGCCCTGCCCATCGACCCACCCACCCCCTGCTCCCGGACCCTTCCTCCTCGTCCCGCCGGCGCTCCTCCCTCCTGCGCTCCCGCTGCCCGTCTCGCCCTCGGACGCCGTGCTCGAGAGGACGAGCGTCTCGGGCGCGCTCGCCTTCTTGATGCCCTTGACCGCCTTGCCGACCGGCGGCTTCCTCCCTGACGCCGCCGCCGACGCCGCGCTGCCCGTGTCGTCGTCCGTCGACGCTCCTACTGCCGCTCGACCCTTGCCCTTGCCCGCTCCTCGACCCTTGGCGCCGGACCCGCCGCCGCCGCCGCGCTTGGGCGCCGCGCCGCTCTGCGACTTGCTGCGCCACTCCATGGCCTGGAGGCTGACGACAAGGCGCGCCGGGATGTCGAGCGCGCGCATGAGCGCGACGAGGAGTTGCACCTGGAGGTCGGCGCTGCCGCGAAGCATGGCCGCCGCCGCGTACAGGCTGCCGAGCGCGCCCTTGCCGCCGCCGCCGCCGCTCGTGCCCCTCGACGACGTCGACGCCGAAAGTGGCGGCGCGACGGGGCGCAGGACCTCCCACGTGTCGGACGCAGGGAGGAACGCGCGGATGAAGGCGCCGTCGGGCGTGAGCGGCAGCTGGCCGTCCGGGCGGCGGAGCGCGGCCGTGCGCTGCGAGCCAGTGAGGAGGGGCGCCTCCTCCCACGGGTACAGCGGGATCTTGGACGGGTCGGTCAAGCCCGTCGGCTCGCGGCCGGCCTTGCGCGCCTTGTCGAGCTTGGTGCGCACGCGTGCGCGCAGGCGCTCGCCCTCGTCGGCCCAGCCGGCCACCTCGTCGTCGACGTCGTCTGGACGGCGGCGGCGCAGGGCGCGGTTCGGGACGACCTCAAAGGCGGCGTACCACCACGAGACGAGGTCCTGGAGGGCGAGGTCGAACAGGCGAGAGCGGTCGCGCGGGTTCGGGTACTTCTGAGGCGTGATCGAGGTGAAGGCGTACAGGAGCGGCGCCGGGACGAGCGAGACGAGGCGGGCCTGGGAATAAGGTGTCAGAGTCGGCCCCTGTCGAGTCGAGCAGGAGTCCAGCCCGCTCGGGAGCAGGCCAGAGCTGCGCGAGGAGCGAGAGCAGGACGCACCTGGAGCTCCTTGTCGTTGAGCCACTTGTTGCGGACGATGCCGGTGGCGACGAGCGACAGGACGTGGACCTTGTGGCGCTCTTGGCGGACCATGCGCTCGCGAGCCGTCTCGCCCGCCTTGCTGTCGACACGGGCGTCCGAGTCAGCCCCACCTCGACGAGCGACGAGAGGGGAGGAGAGAGTTGAACGCACGCCTTGCCCTTGCCCTTGCTCTTGGTGCTCGCGCGAGATATGACGATCTCAATGCCGCCTCCTCCTGCCCGCTGCGCCGCGGTGGCCGCGTCGAGAGCGTCGTTGGCGCCGTCGAGGTCGGGGAGGGGCACTTCTGCCGCGGCCTGCGGGATGTCGACCTCGTCCCACGCTTCTTCATCATCGTCGTCGTCGTCGTCGTCGTCGTGCTGGTCGTCGTGGCTGTCGGTGGCCGGGTGAGGCGAGGCCGTGGTCGAGAGAGGGAAGCGAGCGGCCGAGGTCGAGGCACGCGGCTGGGCGGGGCCGCGGTGAGGAGACGGGGCTGAGCCGCCAGTGTCGGAGGCAGCCGAGCCGTCGTCCATGGTCGCAGCGGCGACAGCTGGTCGACGTTGAGCGCGAGTTGCTGTTGTCATCGGCCGTCGGCTCGAGAGAAGTCTCGACATTCCGCAGGGCACGATCGGGTTCAGCAAAGCTATCCATAGCATGCTACTGAGCTTCCTACTCCAGCCAGATCGCCCGCTCGAGGCGTGAGGCGGATGCCCGGTCGACCTCATCTCCGACGAGTTGCCGGAGCCGGGCGTTGTTCTCTCCCACTCGCTCGCACGACCTCACGGCGGTCCAGCTCGCTCCGTAAGCGCCACGGGGCAGCTCAGCATGAGCGGCGCCTTCCCGCCAGGCCCCCGCGCTTCTGTCGAGCTCGCCCTCTCCCCCTCGTCCGCGTCCCCCAGCTCGCGGCACTCGGGCGTCCAGCTCCACGGCCACCGCCCGACAGTGCGCGTCCTGTCCTCGGAGGAGGACCTCGCCACTCGCCCGCTGTCCACCTCAACAAGGGCACACTCGCCCTGCCCCGACCAGGCGCTCAGCTCGCGGCCAGCCGAGCAGGCGCCCCTCAGCCCGAGCCTGAATGGCCTCGCCGTCGCGTCCAACGGCCTCCCTCTTCTCAGCGCACAACGGCGCGCCAGCAGCGGCGGCTCGGCGAGCGGCGCGGACGAGTACGGCGCGGCGAGCGCACGAGGCTCGTACGCCCAGGCGCGGTCGCCCTCGCCCTCGTTGCGCCCGTTCAGCGGCTCGTCGAGCAGTTGGGCACCGCGCGACGACGACGAGGCGGCGAGGCAACACGGCGCGAGGTCAGCGATGTCGTCGCCCAACGCCCTCTCGCCTCGTCCTCGGCAGCACGGCCCCGTCATCACGCGCGTGTCGAGCCCGATGAACCCCTCCTTCTCGCCCACCGACGCTCCTCTCGACAGCCTACCGCCTCAGCGTTCCCTCACACCCTCACCCTACCTCGCCGCGCGCCCGTCCTCGCGCGCGAGCACCTTCACCCGCCGCTCCTCGACCGACCTCCTCTCGACCCTCGGCTCGCCGCGCCTGTCCACCGCGCCTCTCTCCGAGGACGACGTCGCGACCGACCTTGCGACAGGCGGCGCGCTTGCTCGAGAGCACCTCGCGACGGCGCGACGAGCGAGCGAGGACAGCCTCGCGTCGGTGCGAGTCAGAAGCCCGCTTTCGGCCGTCGACCTCCCACCTCCGCCACCGAGCTCGTCTGCGCCGTACGAGCCTCGGCCCTTCACGTCGCTGCCCGTCGCCTCGGCGCGCGCCTCGCCCCTTCCCACCGTCGCCGCACCACCCGCTCCCGCCCCGACATCTCGCCGCACCGCCGCCGCCGCACCCGGCCACAACCCCCTCCTTCACGCGCCGCTCACGCCTATCCTCTCGCCGCACACGTCGCGCCCTGTGCGCAACTATCGCCTCCACGACGGCCGCAATCGGTATTTGTGCGGCGGGCGCCTCATGACGGGCGGCGACAGCGTGCTGCCGCTCGTCGGGTCGCTCGCCGTCGCCGTCGTGCTCCCCGCCGCGTGGTGGGTGTTCAACGGGCAGTTCCTGTGGGAGAGCTGGGGCGGCAAGGGCAAGGCGAGCGTGCTCGTGTTCGTCTACGCCGTCGCCGTCATGTGGACCAGCATGGTGCGTCCACAACATCCTCTCTCCTCCCCGCATTCAGCTCTCAAGGCACGCATGTCCCGAGACGAGCGCCGAACTGACTCTCGAGATCGTTGCCGTGCAGCTCAAGACGGCCTTCTCGGACCCGGGCATCCTCCCCCGCGACCTCGACCCGGCGCCGCCGCGCAAGTGGGTCCTGCGCTCGGCCTCGCAAGGAGGCGAGGGCTCGGCGAGTGACGGCGAGTGGCAGGTCGAGGCCAAGTGGATCCGGGTCAAGGGCGGCGGCGTCGTCGCGAGCAAGTGTGCGTCGTCGGTTCTCTACCTTCTCTCCTCGAGCCTCGAGCCTCGTCGGGCTGCGTCCGTCCTTGCTGGGACAGGCACAGAGCGTGGACGTTCTTGTGCCTCGAGCTGACCCTGCACGATCCATTCGCAGGGTGCGAGACGTGCAAGACGTGTCGGCCGCCGAGGACGAGCCACTGCCGCCTGTGCGACAACTGCGTCGAGCGCACCGACCATCATGTGCGTCCCGGTTTCTTCCCTTCCTTGTGCTCGAGTAGTGCTCTCGAGCACGCGCTCACTCGTCCTCCCGTTCCCGCAGTGCGCCTTCCTGAACGCTGTGCGTCCTCCCCTTTCCTCTGTCCTCCTTGCGCTCGACGAGCTCCCACACGAGAGAACGACCTCTTACTGTAATCGACTCACGCAGTGCATCGGTCAGCGCAACTACCTGTCCTTCATCGCCTTCCTCCTCTCGGCCGTCGTCGCCGGCCTGTACTCGCTCGCCTTTTCGGCCTACCACATCTCGCGACGCGCCTCGGCCTCGCAGCTCCGCCAATGGGACACGATCGGGTCCATCGTCGTGCTCGTCGCGACGCTCGCGTTCCTCGTTCCGGTCGGCGGGCTCGCCGCGTACCACGCCCGGCTCGTCTGGACCAACCGCACGACGATCGAGATGGTGCGCCTCTCTCTCTCTCTCTCTCTCTCTCTCTCTCTCTCTCTCTCTCTCTCTCTCTCTCTCTCTCTCTATCTCGTCGGCCCCATTATCTCTCTCCCAGACGAGCCCGACCTGATTCTCGTACGCCGCACACAGCTTCGCCCGGCCATTGCCCGAGCCGCACTTTCGCCGCTCACGTCCGAGCCCGTCGCCGCCAACCCGTGGGAGCGTCGCTCGGGCTTGCGCAACGTCCTCGCCGTCTTGTGTGCGCCGGGCTCTCTCGCGGGGAGGGAGAGCTGGGTCGACGCGAGGGGGTGGGCAGGGAGGGACGAGCGCGAGGCGGCGGTCGGCAGGTTCAAGGGTCGGCAGAGAGGGGATGGAGGGTCAGCGGCGTGACAGGTGCGTCCTCCTCTCTCTTTATGCCTCCTCGTATCATCGTCGACGACTCGCGCTGCCTGGACGAGCTCTAACCTCTCGTATTCTCCAGGTTTCCCTTCCCCTCCTCCACCTCCTCCCCCTACTTCCTCTCTCCTCACTTCGCCTCGCCCTCCTTCATCATCTCTACACACGTGCCATCTGTTGTCGTTCTATCCATCCACCCCTCTGCAATTCCAAGACAAGCGGACAGGAGGCGCCGGCCGCCTCTTTGCCGCTTTGACCTCTTCTCGGCGTCCGCACCTCTCTCGCCGCGGACTTTCCTGTCCTCGCTCTTCCTCTTCTACCTTTCACTGCTCGCTCCACGATGGCGCAGCACACCTGCGTCGTGCTCACGCTCGTCTCGCGCGGCGAGGCGGATGCACCGGGACAAGGGAGCGAGCTCCTCCTGTTCGTCTTGCCCGAGCGGCGCGAGCGAGGCGAGGTCTACTCTTCGTGCGCCCACTCTCTCCTCGTCGCTCTCTTAGGCAGGAAGGACTGACACGTTCGAGCAGTACGCAGCTCGAGTTCGCCCTGCACTCGACGGTCGACCGGCCGGCTTCGACCTCGCCGCTCCTCGAGGCCGACCTGCAAGCAGCTTCTGCCGACTCGATCAAGGACGGCCTTCTCCTCGACCCTCATCGAGACGTACGGTGCGTCTCGTCTTCTCTGTCGAGTGAGGCAGCGAGGAAGCCGTCCCTCACCGAAACTTGCCTTCGACCCGCAGGCTCGTCCGCTCGTCAAAGCTCTTTCCCTGGGCGCCGAGCACAAGCCTGCAGGCGTTCCTGTGGCGCATGTCGAGCTCGTACGAGCGCGGTCTCGAGCGCGAGTTCGTGTCGGCTCCGGGCGAGGAGGACGAGGACGAGGCGGCGCAGGGCGAGCGAGCAGCGTATCGCGAGGTCGAGGCGCGGCTCGGAAGGGGGGCTCATGCGTGGGAGGCTTTCGAGATCGTCGAGAAGGACATGGCTCGGCTCAAGGTGCGCCAACCTCTCTCGTTGCCGAGCCCTCTCTCTCGTCGACGGCCGCTGACTTTCAGAACGCCTCGCAGCACGAGCACCTTTCCGCCGCCTTTCACTCGCTCGTCCTGCCTCGCCCTCTCGACGACGCCCTGTACCTCGCCTCGACCCTGCGCGACAAGCTCGCACCCTTCGAGCTCGCCGACCTCGCGCTCAACTGCCTCCTCGAGCTCGTGCAGGCGCGAGCGGGCGAGATGGCCTTTCGCGGCACCTGGCCGGCGCACGTGCCTCAGCCGAGCGATAAGATGCTCAGCCTGCCTGACGAGGTCGTCAAGGACCGGCTGCTGCGGTACTGGCGCGATGGCGAGTCTCTCTCCCGGCGCTCGAGCCTCGGCCCTCCTCTTTCTCGCCCT